AACTACTTTTTAGACTTAAAGAAATAAAGTATTATCTTTTAGCACTAAAAGGGCTACTCTTTCCCCTACCTTCTAAAGGTGCTAGCAGCATTGCTGTGTAATAAGTATTAAGTATTAATAAATAATAACTTTTATATACATTTTTACTATAGCAGCTTTAAACTGTCTCTAGAGTAGCTCTAAGTACTATATAAAAAAAGACACTAAAGTGTTAAAGTTAAGTTAACTTAGTAAAGTATCCTTTACTATTTAAGTTTTAACTTTATGCTAGCTTTAGCTAGTGTCTTAGAAAGATCTAAGTAATAAGGCTTAGTAAAATAATATTAATATATAATAACTTTTATATACACTTTTATTATAGCAGCTTTAAACTGTCTCTAGAGTAGCTTTAAGTACTATATAAAAAAAAACACTAAAGTGTTAGAGTTAAGTTAACTTAGTAAAGTGTCTTTTACTACTTAAGTTTTAACTTTATACTAGCTTTAGCTAGTATCTTAAAAAAATCTAAGTAATAGAGCTTAGTAAAGTAACATTAATATATAATAACTTTTATATACACCTTTATTATAGTAGCTTTAAACTGTCTCTAAAGTAGCTTTAAGTACTATATAAAAAAAAACACTAAAGTGTTAGAGTTAAGTTAACTTAGTAAAGTGTCTCTTACTATTTAGGTTTTAACTTTATACTAGCTTTAGCTAGTGTCTTAAAAAGATCTAAGTAATAAAGCTTAGTAAAATAATATTAATATATAATAACTTTTATATACACTTTTATTATAGTAGCTTTAAACTGTCTCTAGAGTAGCTCTAAGTACTATATAAAAAAAGACACTAGAGTGTTAGAGTTAAGTTAACTTAGTAAAGTGTCCCTTACTATTTAGGCTTTAACTTTATACTAGCTTTAGCTAGTGTTTTAGAAAGGCCTTAAAGTAAAGCTTATTAAAACAGCTTATATTTTTAGTAGCTTAAAAATAGTTAGTCTAAGCTTTAGTTTTTTTAGAGTTTAGAGTTTAGACTATACTACTTTAACTACTAGTGTTTAACTAATACTTACACAGCTTCTAGCTTAACTTTTACTTATACTAAGATAGTGTTTAACTTTTATATATATAGTAAATATAGCTCTTACTACAGCAACAGCAACAGGTATTCTAATAGGTACAATAGTAGAAGTAGTAAACATAGTGCCTATAATATTTACTATTACTGCTTTACTATTAAACAAGAGGTAGGGCAGCTTATACGCTAGTATATCTAATTAGTAATAATCTTCTAAGACTTATAAATAAGCTTAAAGTAAATAAATATTACACTAGTGTACCTATCTTATAATAATAACTTTAGCGCCTATAATATCCTTATTACAGATGCTGCCTTATACTACAGTAACGCTACATACTTTACACTTATGCTAGGCGGAAACTTTTATGCTAACGCTATAGGCAGTTATACATGTAACGCACATAACAACTTTAACCTATAAGCTACCTAGTTAATAGAAACAGTTTAATAGACATAGTTTAATAGATATAGTCTAATAGACATAGTTTAATAGACACAGTTTTATAAAAATGCTAGGATAGAAACACTTTAGTAGACACACTTTAATAGACACACTTTAATAGACACACTTTAATAGACATAGTTTAATAGACACGCTTTAATAGACATAGTTTAATAAACATAGCTTTATAAAAATGCTAGAATAGAAACACTTTAATAGACACACTTTAATAGACATAGTCTAATAGACGTAGTTTAATAAACATAGCTTTATAAAAATGCTAGAATAGAAACGCTTTAATAGACACACTTTAATAAACACGCTTTAATAGACACACTTTAATAGACATAGTTTAATAGACACGCTTTAATAGACATAGTTTAATAGACACAGTTTAATAGACATAGCTTTATAAAAATGCTAGAATAAAAACGCTTTAATAAAAACGCTTTAATAGAAGCGCTTTAAGGAATGCCTATAGATAGGCTTTTTTAATGTTGTATATAACTCTATAATTCTACTGTCTATAAACTTCTGCAAACTTGTATAAACTCCTAAAAACTTCTATAGACTACTAGAAACTTCTATAGACTTCTAGAAACTTCTATAGACTTCTAAAAACCTTTAATGTAATTATAAAAGGCTATTAATTATTAGAACTTTTGTTAGCTTTTAATTTAATTAGTAGCACTACTAGTAATTACTAGGTCTATAATTACATTAAACTTATCTCTAACTATGCGCGTGTACTTAGCAATATTAGTAAACTTAGAATTATCTGTAGTGTTAAGTTAAGCAGTTAGATATAAAAGGTCTATAGAGCCTTAAAGCTGCACATGTGCGCAGTTAAATTTATTAACCTTTACCTTAAGCATATTTATTTTAGCAGTGTATATATTAAATAAGTTAAAGAACTTATAGCTTACTAAATTATTTAAGTTTTAAAGCGCTACTAATCTATCTATAATAAGTGTTTAAGCTAAGAGAAACATGTCTTAAATAGTAATAGCAGAAGTATAACTACTAGGTATATTCTTACTAAAGACTCTTTTTAATGCTATCTAAACCTTTTTTACTTAGACATTATAAAGGCAAGTCTAGTTAAATACTTAATTAATATTATATATAAAGTTTTTATAGTTCTTTAAATTAATTTTATAGCTACAGTTAAAATGCTTTAGGCCTAAATTAATTAGCTTAAACATGTTTTTCTGTTTATACTAGTTTATAAAACTAGATGCAAGGATAGTATGCTATAACTCTGCAGTGTTAGCTAGTAAGAGAAGCTAGTAATACTAAAGCATCTTCTAGCTATAATTTATCTGCCTAGCGCTAAAGAAAATAATAATAAGAAAATCTACAAGGCATTATAACATACTAATATTGCTGTACCTAACAGCATAGTGTACTGTAAGGAAGAGCTTAATCTCCTAGAGCATGCAACACATAGTACAGAACTTAACATCATCTACACTAGCGCTAGAACCCTACACCTAACGCTTAAAAGTAATAGTGTGTATGTTCTTAACTAACTATAAAAAATTATCTACTAAAAGATCTCTAATAGTGTTTTTTATATAACTAAGGCGCTCTAAAAAAAACTTGTTAGTTATGTGTTTTAAAAAAAAGTGTTAGCGTTGCATAGTAGCATAGAATAGTGTAGTAACATAAGATGTAAACCTCTAAATAACTAATAGTTCTAGTAGATAGTATTTACTATTATTCTATATAAGCTATGTTTAACACTACATAACAATATCTAACTTAATAGTATAGTGTGCAACCTTATCTACTATAACTAGGCTTTAATACATTTAGCTAATAGTTAATAAAAGGTTTATCTGCACATAAAACTATATAAGAACACTAAGCAACTACTACTTTTTATTATATAGTTAAGTTGCTTAAACCTATTTACTTTATATTAAGTAGATATTACACGCTGTAAGCTAATTACTATAGCATAACTAAAAGTAATTATTAAAATTATTCCTAGAAATATTAGTAAGGTTATTAAGCATGTTTAGACTTAATTAATTTAGCTAAATAGTATTATAAACTTTATAAGTTCTACTAATAAACCCTTTCTTATTAAATATAGCACTTAACTAATAATACTTAGTCTTAACTAAGGGTAAGTAGTTTAAAATAAAAAATGCTAGGTATTTAAAGAATGCTTTACTGCTAAAGACATGTAATACAGCTTCTAGGTAAAGACGCTTAATTAAATTAGTAATAAAACTCTAAAATATGTTATTATTAATACTATCTAGCCTATCTAATCTAGGGCTAAGTATAATGTCCTTAAAATTTAGAGGAACTGCTAGGTTGTGCATAGACTAAGTAAGACTAGACTTAGGTAGCTTAGAAGCTATAATAGCTACAGCGTTTGTCATGCTTTGCATAGTAGCTGTATAGCCTGCCTTCTTATAGCGCGTGCGATCTATAAAGTTAATGTTGTTATATGTAAGTACTAGCTTTAGGTTCTTTATAAAAACTTATAATTTATTCTTCTTAGCACTATTAGTTTTTATTAGCCTAGAGGTTTATAAGTAATTTTAGAAGTTTTAGAAGTTTTAGAAGTTTTAGAAGTTTTAAAAGTATTAGAAGTATTAGAAGTACTAGATAGCATATATACTTAAGCTTTTTTTACAACCTTATTTATTAGCTTATTAGTGTAATAATATAAATAACATAACTTAAGTCTACTTAAGACCTTAATTACGCAACACTTTATTCTAGACCTAATAAGATAGGCATTTAGCATAAATGCTAAAGTGTTTAATCTCTTCTTAGCCTAAGAGAAGCACATAATACTAGTAATAGTAAACACACGCTTTTTAATTACATTAGACTTATTAGCACCTTAGTAGCTTACATATTCTTAGCGTAAATTATGCAATATGCTTATAATAAAGTTATACTAGGTTAGCACTTAATTCTAAATAGTTTAACTAGCATTATTAAAGTTAAGTGTTAATATATTTATATTAAAATTAAAATTTTTAAAGTATCTCTTTTATACTAGCTAATTTAGCTTTAAAGTATAATAATTTATTACATTTTTTATATAAAAGACTTTTATTTTAAAGAGTAAGTTTATTAAAGTCTTTAGCACACACTACCTATTACACGCCTTATAATACTAGTAATGCTTAAGGAGTGTATTATTTTTTTTTATTATCTACTTATTCTAGCATAAAGTTTTAAAAGCTTTATTGGACAGTTTATAACACATCTACTATATACTGCAACTTCTCACGCCGCGACATAGGACTACAACGCCGCGTAGAGGCGCCAGAGATCCTGCCTGCCTAGGTAAAGTTGCTAGAGGCACTTACATTATTATTATAGTTTATAGGTTAATCTAGCATAAACATATCTTTATTTTATTTAATTAGAGAGTTACTTATTAGCTAAAAAAGCCTAAAAGGTAAGCTTAATAATAAAAAAGGGTTACTAAATATGTAACAGCGCAGGCAAGACAATGGGTCCGAATGCGGTATGAATCCACTCAGAGGCATATGGGAGTGCGTGGGGACTCAGAACCTGGGAATGCCATTGACACCTATAGGCCTTGTACGAAAGGATATCAGAAAACTACCGAGCTAGCTACGGGGGCGAGGTGCGACTAAATACATGAGGGAATAGGGGTAACAGCAGGGGTCGGGGCCAGGTCGAGGTCGGGGCCGATACAGGGGCCTTCCGGGCCATCCGAGATGGAACGATTCATGAGGATCGTTACAAAATAGAGCTATAGTTAGCGCGTCTACTAGTGCGTCTACTAGCGCGTTAGATAGAGTGCTAGCATTGTCTATATTTAATATATATTATAAAGCAGGACAAGCGCTTTATAATAATAGTAATTTTAAGAATTTTAACACAGTATTAAAGGGTAAAGTATGCTGTTAAAGATAGTAATGCTAATAGCTAATAAATAAATTAAAATATATATAAATAACTACTATTTTCTTTTAAACTTTTAGAACAGAATTGCCTCTTTTTTATTTAGTGTGTTTTAATTAGTTTAAAAGTTCTTAGAAGTTTTTAGAAGTTTTAATTAGCTTAGAAGTTTTAGAAGTTCTGTCTATTCCTAAATAAGTTAAGGGCGATTCTGGGTCGAGGGTCTGACTCGTGAGATAATCCCAAGGTTCCTTTCCAAATATTGTCACCAGCACGTGCTATGCAAGTCCAACAACATCTCCCAATTCCCGAGGTCGACATTCAGCGTCGCTTACACAAGGTTTTCCACATATAAATTACGATTAGCACCAGTTTTCATGTTGCTTCCTTCCTACTAGGATACGTGCTTCGCCAAACTCCTTCGCATCACTGATGCGCTCCACAACTTGCTCGTAGCCATCTCAAGACTTAGAAAAGGTCTAAGGCGGCCAGAGAAGCCATCTGTACTAGAAATTGCGCAGCTATTTAACGTCAAGCTACATGTTTCATAGTGGCCGAACTGGCTATCGTCATTGAAACTGGTTAGTCTACCGAAACTTCACGAAGAACCCGTTCCCTGAGATCGATCACCCAGTGTTAAGATATCTTCGACCGATGGAATGCGATAGATGCATCATTTACAAGCTTTTGGGTCTACAAAGGCAGCAGGGATCAAATTCAGTTCACAATATCTCGTACAACTGTGTGCTAACCACTGTTTTAATCAACCTCAAAGAGCATTCACCGAGGCCGCAGTCATATTCTAGGGCATTTTCAACGGTTCCCTGGAATCAAATGTCCTTTCTGAGGCTGATCTGAGGTTGAGTCTGCGCAAATCAGGTTAAAGACATAAATTTTAAATATGAATGATCAGCCTCAACTTTCTGCTCATTTAACACTGTCTTTTTCATTCATTCTCTTTAAACAGGGCCTTCTTCATTCGTGTCACTCTTTATATACATTCTATCTTTCTTGTGCAAGCCTTCCAAAAGTTTCTACCTTTCCAATTCTATTGTTCGGGTTTCCTATTTTCTTTCGAAGCCAGCATCATGCGTCGCGAGATCATCCCTCCTCTGTTAACTACAATAATAGCCATCCCTATCACTTTTAGTCGCCGCACCAAGCTCCCTGTCAAGTTCACAGCACTACTACCAACGTAGTCCGCGATCTCGGCTTCCAGGGCAAGATTGGTGACAAACTCCTCACATATGGCGATACCCTCTATCGCGACGCAGCCTACTCCAACGCCTGGCATAGAATGACCTCCGACAGCGTCGCGCTGGCGACTTCGGATCCACTGCAAGTTTGTGACACCAGGCTCTACTAAGACGGCTGGCCAGAGCAACTCTGCCTATTTGAAGCTCGATACGGAGAGGACCCGTTACTAGATGCTATAAGAATCACAAAAGTAGTTGAAACTGCGAATGGCAAAGGTGTTGTTTAATTTTGAAGAACCATCACCCCGGCAGCAACAATAAGATAGTGGGTGCAAGAGTGGCAACAGTGGCTGTCAATGACGATGTCCCTATTGCGTTCCGAACCGCTGAGTACTGGTGGAATGCTAGCAGTGAGCCATGGCACGGCGACGTGTGTGCGTATCGAGACACTGAGTAAATCTATGCGTTTGGTCACGGACAAAACACTCAAGTGTTTGCCACAAGTGTAAATGCTGACTCTGCAACACAATTTGAGGCATAAAACTACTAGAACGGAATCGCTTTGCAGAAGGAGCGACTAAAAAAAACTGACTGAGGACCAGGCAGTTCAGGCCCCATGGTCAGATGCAGTCACACTGTGCAAGATTCCAAGCGACAATTCAGATGGAATTCCATACACGCCAATCCCATATCCATATTTTTATCGCAATGGGAAGACTCTTGTAATCTCGTACACCAACTATCCAAATACATTGGAAGCACTCAAGGTGGTGAGTGCAGACTGGTGGTGAGTGCAGACTGCCCTCTACTCCGACTTCTGGTGAACTAACCACCCGCAGACATTTTCATAGGCCACTCTGAGTATCTAATTGACCGTAAAGAGTGACTAGATCAAACCTTGACTTAAAAAAACTCTGCTGGGCCCCTAAAAACTTATTCCAATATCTCTACCTTTCAAACCACCTCCGTCCGCCAACGCTCAGTGATGTAAAATCATTACTAGCTCAATTCAAGGCCTCCCCCAAGCGCTACACTCTTAATCCGTATAAATGCATGACTTGTCACAACGTCCTAACGTCATATCCTATGAGGAACGATGTTAATGCAGATACTTTGGCCAGGCAACCTTAGCGCCATATCCGAGGTTCGCTATCTCCTGGATAACTATGGGACTATTGGTCCCCTTTCTAACAGCATGTATTCTTGACTCTGGGCGTCTTAAATTTGTGATACGTTCCCAGTGAACATATTGTTGCATAACCTTAAAAGTGAATATCACTTTCCAGGTGTCAAGGGCTACTTACAGTTCTGTTGAGCGTCAATTCGTTAGAGATAGGAGGTTCTACTAGGCACTCCTTGGATGAGTGTGGCACAACCGACACTGTCATCTCGCCCTCTGCAATCTGTAGAAAGGAGAGCCTACTGGAAACTGTCACGGATCCTGAGAGTAGATTCTAGACACATCTGGCCCGTTCCTGAACTCTCTTGTGCGGCACAAGGAAGAGAAAAGTTGCGATGGCACTGCAAAAAAAGAACCCCCCCCCAGTCCCATGCATTAGCAACGAACAACACGTTCGAGGTGCTGCGACTGTCTTCCTCACACCCAAGAAAGGTCTTGACGTATAAGGAGAGTGCCTTTTCCTTCGTCCGCTTTAGCGGTTTCCAAACTTGTGGCACTTTCGACATGAATCCTTACGAAGCCGGCCCAGAAGCAGAGAGATAATACTGTAAGGCTGCGTGGTGGTGTAACGGAAGAGTGTTGTATTGACGTGGAGCCTCTAGGGCAGCCATGGCATGTGGAGAGAGGCACTCATAGATAGTGGCTTGGCCTGGTTACAAATACAACTTGAAAGCGCAACCAGCATTATCTAGGCGCACAGCTTCAGTGAAATCATAGGGGATTTTCAGCGAGTCAGAAGAGATAAAGAACTTACCGAGGATAAATAGGCCTTAGGCAAGTGAAGGTGCTCATTGACGGTGGTGTAGAGGGACGTGTGGAAAGGATTTCGCTGGCGACCAGGATTTGCAAAGTCACTCGTCGTCCCCAGAGATTGTTTGCCGAATGCGGAAAGGGTTTCTCACGTAATCCCCGACCACCACATCAGTCTTCCGACGCCACAAAAGTGTCCGATGAGGCTCTGTTTCAACTGAACAACTTACGATTCCAATTGGGAGACTGTATCTAGCTCTAACATACACAGACCGTTATACTGTCCGATGTTTACATCACAGCCATTGTACTACGGTGCAGCGATGAAGCTAGAGAGTCTGTGGTGTTTCTCAGCATCTGTATAAGTATGCCGTGTGTATATATCTATTTTTTTTTTCATCCAGAACTCCTTTCATAGAAATTACAGGTCTTTCAAAGTCAGAATTTTCTCTTTCTACAACAGCTAGTAAAGCCCCACCTTCTTTAAACACATTCTTTCCTTTTTACCCCAGATCCAAACCCCCAAAACTCGAACATGCGCTTCACAATCATCACCGCTATCGCCATGCTCGGCCTCACTGCCATGGGTATGCCCTCCCAGGACAAACGCGACAAGTTCGAACCATGCTCTGTATTCGGCAGCAACTGCGCCGTCCAAGACCAAGAGTTCTGCGATCCCGAGACCGGCAAAATCTCTGTATGCCACAAATTCGGCAGCGACTGCTGGGTCCGGTATACCCAGGAAGCATGCGCAGCCAAGGAGAAGCGCGACAAATTTGACAGTTGCTCTGTCTTTGGCGACAATTGCGTTGTCGACGGCAACGAATGGTGCGATGGCACGCAGAAGGTTATCTGCCACCAGATCCCTTTCACCGATGACTGTTGGGTCCGGAACACCAATATCGCTTGCTAAACTGAGCAATGTGGGTGGGGAGGGTGGCGGGGTTATCAGCAGATGTTCTCGAAGTTCTGGGGTATGGGAATAGGCACAGGGCCAACTTGAACCTCTCTTTTTTTAAGTCGGTAAATGCGCGGTAAATGCACGGTAGCAGTCGCTTCATGTATACATCTTCCGTGACTTTCTATTGAACTTGCTTCGGTTAGTTCCCACTCTTTGTACATATTCTGGATAGAAGGACTCATGTAGTGATTTGGATTAAATTATATTTGCATATCTATTTCGAAGGTAACAATGTTGCTTCCATACACAACACTCTGTTAGAGATCACATCCACACCATGCCCATAGTTCTTTTAATAAATCGTATGTATTTGATTGTTATATGGTGGTGTATGCCTTCCCCAATCTGTCAGCGAACACAACATGCTCGTCATGTGTTCTTATCACAAAGATTAACTCCAGCGGCGAGTTGAGCTAGACCTCTATTATTTCCCCCGTAGACCTGTCCATTGCATGTATTCTAGCCAGACATCCCTCGCAATATAGCTCCAATCATTGTACGCCTTAGTTGAATACGGAAAGCCATCATTATTCACCCTGCCCTACCTCTCGTCATTATACTTGCTATCAGGCTTAAGGGCAAGCTCCCTAAGTCCCGAAATGGCCGAGAAAGGAGGCAAACAAGAACCAATGCCCTCGTCGGAAGCGAGTACGATTCTTAGGGGTGTCGAGAATCTCTCGACCTTGGTCAACAGTATGATCCAAGTAGGCAGCTAAGATGCATTCGAGGGACATAGTCTTATCGGGGTTGCGGCACTGGGGATGTGACACGTGTGTCAGAACTAAACCACACGTTTCGAAATTTCTGGACCGCGTCGTCCACGACATGTTCCCAGTTAGGCTTTCGCCCCGTGTCGAGAAAATCATTTCGTTAGTCTTCTGCTGAGTCAGTTGCGATTTAGAGAGTGGCCTGAAGGTGGACGACGACTAGATCTTCTGCAGAACAGGGCCGGACGGTTCCGTTAGTGAATTGAGCTGCGATAGACATTCGAAGAAGTGTCCTGACACTCCCGAAAATAGTCGGGTGCGGGTATCCATCTCTGATTGGAAGGACATTTTGGGAGAAAGAATTGTGTGGAGTTGGAACGGTGAAGAGAGATACGACTTGGGAGAGAGGCATATTGGATTTGAGGCAAATCTATTGAACGAGGAGGAATGACAATCATGAGGATATTTCTGGCAAACAATGTGAGCCATTGGGACATTGAAGGTAACAGTATTGAGGAAACAATGCTTCAGTACACAATAGTGGAAACACTGAGTTACATCGTCTACTGGTTGCTCGATAGCCCTCGATCAGAATCATTTGTATCCTGTGATTCGTATCAGTATGAAAGAGACGCTTGCGCTCTATGTGGAAACATGTATTCTAAGCTCTTTTATAAACCCCTAGAGCCCAGGAAGCTCTCAGTACTGCTAGACCCCATGCCATGCCTAAGCTATCCCAGATGACGTTTAGCTTACTACCCATGACCTCTTTCCAGCCAATGGCGACTTCGACCATAGCAATGTTAGCACTCTCAGCGAGCATGAGCATCTCAACATCAAATATCCAGCCCTCGCAATGCATGTATGGGATAATGTACGGTAGAGCAGCCCGGGAGAAAAGTTTGAAGCCGCACTGGGTATCTTTGACTGCCGCAGTGGCAGGGGGAGTCATTAGTCGCAACAAAAGATGGAATGAGTGCATGAGGAAGTTGCGGAGTTTGGAGCGCTGGTGGCCGATGAGATTAAGAACGACAGTGAGAGTGACCAGTTACATACCTTGACCACGGCTTCACTTCCAACAAGATGAGCTCGAGACCCAATTGCTACTCCTCTGCCAAGCCTGTCCTCGACCGTCTTGCACCCCTCAACGAGCTTGCCAAGATCCTCGAAACGACTTGCTCCATCAGCATCGGCAAACACGATATACTGACCGCGCACGTGTCGCATGCCATGTGTGACGGCTCCACCTTTCCCCCGGTTCTGCTCCAACACGACTACCCGGATGGAGCCATGCGGAATATGGGTTGAATGTGTGGGGTTGGGGCTCCGCGGGCCGGGGATGGGCATCGGATGCTGTGATAGCTGGTGGTCTCGGGCAAATTCGAGGGCTTTTTCAACGGTGGAGTCAGTTGAGCCATCGGACACGATTATGATTTCCCAGCCTTTTGCTTTGCCAATACCTTTCTCCCCTTCATGGGCGTTCCCGTACTCGCTCTGTAAATAGCCAACGGCCTCTTCGAGCATGCCACCCAGTCGCTCTTCCTCATTGAATGCAGGAACCACGACCGACATAAACAGCTCGGCCTCCTCAATTCCTGGGGGAGTACCGCGCTTCTCCTGGGCCAGCTCTTTGTGTGCCCTCCATGTGTCTAGCCAGCAGGGCAGCTGTTTTCTTTCGCTCCGGTTGCCGTCCGGGAGTATAGTCAGGTATGCTTTCTCGGACCGGTGAGGAGGACGAGGAACAGGGGCGACGAGGACGAGGGCGAAGTAGAGCTATGCCAATCATGAGCGTCAAACTGCGTGGGTAGGCAAGTTGGTTGCGAGCGAGCTTACCGAGCAGGAGAGCACAAAGGCAAAGATGACCAGAGATAGGACTAGAGTAGGAGTCGGAATGTCCTGTATCAGGGCTACAGTGCGCTGCGCAAGGACAGTGAGGGAGTCCATGGCCACCAAAATGCGCCCTCAGCTAGGCGAAGAGAATATTTAGGGACAGAAAAGGTTGCCCATTGATGCTGCCAGAGGGTTGTCACAGGCGATTGAGAGGGCAAAATGCGTTAAGAAGGAAATGAAGGAAAAACAGTTCGTCGTTTGGTGAATGGAAACAACACAATGGGAAAGCGGAACCATTCCCGTCGCGCCAATTGAGGCCCCGAGAAAGGATACGTGGAGGCTGACGACTCAAAACTTCGCCTCGGCGCCACGGTTAAGAATTCAAGTGCATGTCACAACCCTGCGGGGGCTTATAGTACTCACAATTTCCACTTTCTTTTAAAAGAACGTCTCGTTTTCAAATTTGAACCGGGTGAAGGAGGCGTCACGTGACCCAATCCTAAAAGGAACTTTGGACCTGATTACAAGTATATCGCAGGAATCGTTGCTGGATGTTCCTTAATATGCCATAAGCGACACCATGCTCCGCGTAGCCCATGTACTTCATAGTATGAAACTATGCGAACACTGTCAATCAAGGCAATAGTATCAAATATTATAACGTATATTCTTTTTACGTGTTTGAAGTGTAGAAATTGCAATTTGGCAGGGCTCGCTATGTTGGTCCCTAGTTGTAGGATGCGGTGAGGCAGCTGCTCTGCCTGACACGCTTTCCTTGAAGCAAAGAGTAGTCCGTTTCCATTTAGTCACTCTTGTCGGCTACCCACGCCGCTTGCTTTGTTGATCTGACTTCAGCCCATACAGTTTCTCCGTTGGCCGTTTTGAGGTAAGCTAGACGTCCACCAAACGACTCCGAGACTCACATCGCTCTTCAACCACGACAATCTCCAAGCCCTCATCTCCAGCTGGTAAAACCAAACTTTACGTTGAGGCAGAAGAGGATAGGAGGAGGATGACTAAAAGAGCTTGAGGCGTCAGGCATACAGCGCCCGCCCTTGAGGCATGTAGACACTTCAAAATGGGAACCTCAGCGAGTGGAAAGTAGTTCAAGATGAGTCGTTGGAATTAAGAACAGAAAACGTATGAGACTGTTGGTCATATGCAATCCAGCGATTGAACTAAAGCAAAGTTAGAAATGAAATGGGGAACAAATCTCACTACTCACAGTAGACAGGTGGTGGCCAAGGTGAAGAATGCGCTCCGTTCTGGATTTGATTGTGGACGCAAGCTCCAAGTAACGTTCTTCCTCATCATGCTCTCGGGCAAACCAGTTCTCGGGGAAATACGATTGGCTCCAAATTTGTCCACGGATGAGATAATCTTCGGGTAAGGGTTGATTGTCAGCTTGATCGGTTGGGAAGATCGGTCCAGTGATGAGTTGTTCGGGCCGTTCAGACTTGAGTAACGTATTCAGAAAGATTGTAATTTCGGACCAAGGAGCGTGATTAATGAGGTGGGCAACGTATTTAATCGAGGCAAAACTGGAAAGGAACGAGAGCAAAACATGGATATGGGGAAGAACATTCTTATCACCAATGCGTCGTAGGACTAGCGACAGTGTGGAAAAAGTCAGTAGATAGGCCCGAGAGAAAGTGAAATCGTTTGAAAGGATATCAAGTTTGGCAGGCACTTCAGCCTCGGTGATGCATGGTATTGTCGAGTCGTGATCAACAGGAGACGAGGACCTGCTTAAGTCGTCGTCTGAAGGCGTTGATGATCGGCTTGAAGTCCGACTCCGCATAAGCTGCTTGGCGTGAAGTTCGAGAATAAGGCGGAGGATGGAATCATCGGAACCATAATCGAAAAGCCCAGAGATGTTTGTGACGGCAATGTATACTCCTTGCTCTTTCCATTTTGCAGTAACACGACCAATGTGGTTATCCAGCTGGCTTTGGAACGCGAATCGAGCATCCTCGAAAGTCTCAGGCGTTAACTTCTCAAAGAGAACGCCATGCGCCTGAATGAAACTAGTATCGATCGGCAAAGCGTGTGAATAAGATGTAGTAGGGCGACCAAGGATTGGATCTAGGAGTGTTAAGATTGACTCACGGGCGCTGGGGAAAGGTTTGACGCAGGTTAGAGATCTCGCATAATAGTACAACTGCTGGAGGGCGTTGGGACGAGCAAGGATCGCCAGGTGATGATATAATCGACCAACGGATGGATTTTTGTCAGCGGCCTTGCTATACCAAGACCGAGCAACGCCAGCCCATGTCTCACGGTCGCGGATATCTTCGTCTTCAATTGCCATGCGATATCGGCCTAAATCGCCAAGGCATTCAATCCAAGTATCTTCAAATGCTGGTACAGTTTCGTAAAGAAGGGCCATCATTTGATATGCGAGGTATATGAAAGCTAGCATGTAGTCAATACTTTCAGGAAGCCTACGGCGTAACAACTCCAAGAATGAATGGATACCATGTTTCCACATGCGGGCTGGCATTGAGTACTTGGAGGCCAAACGTCGAAGAGCAGGAGAGGCTGAGGGATGTTGTGATGCGAGAAAGAAGTCATGATGTTCGTGCAAGAGCGTTCTATGGAGAGCGATAAGAGCCTGCCAATGGTCGGTAGCGAGCTTAGAGCTGGGGTCAGCATCCGAATCCGACACCGCTGCCGCTTGGGCTCTGTCAACGTGGATGCATTTGGTCTCCACCATTGTCAAGCCAGCGTAGATGGATTTAACTTCTGAGGCAAGTTGCTCCTGAGAGATTGGTCGAGAGTCTGGCTGGAGGAGCAGGCCGGGATAGCGTGCGTCATATCGTTGAATATCGATAAGCCCCGGCGGTTGGCGCTGTGGCTGAGGAGAATGATATTGAGATTTGGGACTGAATGATTTGGGGGCAGAACCTCGATGTGGTAGTTGGGGATGGGGACTTGAAGTACGGCCTTGTTGGATCGGCTGGAACTGTGATCGATTCGCTTCCACACTCCATTCACTTGGTGGATCGGGGGTCGAAGTACCTTTGGTTACTTTGCTTGGGTCAAACAGCCTTGGGTCAGCTATTTTAGAGCGGGTTTGCTCAGAGATCATAGTTTGTGGGATGTTCCCGGAATAATCAGGATCATATATCTCTGTGTGTCCTGGTACTTTTCCACGACGAGCATTGAAATCAGACTCAGCAGGTCTCTTCTTGCCTGAGTAAGGAGACTGGCGTCCCTTTGCAGTCTCGACTAGGGAGAGATTGGTGAGGTCAGGAGTAGTAGACCCACCACCAGCGGTAGCTTCCGACACCTGTTCAGTCACAGCCCTTCTACAATACAGTCAGAACATGCTGACAAAGGGCATTTGTACACGTGACTCTATCACTTACATCTGCAGAGCCGCATCTTTCACTTGGCTACGGGCTTTCGTGGGAGTTCCGAGTGATTCTACGGTAGATCTGTGCTCCAAGGTCGCATGATCCCATAGCTGGTCAATGTTGTGGAATATTCTTCCTTGGTGGCTACAGTATGGGCAGGGTAAGCTCTCAGATTTGGAGACATCGATCTTTGGCTGAGTTCTCAGTGCATTGATGTAGCGTGTGGGGGATTCCACATTACTAGTCATGTTGATGACCACGAGCCGCAAGACGATTCCCGTTGATATTTCAAAGGACGGCGAAGTCGACGTATGTCCAGCGATGAGTAGCAATTGGACGATGAGTGGCGCAAGCTTCGTATTCGGAATCCAAGGCTCTGGCTGACAGATTGCATTTGCCAAGCTTTTTTGCAGCCTTAAGCGAGTAGCAAAATCTGCTTCTCTCAGACTGACAACAACGTGTCTATTGGCTCGCTAGCGCAATGCGCGATAAATGGGCGAGGGAATGTGGGGGCCAGATTTGTGAACAGAACGGTTGGAAAGGAGTTTCCGGTGAAAGAGTTGAATTCCACGCTGAACGGGGTACATCTAGTGGGAGAGAAGCTAGCTGTAGCCGGGTGCATTCAAAAGAAATGTACAAGAGGATGATTCTGGTAATGTAGTGTTGGTCTGTAGGAGGCTGCAGTCGTATGAGGAGCAATGACGGAAAGAAGTCCACCTTTTGAAATACCCTTGGAGCCTCAAAGCGGTGCGTAAATTTGCGAACCGTAGGCAACGGGTCACTGCATTCGTGTGGTCACAGCCTGCATCAAGGGATCGCTTCCATTTCCGCCTCTTAGGCAGCAGTGGGGTCATTACCACAAGAGCCTCCACGACCGCAATCTATCGTCCCCACTTATCGAACCAATAGTAGCGATAAGCCATGCAGTCTCCCGATCTCAGCCAAAAACCTCTTTGCCTCCTTTCGCCTTCTGAGTGGTTGTGATGCTCGCGGCGACCAGTTTCCGGCTTGCTGACCCCTCACCGGCTCCAGCCCCCACAGGCTCCATCATTAAATATTCAATGTGTTCCGTCCAGCCTTCAGTCCTTTCAGCTTGTCACGCCTTATTTGATCATGGGTCTGTCTTGTTTTGAGCAACTTGGGCCTCACCATCTGAACGGAGACAATGAGAGGGCATTGACCAGCTGCCTTAGGAGGCTGCGTTCAAGCACACAGTCATTCCGGTATTCCAGGCAGCCTCCTCAAACGCCTTTCCAGAATTTCACAACGCTCCCAAGGCCAGGTGCGCTCACTCTGGAGGAATTGGTACTAAATGTGGAACAGGAGGTCGTGCTCGCTTCCCTTTGCGTTTTACATCAACCCGCAAACTTTCATCGCAGATCACAAAATGCAGACCACAAAATGCAGACGATCCCCCTGCACCAAAAACGGACCGCTCACAGGTCAGAACCACCGTTTCACGGTCTTCAAGGCTTCAGGACTTCATGGCTTAACGGAATGCGACTCGGCCTTTGAGAAATGCTTCGGCCCTTGCGGGGCTGTACGGTTTGAGACTGCTGGCACCTGCCTGGGTCATTATCTTTCGGGGAGAGGTAGTAAAAGCTAGCACCCCATCCCAAGCCCGAGACGCGTCGCATTAACAATGCACGATGGTGCTTTGTGGAGGGCCGAAACTATTGCAGGATACTCCTGATAGAACTATCCACTATTTCCTAACTACCGGATATACGTGGCATACAAAAGCCTGGGTTTTGTTGTTTGGAAGCCCAAGATGCACGCAGTACGTGTCAGGGCAAGGTCCCCTGACAAAGATTCAGCGTATCGCATCGGTCCACCGTCATGAATCATTTTTGACAACGGTCACCATGGTGCACAAATTGGTTGATGAGGTAATACTGTCACCCAACATGTCTATGACACTGCGGCAGTCTAGATTTGGTTACGGCGCAATGCGCACACCCTTCCTGGATTGCTAGGGGCGATATAACGTGCTACGTGATGCTAAGTAAGTGCTCATCTGCATTGTAGCTTCACTATTGGCCGTTTGACATTAAATCTTAATGGAAAATTAGGGGCTTGGGTAACTACAATATGAATCTAAGGAGCATGGGAACTAGATAAATTAATATCGGTAGAACGCAAGGCCCTTTCCGCGATGAGCTGTTGAGAACGACTGAGGCAGGCTGAAGAAAAATCATTTCATTCCCGAAGAATATCACATAGACGCTTCCGCTTCCACGGCCTGGCTCTAACCCCGACATCTCCATATGCTCTCCCAAAGCACAAATGTATAATGTGTAGCACAGAGCTGGCAATTCCGAACGGAAGTGGTTGCTGCAGGTCTCAATCCAACAAGTGCTATTGAACTCGTGGCATCATTCTGACGGTCATCATGCCCCGTTCTTAGGAAGGGCGTATGCGGGTTTCCATGCATTAATTGCACAACGCCCTCTGATACTTATGTTTGAGGGTGTGCAGTAACATGGGCATTGGATTGCTTGAATTTTGAACTTCCGAAGAGAAGGCAGCTGTCGAATTCGGAGCGACGCTCTACATGGTTCTGTAATGAGCCCGGTGGCATATCTTTAGACATCTTCCAGCCTTTTGGTTTAAAGTTGGCCTTGAGATATGGGGCGATGCTGATTGTGCATTCATTTTCTCTTGTCGCGGACTTAAAGTGGTTGCCTTGCCCGGGCGATCCTCTAATACAGATAACAAGACATCAACAAAAGAGGACCAATAAGCTTTTGGCTTCACTGTAATATGAAGGCGATGATCCACCATAAACAATTGGACCTTAGCCAGTGACACGTATTGGAAGGCAACAAGGCAACCTCGCCCGGCGCTACGACTTTCCAATATGGCTCTGTATTCGAGCAAGTGTCAGATGTTAAACTCCGGTTCAACTCCTAGTCCTGTAGAGCACCCCGCATTTTACTACCCCAAGGATGTGGTACGAGGCGCGGGGTTTCTTAGGCACATGGGGCTTGCATATGTTTCCGCAAACAGCGAATATCTTTTGATAGACGAATCACACTTCAGCTAAAGTTCTGCTTTGTGTGAGTTGGGGGAGAATCAGGCTGACCTGGCTGAAGGAGTAAGGGGCAGGCAAAGAAGAAGACATAAGGCGGGGCGTCAAGGGCAAGGCGAGGCTTCGGGGCACAAACAGGGTTCATCCAAAGCAGCAAGAAGGGATTATTCGGTGAAACTAGGAATGGCAAGTGGTGTGACGACGCTGAAAACTGAGCCCATATCTGCCGAGAAGGCAAAGAAGACTTGATGGCATGATTCTGTGAGAGCTTGGAACAGATGGAGCACTACCAGTGGATGCTAGTTGCAGCTTCAAACCGGCAGCAAACTCGATATAGCCATACTTTCTAACGAATTGGAGACAATGGCTGGGAGTAGCACTCTCCCCCAGGCGATCTCTTAGCCATACTGAAAGCCGCTAATTATTAGGAGTTCCTCCGTCTTAAGAGAGAGTTAAATAGGAGAAGCACTGCTTGAGCTAAGTAGCAGCAATTCTCCGTGCCTTGAGTTTGGGAGGGCATATCTTTTGCGCTGCGCTCTGACTTTGGCCATGTATCGGAACTTAAGCCTAGTTCAATTCGCCTTCTATGATAATCTAGATGCTACTGCCTATATTCTTAGCACAGCGTATCAACCTTCATTGCCATACGTTGGATTCTCATAGGGAACTGCCCAGGCATTCGCTACACTGTCGATTCATCCCACGCCCCAATGATGAAGTTAGTGAAGAAGCAAGAATGGAGGAAGCACTGCATGGCACGAAGCCAAAGAAGAGACACGAGGATATGCGGTCATCTTTTGCATACTCGTGATCTTCAGACTCACTTGGAAGTAATCATGCTGTTTAGGCAACTGCTATCGTGGTTCTCCGGGATTGGTTTACTGTTTATTACCAAGTTCGAGCAGGACTGCCGCAAATCTTAGGACAGCTCAAGTTTTTTTTAATTACCTAGGTAGCCCTACAAGACTCACAATCGTCTTGGAATGTATTGTACATACGAACTAAGTCCTATTCCCTAGCGGCTTTCCTGCAATTAGGAGGAGCCCAGAAAGCAAGAAACGTCTCCAAGATATGAGGGAGAATGGAGATTAACGTCAGCATCTTTATGGAACACCCACAGTTAGGCTCGGCAGTTAATGCCCGCCGACTCCCGACGCCTGTCAACGTCATGAAGTAACTCCAATTCGCAAGGCACGACCAACTGGAATTCAGCAACGTCTGTCGAGCGCACAGTTAACAGATAGCGGCTTCAATGCTGCGAATCACACCAGAAGACCCTGTCAATTTATTCCTGTCGCAAACAAGCCCCTTCCGAGCTCATTTGTAAGCTGAGGTGCGAAACCCCGAGCCCAAGCTTAGACTACATCCGTGTCTTCGACGTACTCAACTTCACCTTCGAGTTCCTTATCTGATCTTTGTCTGATCTCAGTGTAGAAAACACTACCTAAGTGAATACCAACAATGCTATCACGGCCCTGACGATAAATCGCGATTCCCCACTATCCGCTACGTCCTCTAGGAGACGCTTCGAGAGTGTGCAGTGTATCTGAGGCTTCACAACATCATGGACTCGAACGACGCCCTGTTTGTAGCCGAAGCCGAAGTCGATCAGAAGCTACGTGCGCGAAACAGAGGCGGTGCCTCCAAAACACGCGTCCTTCACGACCAACCGACCAAGTCCGGCGATAGCTCCCTTGCGCTGCACGGCGATAATGAGGATGTTCCACTACTTAGTGACGGGGGGAGTAGTCGGAGAGATAGCATTGAGAGCGATAATGAAAGCTCGCCGCCGGAATGGTTCGGGACCGTTGAACTTCAAGGCCTTCCCTGGTGGAACAGGCCTTCGGTATGTGCGCTGTATTACTGAGGGGTGGCATTGAGCTAATGGACGCTGGGCAGATATTTTGGCTACTGCCGCCATTTCTGCTCTCCACCATAGCGTTTGGTGGCATTGTTGTCCCCAAGCTGAACTTGATCCTGACTTTGATTTGTAAAGACTATTATGCAGACAAGTCTATCGATTCGGGGCCTATGGCTCTTGGGGACAAGAGTTCACGATGCAGGACAGACGAGGTATCTTCGCGCGTATCCCTGTTCCTCCTTTACGGTTCCCTCTGCTCCGGGTTACTGTCGGCCATTACAAGCCCCAAACTCGGTGCCCTCTCGGATCGATATGGACGGAAGAAGATATTGGCCTTGACAACATGTGGGATGCTTGTGGGAGAGATTCTGACCATCCTAGCCGCCAAATACCCTGAGTCTGTCGACTTGAATTGGATTCTAGTCGGTTATGCCCTAGACGGCCTGTGTGGCTCTTTCATTGTCGGCATGGCGCTCGCGCATTCTTACGCTACGGGCAAGTCGAACTCCCCTCTTGCTTTGGCTATCTAACTTTGTGCAGATTGCACGCCCCCTCAGAAACGGAACATAGCGTTTGCCTATTTCCATGCATGTCTCTTCACTGGTATCGCCATTGGACCCATCCTTGCGGGCTATATCATTAAGAAGACCGGATCCGTGTTGTTAGTATTTTACATCGCTTTAGTCTGCCATCTTATTTTCATCATTTTCCTTCTATTTTGTATCCCCGAATCACTCTCTAAATCCCGTCAAGAAGCCGCTCGGGAGAAACATCGTCAAGAGATGGAGCGTCTCGGCCCCGCATCGGATTGGATCAATCAGTTACGAACTGTGAACCTGTTTCGGCCTCTCAAGATCCTCTATCCAACAGGGCCTGGCTCCAGCCCTGCTGTCCGTCGAAACCTTTTGCTCCTAGCTGCTACGGACACTGTTGTGTTCAGCGTGGCTATGGGCGCCATGGGGGTGACAGTAATCTATCTCAACATTCAATTCGGCTGGGATGACTATGAGTCTAGCAAATATGTCTCGATTGTCAACAGCTGCCGGGTCTTTTGTCTCATGGCAGTGCTCCCAGCCATCACACGGCTCGTCCGTGGCAAAGAAGGCACCTATCGGCAGCGAAACTCGGGATCCGACCGCTTTGATCTATACGTCATCCGAGTTGCAATATTTTTTGATATGCTTGGATACTTAGGTTTTTCGCTTTCGCGAGACGGCCGCCTCTTTATCCTATCCGGTGCCGTTGCCTCGATTGGTGGTATTGGCTCACCAACTCTTGGGTCTGCGTTAACCAAGCATGTGCCACCGGACAGAACAGGTCAACTGCTTGGTGCTACAGGGCTTTTGCATGCCTTTGCGAGGGTCATAGGTCCAACGATTTTCAACGGGATTTATAGTGCTACGGTTAGCAAGTTCAGGCAGACTGTCTTTGTTTGTTTGGCGGGTACTTTTGGGCTGGCTTTTGTGTGCAGTTGGCTTGTGAAGCCGCATGGTTAGTGCTTCCCAAACTATATCTGATGAAGGCGCTTCTGACCGAACACCAGTCTACCTTGAGGACTTCGAGCCAGACGGATTTCCCAGAACGGGCACCACTCCGGTTGAGGAAGATGGTATAGTTGGATGATTTGCATGTTTACTATACTTTCTACCTGCTTGATCGCATTTTCTAGTTTTCTGGAATGATTTGGCTACATCCACGTGGCATTATTTTGGTACTACTTTCGGCGCTCAATCTGCTTTGTTTTGAGCCAAAGTATACAGGAAGATGTTAGGTTCTCGGGCAGCAAACTTTCCTCTGCATAAGATACGAATCACGACTTCCTTGGGTGTAGATAAGGTTTTAAGGCTTTTACATATGAATAACTTCCTCCAAGAATCTACCTAGAGTTGTAAGAACAATAGCTAGTTAATCCAATGTATCTTTTGCAACTGTATCCCGGCCCTCAGATCATACGCCAGATATTTAGTTCTCACTGGTACAAGTTCATCACTGTGAAATATATGGAACGATGTGTTCCTTGAATAGACCATTTATATCCCTCTGTTGGGGGTCAAATTCAAGAATAGAAGAAAGAGAGCACTCGGTAAGTGGAAAGAAAGAAAAGGATATGCGCGGAGTCAATAATCCATCGTAAACCTCTTCAACATCAAGTAAGCGAAACCCGATTTTATCATGTGCGAAAGAAGCCAGAGGATGAACGGAGTAGAATCACATAATATAACGATAGCGCACGACTTGAGTAGGTTGAATGTCATGCTTCCGAAAGACGAGCCCTAACACGATGAATTCAGTTTCAGCACCCTAGGTAGCCCGGAGGACTCGCCTAGTGAGTTGCAATTTTCAATATTAAGAAATATCTTATCTATTACATGCTATCGAGAATTAGTATGCCAAATCAACCCGTATCACAGATCACATCTTCACTAAGAGTCTCTTCCTCACGCCACAGTAAGGTGAGTACAACCAGTCCGCACACCGACTTTCCGCATCTCGACCCTAGATTGCCCGTAGTATTCCAACGCCCTAAGACCTGAAACGACAACCGGAATCCCCCATCGGAGATGGTATAGCCCCATCAAAGGTACCCAGCGAAAGCCGCTGTTACCCACTTCCATATCTGCTCCCGACGGAATGTCAACTTGGCTGAGAAGACTCTACTTCTGCAACCGTATCAATAGCCGGCCCGCTTTACAACGTAATGGCTTCTGTTGTAACCACACCCATTTGCCTTGCCTCCTATATGGCTACGACTATCAGATGCCTAAATAAGCAACTAATCCCAGTGTTTGCCTCCCACGCCACCCGTGTACCTCTAGTATAACTCTGCACCGGACTTCGGTTCTACAGCGCCCTCTTATGAACAGATAGAGAGTTTGAGCCACCGCACAGACAGATTTTGTATGGGGGAAAAAATCGATTTGCATGGACGCTGACGGGCGCCATATCAGTGTCTTTCGAGAATCACAACGTGATTATGTCGTGCATTCATGACGTAAACTGAGGCTGAGGGAGGAGAGGTGAGAAAATTCGTTTTTATGGGTTTGCCTTGTTCAGGCGATGTTTACTTTTTTTGTGTCGACCTCAAGGCTGAGGTTAACACACTCTAAAGGAGAAGAAATAAACGCAGCTGGAATAGCGGTAACACCATTAATATTAAGGCAACAAGACCACAAGAAAAAGAAGTCTATTGGCACTATTCAAGAGACATCCATGACAAATTATGTCAGAGAATAGAATCCACGCTCCCAATCATGCAGTAAAGTTGCACGGATTATATGTAGTATTACAATTTCCTCTCCAACCGCGAAAGCAGCTGTCAACCGGCCTCACGGAAACTCGATGCTACCACTGGGGAAGTTCCAGCTGCTCTACGTCCTGGTAACAGGCTTCTGCTCACCAGCAATATCCGCCTCTTGGTAGTAGAAGTTCTCCTCCGGGATTCGCCCCCTCAGAAACTCGGGTTCCGAGCCGCGGACGTAGATGTCCTCAAATAAAATCTTGGGGGTTGGGTCTGGTGGGGGCATTTTCTCAGCTTCGGCGACCTCAGCGTCGACGTTGGAGCGGGCTTCCTTGTCGATTGTCTTAAGTTCGTCTTCAGAGACGACGCCCCAATCAAGGAGTTTCTGCTTTAATCCTGCAATAGGATCGTTGGTGCTGCGCATGCGCTGGATCTCTTCGCGAGTCTGGTTTCAAGATTAGTGATAAAAAGAGGCCTGGAACGGCCTGATGACTTACTCGGTAGGTAGTGCCAGGATCAGACATGGAGTGGCCTCCGTAGCGGTATGTGACATATTCATAGACGAGAGGACCTTTGCCTTGAGCACACCATTCCTTGCCGTACTTGACAGCAGCCTTCACAGCGAGGACATCCATGCCGTTGATCTTGAGGCCAGGGATGTATTGGCCACGCTTGTAGTAGTCGGTGAGCGCAGCGGCACGGTTTGCGGCAGTACCCATTCCGTACTTGTTGTCTGGCGAAGCATATTAGCAACGAGAGAAAGGGGTTGGTGTGGTGGATACGTACTCTCGCAGCCAAAGATAATAGGCAAGTTCCACAGCTTAGCCATGTTGAAGGCTTCAAAGACTTGTCCCTGGTTCGAAGCGCCGTCGCCGTACAGGGCAAGTGTGACGCTGTTCTTGTTCTCGTAGTGGTTTGCGAAGGCAATGCCGGCGCCAACAGGGACCTGGGCGCCGACGATGCCGTTGCCGCCATAGAAACCGGGAGCGAACATATGCATCGACCCGCCCTTGCCATACGCAATACCCTCTCTCCGGCCGAGCAGTTCCCCGATGATTGACTTGACGGTACCTCCGCGCATCAGGGCGAAGCCGTGGCAGCGGTATGCCGTGATGAGGTGGTCCGTCTTCTCGATGGCGTGCTCGATGCCGACAGCGACGGCTTCCTGGCCGGTGGACAAGTGGCAGAAGCCCCGGATCTTCTTCTCCTTGTAGAGCCTGTCGGCGGCCATCTCCATGCGCCTAACAATGGACATATCAGAACCCTATTTGACAGTGTGGCAATCGGGGAAAGGGTAGCGCATACCGTACAGCGACCATGTCGTAGTACATCTGCTTCAGCTCGGCCTTGGTGGTGTCGAGCGTGTATGGCGGCGGGTCGAGCTCATACGTCTCGAAGCTCTCGTCAGAGAGGCGGATTTCGAAGGGCTTGTCATCCTCCTGCGCACCGTCAATCATCCAATCTCACCAATTGCAAGCAAGAGGGGAGTGTTATACCTTCGGAACGGCCTCCTTGTCCGCGTGCGATGATGCCGCATCAGTGGTGACGGTTCGGAAGGCAGGTCGAGCTGCAGGAACGAAGACATTGCGCCTCAACGGCGACGCAATGCTCCTCCGAATTGTCCGCGAGAGCATTTTGACGAAGAAACGGGGAAGAAGAACGGGATAAGAGAGCGGAGATGGAGCAGACGCCGGGGAGAAGAGGGTGAGAGACGTTGGGTCAGCTTTCAAGCAAAACAATTTGGCGTTGAGCTTCCGGCCAGCTTCGGACACTTTGACCTCCCGGCTTCCCCAAAGCCCGATCTCAACACTTCCGTCCCGACTGTTGATGGCTTTCAGAATACAAGTCAACTGTTGAACACTTTATACAGACAGAGTATGATGTTTTCTATCTTTCCCGATACAATTGAACCTTGCAACGAGATGGTTAGATTGGTAATCACGTGACAAGTACTTTCCTCAAGTGCTTGAAGCATGTGGCTCTTCAAATCAGCAAGTGAAGTACAATAATGTACATAATCTAGTACAGCCCACTCCATATTTTCATTCTTTCATCCAGCCCTCGCTCCCACTACAGATGCCTCGCCTGCCCTGCGAAGAACTTCTTCTGCTCCAGACACCGCTCACTCACGCATCCAGGACACCGCAACTGCATTTGAGGGCTACAAGCCGATCCGCTCTCGAGGTGGGCTTTGGCAATATCAGCGAGCGCGCTAATGAATACTGGGTTGCCATTTAAGCTCTCCACACGCTTGACGCCTTCATGACCCTCTGCTGTTTCTCCAATAATCTCCTTGTCCAGCTCGTACAGGGTTTCGATGTGGTCGCTTGTGAACGCAATAGGGATCAAGATGATGTCTGTCTGCCCTTTCTTCATGAGCGACTCTACAGTGTCGACCGTTTGAGCGCCTAGCCAAGGCTGCGGGCCAACCTGCGACTGCCAGACGAGGCGGTAAGGATGCTTCATGCCAATGCGATGCATGACAGCGTGAACAGTAGCCCCCACTTCCGCGGGGTATGGGTCGCCGCGATTGACCACGGACATGGGCAAACTGTGGGCGGAGAACAGCAGAACGACGTTATCCCTGCGGTCCTCGGGGTAAGTGGCCAGCGTTTCCTCGATGTTTTTTGCGAAAGCATCCACAAGTCCCGGATGCACAGGCCATCGGTCGATGACGCTCCACTTGATGGCGCCCTCAGGATTGACTTCCCCGGTCGCACGCTTCCCTTCCAGCCTGTTCCGCCACTTCCAAAGCTCGTTGAGAGATGATCCGGTCGTCGAGCACGAATATTGGGGGTACTGGGTGAAGGCCACGGCCCTGCCACCTTTGCCAGCCCCGAACCCATCTTGCAGCAATTGCTCGTACATGTGTTCGGTCAATGGGTTGGCGTATCGGAAGGCAACATAGGGCTTGTGAGGCGCCGTTTCGGGTGATGTGTGGTCGAGAATCTTGCACATTTCAGCGGCTTGGAACTCGGACCATTTGCGAATGGGAGAGCCGCCACCGATTTCTGCATATTGTTTCTGGATCTTCGGAGTACGCCGGCGCGCAATGAGAGGTCCTATGTAGTTCTGAAGACGCCCGAGGGGTATCAGGTCGGCATCGGCCTGGAGGAGTTAGTTGGGCATGTATGATATGGGGTGGAATGCATACGAAGAGTCTACTAAGGAAATCGCCGACTTCGTCTGTTGTGGAAGGACCTCCCATGTTCATGAAGACCATGGCAGTTGGGCCCTTAGAGCCAGTAGCATTCTGCGTGACTGGTGGCACAGGCGGAACAGCCGTGGCATTCCCTCTTCGCCATTGCGGAGCGTGCTGCGACCATGCCGAGGTGGGGGAAGCAAAGGAAAGCGTCGACGATGGCTGGTGGCAGGCGCGGATGAGAGGGGCGCGCAACGCCATTTCAGAAGGGATGCCAGATGGAAGGAGGGCTTTCACGAAGTCATGGAGGTAGAGCCGTGAAAGAGGCCAGACCTCTAAAGTGAATAATGGGCCTGGGGGAAAAGAAGAAACCAATGGCGCACAGGTTGATGACAGCATTGAGCATCTCACATTAGGCGACGCCAGCCGAGTCGCCGACGAGCACTTCCAGTAGCTGCCACCAGGCACGTGAGGTCGCGAGCGGCCGGGCGCGGGGGACGCGCGAAGACCTCGCCAGACAGGGCTTCTGCCTGACTCGCCTCGTCTTCCCCGTCACTCACCACCACACCCACCGCGACGCTCGCCGCGACGACGATACAATACGCAATGGCAGATCTAGCTCACGACAACCGGCCCGGAGACGACGAGGGCGAAGAGGAGGAGGTCGACGATGCTAGCTACAAGACCATCAAGGATGCGGTGCTGTTCGCCATCGATGTCAGCCCGAGCATGCTACAGCGGCCACCCCCCTCAGACGACAAGAAGGCCGACCGCGACTCCCCCACGTCGGCCGCCCTTAAATGCGCCTACCAGCTGATGCAACAGCGCATCATCTCAAATCCGACCGACATGATGGGCATCCTCCTGTTCGGAACAGAGAAGACGCATCTCGCAGACGGCGACAACACATTTCCGCACTGCTATCTCCTCTCGGACCTCGACGTGCCGTCTGCAAACGACGTCAAGCAGCTGAGGAGCCTGGTCGAGAACGAGGAAGAGGCGGCGGCGCTGCTCCGGCCAGCAGATGAGCCCACCAGCATAGCAGCAGTGCTGTTCTGCGCGATCCAGATATTCACGACCAAAGCCCCCAACTTCTCATCGCGGCGGCTGTTCCTCGTGACCGACAACGACAACCCCGCAAAGATCAAGCAGGACAAAGACACAGCCATAACACGCGCTCGGGACCTGTACGACCTCGGATGCACCATTGACCTCTTCCCCATCTCAAGACCCGGTCACGGTTTTGACAGGTCCAAATTCTACGATGACCTCGTCTACCCTTCCTCACCCTCGGACCCAGATGCGCCCGCTTCCTTGCCTTCTGCCACCAAGGTCGCCAAAAGTGGTGATGGCATATCCCTCCTACAGCAACTCATCTCATCCATCAACTCGAAAGCAACCCCGAGAAGGGCATTGTTTAGTCTTCCCTTCGAGATCGGACCCGGTTTACGAATCGGTGTGAAGGGTTTCATCATTATAAAGCGCCAGGAGCACGTGAAGTCCTGCTACGTCTGGGTCGGGGGCGAGAAAGTTCAAATCGTCGCCAGCTCCACCTCACATCTGGCCGACGACACTGCTCGCGTCGTTGAGAAGACAGAGTTGCGAAAGGCATACAAGTTTGGAGGGGATACCATTACATTTACTCCTGAAGAATTTACACAAATACGACAATGCTTTGGGGATCCGGTCATACGCATCATTGGTTTCAAGCCAATTTCATCACTCCCAATTTGGGCCAATACTGGAAAGGCGACCTTCATCTACCCGTCCGAGTCAGACTACGTTGGTTCCACGAGAGTCTTCTCCGCCCTCCAGCAGAAACTCATTAACAGCAAGAAAATGGCAGTCGCCTGGTTTATCGCCCGCCGGAATGCGGCGCCTGTCATTACCGCCATCATTCCTGGAGAGGAGAAATATGATGAGGACGGAGAACAAATCATGCCTCCAGGGCTGTGGCTCATCCCACTTCCGTTCGTCGATGATATCAGGCAGTGCCCCGAGCAGGCCGATAACATCAAGACAACCGAAGAGCTGACTGACATTATGCGAAAGGTTATCGAGCAGTTGCAGCTCCCCAAAGGCGTTTATAACCCTTCAAAATATCCTAATCCTGGTAAGCGTCTTTTAACATTGGTTCCGTACATTGTTGACCGTAGCCCAGATTTGCAATGGTTTTACCGGATCCTCCAAGCTATGGCTCTGGAAGAAGAGGTACCCGAGAAAGCGGATGATAAGACGATTCCCAAATACAAACAGATTGATAAAGTACGCTCTTTCCCCTATTTAATTCACCTATCTCCTGGTGCCCCATAAGTCGGCCGATCTGATTAAATGAAATTAACAATCCCTACTAGCGAACCCGCGGGTACCTCGCCCAGTTCGGCCAAGAGTTTGATGAAGAACATAAGCGCCAAACACGAGGTAAACTGAAATCTTCTGCTGCCCCTCCAAAGAAGCGTGCCGCTACTTCATCAGCTCCCATCGAAGACTCAAAACCATCGAAGCGAATAAAGACAGAACCACAGGCGAATGGCAACGGAGGCGGGATGACGGACGAGGACATGGCGGCTCTTAGTGACCGCGGAAATATTAGTAAGGTATGTTGTAAAAATGCTTTGCGTCCCTGATTGAAGCTTGAAACTGACAGTATCATGATAGCAATCAGTTGGTGCGTTGAAAGAGTTTTTGAAGGCGCGAAAGCAGCCAGTGGCAGGAAAGAAGATCGAGCTCATTGAGCGCGTGCAGCAGTATCTTGAATCGAAGGGACTTTAATGGAGGGCCTGCGCGAGCATATATAGGAAGGGTACATCTAAGGGGCCGGCGTTTACAGGCAAAAGATGCGTGTATATTAGTGGGATGATTTCATAACCGCATGGCTCTTTCAAGAGGGTATCTCAGTCATATCGATAGTGAACTTCAAAATATCCTCATATATACTTCATCGTCTTCCGAATTATGATCTCCTGTTCTGGCCTCTTCTCCAGTCCATGTCACTTACATCCTCAAGGTAAGCACAATCTAAAGATGATTTTGAAGCTTCCCACCTTTACGCAAATCTCTAGGTCCTTCCCCCTTCCCCTTATTAAAGATGTGAATGTTTCTCGAACAACTCTAAATACAAGGTCTTCATAACGGGGTTTCTGAGACTTCTTCTACAGTTAAAGAACCGCCACGGTCTCTATTCCTCATCACACACAGCTGCAGTTTTGGATTATTTTAGATTTTCTTTTCGTGGACGCTGATGCATGATAAACCGAGACCATACGCGAGAGAAGACTCGAATTAGTGAGAGGATTTGGGGTGGAGGTGATCTGCAGGATCACGATCTAAATCTAAAGTATACTCTCATGGTTCAAGGAAGCCATGAAGCTATGATAACGAGGTATTTACATGTAATCGTGAAACATACGGGTATACGTAGATATTCTCCCGTGTGGAGCTATCATATACAGAAAGATGGTCAAAGTAACCATACTCAGTGCTGATCTTCCATACCTGCACCTGCATTTTGAAACCCGAACCAAAAGAGAATCCGTCCATCCATAAAAAGCCTCTAGCGTCCATTCATGAATATGTGCGGCGCGTAGAAACCAAAAACCAAAAACCGCTCAATTGAAAGCTAGAGTCAGTGGGGGTACGATCCTATTTCAGGCCTCAGACCCATGGTTGCGGAGGAGTCCGTACCTGGCTCTCGCCATCGCCATCGTTCCTCCAGCTCTTAAACGCCCGGGCAGGAATCTTCAACTCGAACATACGATCGATCTCCCCGATCGTCCTTCCCTTCATCTCAGGAATTAAGAACCAACTAACCACCACACCCAGAATACAAGATCCGACGTACGTGAAGCCAACTTTGCCGCGGAGGTTGCCTGCATCTGGGTTGAAAACATAGGGTAGTACGATGCCCGAGACGGCGCTGGTGAATGCAGAGACAAACCAGCCGATTCCCTGGGTTTGGGCTCGCAGTTGAAGAGAGGAGGTTTCGGCTGCGACGGCGAAGGAGGCTGGCCATACGCCGACACCGCAGACGATGATTACAAGCATCATTGATACAGCAGTCCACCTGCGCAGTGCGGTCAGTTTTGCATCAAGGAATACAAGCTTTCAGCGGTCTTACCACACAACAGCACCGCTGTGGAAACAATTGGCGATACCGTTAGATAGCCATAGGGCAGCGGCAACGGACAAGGAAATATTGATGAGTGGTCTTCGCCCGACTCGTGACATAGCCCAGACACTAACTCCGTTTGCTATTAATCCGAGAACGATTCCAAGGATGAGGAATAAAACACTGGAGTCCGCGCCCATACCGACGATCTGGAGAAAGTAGCTGGCTTTCCCAAGCAGCGGAAGCCCAAAAATAGAAGTCAGTGAGTTTGCCCACATGACGATGAAAGTACGGAGGAGGTTGCGCTTGTGGAAACACTCGGCGAAGGAAGCTTTGTTGAGCTGCTCCTCGTGTTCGATGTCCCTCCGAATCTTTTCGACATTGGCTTTGGTGTCAACGCCTAGAGGGTCAAGGCGGGCCTGGCTGTTCAATGCTTTGTCCATTTGCCTCTTGCGCACATAGTAGGCTGGGGATTCAGGAATGAACAGTGCTACAACGATTGGGACGAAGGAGAACGGCCATTGGGAACCAAAAGCTACCGTGTAGCCCTTGCCTTTGTTGAGGCTACCAAAGATGACGAGCGCACCGGTCAATTGGCCGAGAAGCGTGAAAACGGGGAAGAAGGCCATGCCTGAGCCTCGCAAGACGGGGGGCAGAATCTCCGACATGTATGTTTGCGTAGCTGCCATGACTGCACCGATTGAGAAACCCTGGAAAAGTTTCCCGGCAAAGAAACAGCCACGGCGACCGTCGATATCTGCTGGGAGATACGAGACAAACATGATGGCGACTGAGACGGCGGAAAGGAGGCTGCAACTGGCGAGCGCGAGGCGGCGACCAATTCTATCTTGCAGCCAGCCTCCGGCCAGTGAACCACACATAGCGCCGATGGGGCTTGAAACATTCCAGAGGGCAAGCCATGAAGAGGGGAGGATCCATTTGTCGTCGAGTTTTCTGCCAAAGTCTTTCCTGATTTCGTCAGTATACGAATGTCCTGGAATACAGAAGTGGAATTGTGGGAAGGTTGCAAAACCCAAAGATCAACAGGATTAAGTATAAACATAGGTCAAGCATTAGGGAATGGGACGAAACGGGAAACATAAAACGTACTGGAAGCCAGGCATTCCAGAGACGGTGCCGACGACGACATTGTCATAGCCATACAGCAGAATGGCAGAGGTCAAGGCAAATGTGTATCCCACAACCTTGCGATACTTCTTAATGTTCTGCCATAGGGTTCGGCTCGCGTCGCTAGTTTCGCTGCTGAAGGAGTCGTGAGACGTGACTTCGGTGATCTCCTCGACATCGGTCTTGTCAAGTCGGTCATTTTCGCGCGCCATGACGGCAGTTGCTGCTGCCACCGGGGCAAAGGGTGCAGTTGGACAAGCGTTGAAGGCTTCGGAGAGCGACCAGGACACAGGACAGAGTGAGCAGCGCCGTCGAATATTATGTAGAATCTGCCAAGGGAAGTTGCACCTGGCGGCAATAAAGGGTGCGAATCAGATCGCGGGTAGATTCATGAAACTCAGCCATGGGGAAGGTGATCTGCGAGGGATCGGGGAATGTGCCATCGCACGGTCGGAGTCGGGTTTCAATCTCAGACCTGCCCTCTTGGAGCTGTATTTATCGCTGCCCGAGCCAGTAAAAATGGGCCCCTGATACTCCAGCTGCTGCATCCAACGCGGAATTAAAATCTCACACCGTGCACGGAACGCCTCGTTTCCTCATTTGGCGAGCGTGATATGCATGTCCATAGATAGCCCCTCACTTGCGCCCCACAAACTCCTTGCAATGCAGAACACTGGAAAAGAATAATCGGTCCTACACAGAATGTGCATCATGATGAGAGGGCATTTGCTCGAGGAAACTCTGCACTGCGCCACCAACGTTCTCCAGGTCCAGGAGAAACGTATCATGCCCGAACAGGCTCTTCTCCTCACCCAACTCAATATACGTCACATCCTTATTCCCTGCACGCTGAAGCGTCTCCGCGATTTCACGTTGCTGCCAGGCGGGGAATAAGATGTCGCTTGCGACGCCGAGCACTAGAGCTGGAGTATTTGCGAGAGGTTTCAATCCTGCTACTAGATCTTGAGGCGGATGACGAGGATCAAGAGCCGCCTCAGCCTCACCATTGACAGCCGCATCTGCAGGCTGCTCTATCTCTTCGTAAGGCTGATCGGGAAGAGTGAGATTGCACAGGTCGCCGTTTGCGCTAGTCTCAATGGCCTCACCATCCATGAAAGCCTGCAGTTTGCTAGTATTCTCCTGGCGTAACTTGTTGATACGGCTGCGGTGCTCTTGTCCAAGATCGAAGAGATCCATAGCTTTGGAAACGTACAGAAGACTGTTTGGGTCGTACTCCAAACACCATTTCTCTCCTGCGTGGTCGAGATATGTCTCAATGAGGAAATCCGGGCATAGGGCCGGGGGGCGCGAAGGATCCGCGCGACGACGCCCGAAACGCTGCTCCCATTCCGGCCCGCTTCGGTACGTGACGGTTGCGATTTCACGAGCTAGCTTCATGCCGCCGTGTGGAGGTATCCGATCGTAATAAAATCCCCGAGACCAATTTGGGTCCATCATAAGCACTAAAACGAGCGGTCAGTAAAAGCCGAGGTAGCCCCCTAATGGCGGAGACTTGCCTTGGCGCTGCGTATGCCTCATGGCAATGCTATATGGATGGCTGCGCGCGCACCCACTGATGCTGACGATGCGACCGACGCGTTCATTGAACAGAACGCCAGCCGCAAGACTTTGCATGCCACCCATGCTAGACCCGACGCTTGCGTAAAGCTTCTCGATCCCGAGCCCATCTAGGAGTCGGAACTGGGCGCGAACCATGTCTTCCATGGTGAGTATCGGAAATCTCGTTGCATACCGCTCACCGTTTCCTGGGTCAACGGAAGAAGGCCCTGTAGAGCCATAGCAACCCCCAACGACGTTGGTGCATATGACGAAGTACTTATCCGTATCAAGAGGCTTCCCAGAACCGATGAATTTCTCCCACCACCCAGGCTTTGGATTTGTTGCGGTACTGTGTGCATGGCTTGATGCCGACAGGCCAGTGTGTAGTAGGATTGCATTGCTTCTCTCTAAATTCAGAATGCCCCATGTCTCATACGCAATGTCAAACTCGGGCAGTATACCACCCCAGTCAAGAAGCAGAGGCTGTCTAGAGTGGAAGTTGAGGTGGCTGCCAGTAGTGTATGAAGGCTCTGGGCCGGAGAGAGAACGGCGGGAGAGTGAAGCGGATCGGGATTCAACGGCGTCGAGACAAGGGAAGGACAACGCGGGATTTGTAGACTCGTAAATTTGGGACTCTGGCTTAAACTCTGGCTGAACTGCAGCAGACTGAGCCTTGCGCGGGGCCTGCAGATGAAGCTTTCGGGAAGCCTGGTTCGACTGGCGTCTGGCCCCTACATATGGGATAGCCCAAGATGAGCGCAATGGTGTAAATGTTCCCAGTGGTCGGTGAAGTGAAGGTCGCGCAATAGCAACCAGTCTACGGGGGAGGCTCATAGTCGCTGTTTGTGTTGACGTTGGATCCGTCACACCGTTGTAGGAGAGAGAGGGTAGAGGTACACAGAGACAGCATGATGACGCTATTGATTCTCCACATTATTAACATATCGTTTGTTGTTTCCTAATCCTAAGGTGAGGCACTCTGGGTCGGGCCTTCGTCAAGTGCCGTTCTGATAAAATGAGCATATTCTGAGTTTTCCATAAATACGCTTACGCTAGCCAACTTTGATTGGTTAACACACCAGCTTGTGCTGACATACTCCCTCTTAGCATTCACATTTCGTGTGTTCTTACCTGCTGCCACTGAAACGTGGTAATATCACGCCTTAGCACGTGCTTGAAGATCTTCGGTTTTGGATTCTTTTCCAGAAAGTTGTCTTTTTCGCTCAAGATCGTTTCGGCGATCATGGGAGCTCAGAGGCAATTCAGTCTCGAGGTCAGTACGGAATCTTGTAATTTGAGATATCGCGACATATTTGGTGGAACGAACGTCCAGCTGACTAAGCGGCTCTTGCTGATCCTCAACACCAAGACTCCCATCACCAATTTCTCTCTAAACCTTCGTGACTCTCAAAGTGAACTCGCCTTCAAGCTTCTTCCATAGAAAGTACATGAAATACGGAAACATGGAAACCGGAATACTGGGGTGCATCACAGTTATTTGCCGTTTTCCGGGAAGTGTATATTAGCTCGGCATAGAATTGCTTGCGCTTTCGTTCTGCCTGCTCACTATTCATGTTTGTGCGCTTCGCCTAGATACTTTATGTCAGGCAGCGAACCTGTCGTACGGCCCGGGTTCCGATATCGTTTTAATCTATTCACAGGCACTCCATAACGTCAAACATCGCTCGTTTGATCTCATCCACACAACAATAGAATCTCAACCCCGCTTTTCACTCCCTCTGAGTGAGTGGCGTATTTAAGCTTTGACGTCTCCCGTATAGGCTCTCCAATTGAAATCGAACCCTGGAATGTAACCCGTGGCTGCGCCTACATGGACATCCCGGGTTGCCACACGCATGACAAGTCACTTGCCAGGTAATATAGAATAGCCCGGATCTAGGTGGGCAAGAAAACTCCATTGGAGCAAAATCGCCTAGGTTTCCTCCTATTCGGCTTGCGCAGCCTTAGGTCCACAGCAATTTCGGCAACCCGCTAGCAAACCAGGTCACGTATTTGCTCAACCTGGTAATGAAGGGAGCCTTGTCCCATGATGGCGCATCTTCACACAATGACTGAGACTAGATGGGCAAGATTTGTCCGTCACTCGAGGATCAGGCTTATACTGGTGGTTAATATATTTATGGCAAGATAGAGGTTAGATGGGTTGAGGTATAAAGGTCAAGGTAGCAGGACGGGAGACCTGAGCTGGCCAACTGTGCATACTGAATCTCCACCATCATGAAGTCATTCACTGCCTTTGCGTTTGCTTCACTTACGTTTTTGAACACCGCCAATGCCCATTGTACGTTCCTCCTTTTCTTCCCTCTATGCTCCCTATGACCTTGAGCCTTACATGTTGGTGTATATGATGGACACCCTTGTATATCTGGATAGAATAGTACATCGTTTTGGTGCCCTTCTTGTTTCAGGAATAGGATATTAGGACCTGGTTGACTCTCTGCAATATGTAACGGTCTGGACTGCACCGCCATGATATAAATCCCGCCCTTTCCAGTATCTCAATTCTTGATTAGATACTCTCACATCGATTTCTTTCCATACTTCCAGGACTAACACACTAACGTTGTAAATTAGATATCTTCGAGTACCTGACCGCAAACGGGGTCAAGGGTTCGGCATATCAGAACGTCCGAAAGAACACCAACTACAACTCCCCCGTAACCGATCTGGCCTCGAACGATCTCCGGTGCAATGTCGGTGGAGGCTCAAGCGATGGCACGACTACAGTATCAGTTGCTGCAGGTTCATCCGTCACGTTTACAGCAGACACAGCTGTCTACCATCAAGGACCTGTCTCTTTGTAAGCAACCCAGATTCGTGGTTGGACAAGGTGGCTAATGATCTCCAGTTACATGACCAAGGTTGACGACGCAACTAAGGCAGACGGGAGCACTAACTGGTTCAAGATCAAGGAAATTGGGCCAATCTTTCCTGGAGGTACCTGGGACTTGGAGCTTAGCTACAGCGTCCCGATTCCATCTTGCGTTGCCCCAGGAGACTACCTCCTTCGAATTGAGCAGTTGGCTATCCACAATCCCTACCCCGGCGGTATACCGCAATTCTATATTTCATGTGGGCAATTAAAGGTCACCGGTAGCGGTTCGAAGACGTTCAGCGGTGTCAAGATCCCAGGTCACGTGAAAGTAACGGACCCAGGCTACACAGCGAACATCTACAACAACTTCAGCAACTATACCGTACCTGGTCCCGCTGTCAGTACGTGCTAAGTGGCGTGAGAGAGGCCTTTTCGATCCACTATATGCTAGCATCTGCTACACTGCCGCTAGTAACATGTAGATGGCTGAAGGAATAAGACATCTGCTGTAGTCCTGCTGTCACTTAGGGCTAGCGTATTCCGTCCCATTTGCCAGCATGAAATAGGGGCTTGAGGGCATTGATTCCTGGTAGGACAAGGAACCCTTCGATGTACATATTTTGCAAAAAAAAAATCAACTTGGCATGAAAGTTCGAGAACATGTTTATGTAGGAAAGTTCTTTTATTCGCCTAGAAAGCGGTCCCTGGCCGTCGGACAATTTACCACGCCGCTTCGTAATTGACCAACTCAGGGGAGCTTTCCATGGGCCCTTGAAAAAGCAACGATGACGTGATAATCTGGTCTGCTCACTCAACAACGGTGAATTGTCAGCCTGAATGTACGTGGTGGAGTTCAAGGCGTGAAACAAGTGTGCCACAGAAGGGGCTGGACCTGCAGTTCAAGAACAGGAGGAAGTTTGAAGATGAGGTGCTATAAATGGAAACATAGAGGGTTTCTTTACAGCATCTAGAGGGGCAGGAGCGGGCGTGCAAGTCATACGGCGACAGTCTCAAACATCTCGCCGTGCAGTAGTATATTCGATAGAGCAACAGACGGGGTATGTGCGCGCAGGGGTGTAGGAGGAGGAATCGAGCAGCAAAGGTCGCGTGCAGGGCCACCGAACGCCTCTTGTCTCTCTGCCAGACTTGGCGCCGGGGCCAACCGCCAGCCGCTGAACAACCTTCAGTACAATCTCCAATCTTACCTCTCTCTCTCCCATTGTCACCCGCCCGCAGCCATCACCGCGCTCCTCGCTGCACTACCCTCCGCGCTCGACACACCTACTTCCAACCCCCTTAGACCCTCCGCACTCTGTCAGACGGCCCTGCAGCGACCTCCACGGTTGCCCTTGACACACGAAACACTAGCACCCCCTCTCCGACGGCGCACTCTGTCTCCCTTGAGTCGGCCTTTTTGGCTCGAATGTCCCTGTGAGGCCCAAGACTGCAGAAGCTGTCTTTCTCGTGTGCTCTTGTGTCTCTCCACGCCGGCAGACGTCGTTCTGAGCGCTACCGAACCTGTCTCCTGCCTCAACCATGGATCACGACGACTACTTCAGCAACGCCGTCGACAGCGGCCCCCCCGGAGTCCAAGTCGACTCGGACACTGACATGACGGCCTCTTCATCGACAATGCGCCCGACCATGTTCTCCTCGCCAACCACCCACACCCGGAAGCAGGGCAGACTGTCGCGCTCCGCAGCACCGCGACCCATCATCACCCCCACAAGTCCTCTCTCGTCAACAATACCTCACAATCTGCTCCCATCAGCGCCTGCGTCTCCGCCGACACCCGCCCCGAGCCCGACACCGACGCAGCGTGCTCCCGACTGGAGTACGGCGGCTGAACATGAGGACTCGCAAATCAAAAATACGCGGGTGCAATTCAGCGAGATGAACAGGGCCGAACGCCTGCGACTTCTTGGAGAACTCCTAAATCTGTGTGATAGTCACGAGCTGAGCTTTGTTGCGGAATTTGTAAGCCCGAGGTTGAAGAAGGACCCATTTATGGTCCTCCCGACGGAACTTTGTTTGCGGGTATGTAGCACTTTCCAAGGGTTTGTACTTGGTTATGGATAGCGTTCTGACACATCTGTGCAGATTCTAGAATGTGTCGACGATCCGACGACGCTCGTCCGCGCCTCGCAGGTTTCCAAGAAGTGGAGGGAGCTTGTTAGCGACGACACGGCTTGGCGGCTGTTGTGTCAAAAATTCTCCTATCGCGGACTCTCAAAAGAAGAGCGGAGTGAAGAAGACGATCCTGGGGACGAGTGGGATACCGAATCGAAGCCCTCTCAGTGGCTGCAACCGCCCCGGGCATCCCGACCAGAAGACGCTGTGATGAGCCCGCAGGCGGATGGCCTTTCGTCGGGCAACGGAACGGAAAGTCTGCGAACACAAAGCCTGGACCGGGGAGCTAAGAGGAAACCTTCCCAGCGCAGACCAAAAGCCACCACATACCGCTCACACTTCAAGCAACGGTACATGGTGGAAACCGCATGGCGGTCAGGAGGCGTGTGTGATGCTCGCCAGATCACACCTGATCAAGGAGTTGTGACGAGCCTGCATCTAACCAAAAAGTACATCGTTGTTGCCCTCGATAATGCCAAGATTCACGTTTTCGACGTAAACGGCTGTCATCAGAAGACCCTCCAGGGCCACGTGATGGGGGTATGGGCGATGGTGCCTTGGGGAGACCTTCTTGTCAGCGGTGGCTGTGATCGTGATGTGCGGGTCTGGAATCTAGCGACTGGGTATGTTGTGTCTCGAGACGCTATAGATCACACGACTAACTGGAAAATCGCAGCTATCCCCAATTCACATTGCGCGGCCACACGTCGACAGTCAGATGTCTGAAGATGTCCGATGCTAACACGGCTATTTCGGGCTCGAGAGATACAACGCTCCGGATATGGGATCTCAAAAAAGGCCTTTGCAAACACGTCCTCATAGGTCACCAAGCAAGTGTCAGGTGCCTCGAAATTCACGGCGACATCGTTGTATCCGGCAGTTACGATACAACCGCGAAAATATGGAGCATATCCGAGGGCAAGTGCTTACGCACGTTGACGGGGCATTTTAGCCAGATATATGCAATTGCCTTTGACGGGAAGAAGATTGCGACTGGAAGTCTGGACACCAGTGTCCGAATATGGGATCCCACGGACGGGTAAGTTCATCTGTATTCCAGGCTTCTACAATGGCTAATCACATGTTGATAGAAAATGTTTGGCTGTATTACAAGGCCATACCTCACTTGTCGGCCAGCTCCAAATGAGGGAGGATATCCTCGTCACTGGGGGGTCCGACGGCTCTGTTCGTGTTTGGTCCTTGACAGACTACCAACCTATTCATCGTTTAGCCGCACATGACAACAGCGTCACCAGCTTACAATTTGACAACACGCGAATCGTCAGCGGTGGGAGCGACGGTCGGGTGAAAGTGTGGGATCTCAAGAAGGGCACTCTAGTCCGAGAGTTGAGTTCCCCGGCCGAAGCCGTCTGGAGAGTGGTGTTCGAGGAAGAAAAGGCTGTCATTATGGCCAGTCGGAGCGGCAGAACCATTATGGAGGTAAGCGTTTTGCATTTAACAACTTCTCTCAAGGATCTAACGAGAGCAGGTTTGGTCATTCTCACCCCCGGACGACGAAATTGACGACTTCCGGTCGAGCAGCCCTGCAAGCATGCCAGATCACTCAATGGACTACGAGGAACGACCTCAGTCTGCTGCGGCAGCCCTCCTAGACGAAGGGGATGTCACCATGGCGGACTCCACAGAAGCATGCGCATAATTCCGCAACGCCTCGATTTTTGTTTGTTGTACAACCCTAATAATGTTTTCCTACTTAAAATGCATATGTTGCGAGGACCTAGTGAAGAGAAGGGGATAAAATTTTGGATGGCGCTTTGTCGACAAATATACCTGGCCAGTCATATATAACACCACGTTTGATTTTAAGACGGACAGGAGAAGGGCTCTCTCTCTGCTTTCGGTGACTAGGCGGGAGAGGACGCAATGCACGGCAGATTTATGTGCATTTGTGAGGAGTTTGTCGCTTCCATGCATTCAGCCCATGGGCGGGCATTTACTCTGGACTGGCTATTATGTACGGGTTTTTGGTTCTTGAGATGTGCAATGTGCATCAGGACATAGATGGGCTTCTCCAAGTGTCTAGTCATTGTTGAAGCGAGTATCAATCAACATAGAACTCTATCCTTCATATCCTGTGCTACGTATGGGCTAACATCCAACATAACCGGCTTTGGTGTTTCGCGAAGCCTGGACGGTAGTGCCATGATGACAAGCTTGTTCAAGCCTTCAGTCAGCTAGACTAGCGTGGACGCTAAGCGATCGACGTCATATCAACGCGAACGGATACTGCGGGATGCAACCCACACCATGTCAATGATAGATAAATACCGAGCGGCCAACCGCTCCGGCAAAGTTCCTGCATTTCCCTGGGACCCCAATTGAGAGACGAAGAGAACAAGATAGCGGGCAAGCTAGAAACTATGAAGCCCCAGCGCAAGATAGAGCTCTTCTCGGGCACCTATTTTACTGCTTGCACGCTTGGAGGTGTTGTTGGTAGGCAATCGATGACAATAAGCACCTAAAGCCATAGTCTTCTAACCTTTATTCTTGCAGCTTGCGGCCCAACGCACACCATGGTCACACCTCTAGACCTAGTGAAATGCCGCCGTCAAGTTGATGACAAGCTCTACAAATCGAACACGCAAGCCTGGAAGATGATATACCGCAGCGAGGGCATCCGCGGTGTCTTCTTCGGCTGGACACCTACCTTTGTTGCCTACTCGTTCCAGGGTGCCGGCAAATACGGATTCTACGAAGTCTTCAAGTACTTGTATGGTGACAGGTTCTCTCCCAACATGAACAAGACGGTGGTATATCTTGCTGCCTCGGCGTCTGCAGAGTTCCTGGCCGATGTTGCGCTCTGTCCGTGGGAGGCAATCAAAGTGAGGATGCAGACTTCGTTGCCGCCATATGCGAATACCTTGAGAGAAGGGTGGTCCAAGATCGTGACCCAGGAGGGCTATGCAGGGCTTTACAAGGGCCTTTATCCCCTCTGGGGCCGACAAATTCCGTATACCATGGTCAAGTTCGCCACTTTTGAAAAGGCAGTCGAGCAGATATACAAGACGTTGGGGAAGCCAAAAGAGAGCTACAATGGCTTACAGCAGACAGGAGTGTCTTTTTTGGGTGGCTACATTGCCGGTATTGGGGCTGCGGTTGTGTCACATCCTGCTGGTATGTCAGATGGAGTGATAATTCGAGAAGGTATACTGAGAAGAGACAGATATGATGGTATCGAAGCTCAACAGTGAACGGAAAGGTATGTGCTCCCAGCTTGTCCTTAGATAGAGCGAATGCTAATATTTGCGTAGCTGGCGAGGGTGCAGGCCAAGCTGTGACGCGCATTTATGGCAGTATTGGTTTCAGGGGACTCTGGAATGGCCTCCCCGTGAGGATATTTATGATTGGAACCCTAACAGTAAGTCATCCATTCACGGGTTCCTACACGGCAGATCGGGAAATTCTTAACTAATTACCTTAACTAGGCCTTCCAATGGCTTATTTACGACTCGTTTAAAGTATACCTCGGTGTAAGTTTGACCCTAGTGCTCTGATTTCATAAGTGTTTTGAAGCTGATGATTCACATTGTGTAGCTGCCGACAACCGGGGGTCACTAGACGATGCCTATTAAAAGCGAGGGGAAACCAAGCTTAAAGCAGTGACTGGGCTAGAAAAAGCGTGTGTGTTAGTGAGAGACTACGGAGGAAAGCAGGAAGCTAATTCGCCATGAAGGATGTAATCTCAGCGGTTATAGGGTTATGGCGAAGTTACTCCGCATAGATGTACATCTTTTGGTGTTCGACTCTAGAGGGATTGCTGGGTTTAGTGGAGTTTTCGTTGTAGTCTTAGTTTTCATTCCAACCTGGTGCAATTCTGTTTCATCTTCCGGCCATTGACTCACGTCATCCATAAACTCCTAGAACCCACAAAAAACATCTCATCAATCCGACGAAAGCAAGGATTGGCATCTCCAACCACTGTTCACCCCTGCTCAGCCCGATATTTACCCGGCTTAGTGCCTCCGTGATAAATACACTGCTAACCCCACTTCTCATTGAGCTAACTCTCCCAAGAACCTCCTCCCGTGGCTCCAGCCCTCGCGCGGCTGGGCGATATCCGGTAAGGTTGCGGAGATGGTCCACGATGACCTCGTGCACCGTCTGTAAATGCCGTTAATCACATATTTCCGGGTTTGAATAGAGCTATGACGATTTCTGTTGAGCCATTGGCGAGATTCTAAGGCCGAGGATGAACAAATTGAGGGGACGCATTGGTAGGAACTACTCTGGAGTATATATGGCGGAGCTCGAGGCCGGAGAGTTGATTCTTCTCCCGTATCTACGTTTAGTTACTTGGGTTTTACTTATCATGGCTCTTTGTAGTTGGCTTTACCTGCCTCTATGGATGTGTGCTACCCTCGCAGCTCCGTTAAATAGTTTACGGGGTTACATCTCTCCTCCCTCCGTCACCATAAAGAATGGAACACTTGAGGGCATCCATTCTGGAGAATATGGCCAGGACTTCTTCCTCGGAATTCCCTTTGCTCAGCCACCTGTCGGTTCTCTTCGTTTCCGCGTCCCACAACCGATCAACACTTCGTGGACATCCACCTACTCTGCAAAGCAGTATTCAGCAGCATGCATCGGGTACGGAAGCGATGAATGGCCGTATTCTTCACTCTCTGAGGACTGTTTATATTTGAACGTCATTCGCCCTTCCGGCTATGAGGACCAAAAGCTCCCCGTAGCATACTGGATTCATGGTGGAGGTTTGACCGAGGGCAGTTCCATTGACCAGCGGTACAATATGAGTTTCATCGTGAAAAAGAGTGTGGAGATTGGGAAACCGATTATTGGGGTGAGTGTGAATTATCGATTAAGCATGTGGGGATTTATTACAGGGGATGAGGTGGTGAAGACCGGGAACACGAATTTGGGCTTTAGGGATCAGAGATTGGGGATGCATTGGATTCGGGAGAATATTGAAGCCTTTGGAGGTATGTCTAGTCTCAATTCTCTCCAAATGACTGTTCAACTCACAACTGTGGGTATCTCGTGATAAAGTCCTGAGGCTGACAGGCAGCTAGGAGACCCAAAACAGGTTACCATCTTTGGTGAGTCCGCGGGAGGCCTTTCTGTTGGCATGCACCTCACCGCGTACGGTGGGCGCGATGACGAACTCTTCCGTGGTGCCATCATGCAAAGCGGGAATCCTATCAACTATGGCACCTTTGAGTACAACCGCGACAACTTCCTAAACACCTCAACCCAGCTCGGTTGCGGGAAGGCTACATCCAAGCTAGACTGTCTCCGCGCCATTCCCTTCGACACTCTGAATAACTGGATTAATAGCACAGCAGGGATGAATTTGAGATGGTCTCCAATTATCGACGGAGATTTGATCCAAAGAAAGACCAGTGTGCAGTTACAGAGCGGGGACTTCGTCCACGTCCCCATTATCGACGGAGCGAACAGCGACGAAGGCACCGCATTCGGACCCGCTGGCGTAAACACAACGCAGGATTTTACGAAGTTGCTCGAGAACGCGCCACAGCCCGTTACCCTGACCTCCTCCCAAGCGACCAAAGCCCTATTAGCGTATCCCACAAACATCACCGACGGCGCCGTTCCTACAAACGAACCCCCATCCTTTGTCTCGCCAAAGGGTGCTATGAGCAGGAGATCCGACGCCTACTACGGCGACGTTACCATGATCGCACCCCGACGCAAGACTTGCCAGACTTGGGCTTCTTTCTCCATCCCAGCATACTGCTACCGATTCAACACCATTCCACACGGCATACCCACATACATTGGCGCCACCCACTTCCAAGAAGTTGCGTTTGTATTCGACAACACCATGGGCCTAGGTTACGGCTACCCCGGCGTGAGCGAGAATCCATTTGAAGGGAAACCTCAAAGCTACTTGGACCTGGCAGCCACCATGAGCGCCGCTTGGGTCAGTTTCGTACATGATGGAGCGCCTGGAGTGTATTGGCCTAAGTATGAGGGGGAGGTAGGACGGAATTGGGTGTTTGATGCTAATGTAGCGGGGTTGGGGTATGCTGAGATGGATGACTGGAGAAAAGAGGGGATTGATTTAATTAACACTTGGAATGAGGAGGTTTTCATGCGGTAGGTTGGATCGCTGGTATCTATGGACATGCTATCGTAAAGTGGAGTGTTTGGGACTATTTAGGAAGGAGAATCCTTTAGGCATGTTGCTTGATATTCGGCACTTAGTCGGTAGGAAGCAGAGTCCTGCGTAGAATCTGGCTCCTATAAAAGAAAGAACCGAAGAATCGCATCTAGAGGATGTTGTACTCTTAAACCCAATATTGGAAACAGTCAATAAACAAGATTCTAAACATTTTTCTGTATGCTCCTTGAGTGAAGCTATAGGTCCCTAGTCTCGGATAAATTGGCACCTGATATTAAATACATGAGGAAGATAATGGCGGGAGACGGCAACCTTTAGCTATGGCCCTAAGCCCGGTACCAGACGAACAGGTCATATCGTCTCTGGTAAGCCTCTGTAGCAGTATACCTTGGCATATGGTAGGGGTTGGCTCCAAGCGTTGTCCTTGTATATACTTCGGTGTTGACCCGTCAACCTTCACCTCCAGAGACATCTTCGTCTTCAGAATCTTCCCATATCGTCTGAATGGACTTGCTATTTATCTTCTTAGTAGCTTCGATGCCACCAGAGGTAAGATAGAGGAACGTCGGGTCCCTGTAATTATCTAAATGGGTGAAGAATGTGTTGAATCTAGGAACAGTTAATGAGTATATCCTCAAGAGCGCATGCTATTCACTCACTGATTACCTTGGGCCTCCTCTCGGAAGATGCGTTGATAAATCTCCCTTTCTTTAAACTCTTCCATGGCTTCCTCATAGTTGCTGAAATCGATCTTCTCCCTACCGTTCGGCACGGCCTGTTTCTCATTGTAAGATTCGAAAACTGGCCTCTCAAGTAGTAAACCAAGGCCAGGTGCCTTTGGAATCCTCATAATTACATTTTCAAACGATTCCTTCATTCTCTCAGGATTGGTACCACAGCGAACTGTAAGCGCAGCCATACCGACCATCTTTCGAATTTGATGCATCATGAAGCTTTGTCCATGGACCTTTAGACTCAACCACTCTGTGTCGTTGATGATAATCGGTTTAGGGGCGACTTTGAACGATTTGATAAATCGTTGGGCTGAACGATCTGTGAATTTCTTCTGAACGGTGTAGTTGTGGTATTTCCTCGTGCCGACGTAGAGGTCAAGGGCTGCCTGGACACGAGCTTGTCGCTCTGGCGATATGCGGTATGCTTTCTTGGCATCGAGGTACGCTTTCTTGAGGGCTTTGATGCCAGCTTCCAGCGCAGGTTTGCTGACAATGGAGTCGGGGAGGGGAATGGTGGCGTCTGTCCTGTCATCTGGGACAATGTTTGGCTCCCGTTGCTCGATGGCGTCAACAACTTCCGCTACCTCGTCCTTGGCCGGCGATGTATCACCGTTTGTTTTTGAATCAACTTCGCTGGTTGTGGAATCCATCCCTTCCCCTGTCTTTTGCTCTTCAATGGGAATATCAAGGGCAGCACCAATGGCAGGATCGGGCTCTGAGCTGTCGGTTGCATCCACTGAGTACAATGCCTCTTCTACAAGGGGCCGTATGGAATCATCAAGAGCGTCTAGGATGGGCTTAATGTGGGTCTTTTCAACATCTGACCAAAAAGCTGCAACCTCTGCTTGTCGATTACGATACTCGCCTAGCTCTCCGGCCTTTTCGGCGTACTCTTCCAGCTTTTTACCCATAAAACTAGAAGGGTGCGGCGGGATGAACGAGTGTGTTGGGATAAGATATTCGTACCAACGGGAGTCACATGCCTGGTAGCAGCTGAAGGACCCCGTGGTTCGCTGAATGCCCCATATCCTAATCTGGGGGGAGAGATGGCTGTTGATCTTTTGAACTATGTCAGAATCCTCAATGATTAATTTCAAAGATATCACATTTCCGGCGGCGTGAACACCCTTGTCCGTGCGGGCACAGCGGACGAGCGACGACTTCTTCGGGTCGTCAGCGTTAGCTTTAGAGATAGCACCAGCGGCAACAAAGGCACTGAATAAGTCGCCCTCGATGGTCTTATGCTTCTTGTCGATCTGCATGCCGCGATATCCTGTGCCGGAGTATCCTAGCATAACGGCGACTTTGCGCTTGGGCCTGCGCTCCTCGGCGTCAAGCTCCTCCTGGGGAAATGCAGAGGGAAGGATGGACTCTTCGTTCTTGGCGTTTTCGTATTTTTCCTTGCGCCGCGTCTGCTCGGCCTCATTGCGCCCACGTCTATCTAGAGGAGCCCGTCTTGCTTAGTTAGAGAAGGGCTTGGAGGGCGTGGGAGGACATCCTACAAGTATTCTTTACGTCCCATATTTCTCTTCTTACTAGGATGGCTGCCATGCTGGAGATGCTTTCCTTTCCCTCGTCGACGGTCACGGTCATCCAACTTGCGCTTTTTATGGTCGCCCTTTGGGGGCCCACTCCCGTCACCAATTGATGGCACCATCGCGGACTGCGCGGATTGGTCAGAAGTCTGCTCCATGGTGGGGAGCAGATGGGCATGGAGAATTTGGAGGTGAGTGGGGGCAGAGGTGAAGTAACGAGATAGCTCCAGCACGGATTTCCTCAAGCCTAAGATTTCTTTACCGCCCTCGTCGCCGCCTCGAGCTTGGGCCATAACTGAGCCAGCGCCAGCCCTACGGAGAGAAAGCCAACGAGCCGCATTTGCACCTCACTTCATCCACAGCCACCCGCATCCACACATCCCCAACCCCATACCAACGACGTCGCAAGTCTGTGTGCGCCTCCACGCACAACTTGCAAGCCAGCCGTGCGCGCAAGGCCCACCATGGACCCCCTCGAGCTGGCCAAGGTCTTCGTCAAGACGGTGGTGCGCATGTTCTACGAAACTGAGCACATCGTCGTCATCGATGCACTAGTATTCCACGGCGCGCTGTCGCTGTCTGACCTGGTCATCGTTCTCGACTACGGTAAGAACCAGAAGAGCGCGCAGAAACTGTGTGGCAAGCTGAGGGAAGGTGGTTTGCTCTCCGTCTTCGCACGGCAAGAGCTGCGCGACGGCGCGATGAAGGCGGTCAACCGCGAGTACTTCTACATTGACTACCGCCGTGCCATCGACGCCACTAAATACAAGATCCACGTCTTGGACGAGCGCATCAAGGACAATGCGAAGCCGACGCAGGAGAAGAAGGAGTTCATCTGCCCACAGTGCAAATCGCAGTGGACCGCCATGGAACTGCTCGACAAGATCGACCCTGAAGGCCGGGCGAGCGGCTTTTTGTGTCGAACCTGCGACCACCCAGTCGACTCCATACACAACACCGAGTCCATTCTGGAACCCGAAAACGACGACACCCCGGCGAAATTCAACCGGCAGTTTGGCCCCCTCCTCAAGCTCATGCAGCAGATTGACGAGGTCACGATCCCCGCTATCGAAGGCCAGGACGCGCTTGATGCTGCCGTTGAACTGCCTCGCGATAAGGACCTCAACCCCGCTGCAAGGCACGAGGCCGTACCCACAACAACTGTGCGCCCAACAGCAGTGAAGGGAGTGGCAGCCCAGCAAGAGAAGATCGAGGTCTCGATTGCGACTAATTCCGAGTACACCGAAGCCGCTCGGGCCGCGGAGGCTCAACGGGCAGCGAAGATTGCACAGCAAAACCTTCTGCCGGAGTGGCACACAAAGTCGACTGTCGTTGACAAAGAGTACTATTCTAGCACACAGGCTTCAAAGCCTACAACGAATGGGACCGATACGCAGACTCTCAAAGAGGGGCCAACCGAAGAAAAGAAAGGCCAAGATTCTGAGCTGGATGCCGTGTTTGCCGCCTTGGAGGAGCAGCGACGTAAAGAGGAGGCAGCTGCGGAAGACGAGGAAGAGGAAGAAGATGACGAGGATGAAGATGAGGAGTTCGAGGATGTTCCCGTTGGAATTGTTGGAACTCCAAATGGAGTCCCGGATGCCAAGCGGATCAAGCTAGAAAGCTCGGCTGCCCCTTCTCCCAGCGCGGGTGCAACTCCAGCCTCAGGTGCAGCTCCCTCGATGGCTGGTGGAGAGGAGTCGGAAGAAGACGAATTCGTGGACGTTTGATTTATTTGCATCAGCGATGGCGTTGGCGGATGATTTTGGCGTTCTATACCTGAAACGGATATGTGGAAGGGATGAAAAGGGCATAAGCATTGAGGGACCGTCATCTGTAGAATAGACATGTTCTGATTTTCTGGCTTGGCCGCACTACCTCTTCTTTCCCCATAACATTGACTGCTATCGCTACGAGCTCGTTATCTACGCTTTATACCAGCAGCTCTTTGACCGATAAACTTCCCCCCTTGCAACACAGGGTAGGGGCCAGCATCGTGAGCTAAGCGAGCAGCCCCGCCACACATTGACCAGCCCAGCTCTCACCCCGCCGACCCGCCAGCCCAGCGCCCTCACCAGCATCCTCACAGTACCGGCACCCGCATCCTCCTGTGCACCGCAACCCTATGTTCGATGGACCCAATTTAGCACCATTCCCACCATGGCTGCCTCGGCGAAATCCCTGACAACCCTCCTCGCCCAAACCTCACTTGAAGACCACGATGAAATCCTCAAAGCCGCCAATGTTGCTATTAAGAAGTCGAAAACGGATCTTGATGCACACCATGTAAAAGCTGTGGCGCTTTTGAAACTGGAACGATATGATGATGCGGTGAAGTTGTTCGAGGACACGCCGAGATTGCAAGATAAAGCGCGCTTCGAGTATGCCTACGCTCTCTACAGATCGGGGTATGCTGCGAGGGCGGTCGACGTCGCTGGAAGTCAAAATACAGATCGCGGGACGAAACATGTGCTAGGCCAGGCTGTACGTTCCCTCCTAGAACATCGAGCTGCTTGTGGCTAACTCGCCCCCAGGCATATCGGGCGGAGAACTTCGAGCAAGCAGCCGAAGTCTACCGCCAACTGTCCATCCAGTTTGTCCAAGCTGAGGAATACGACATCAGAATTAACTCGGGGGCAGTGGATGCGCAGTTGGAGTGGTCTGGCCAGGGCCATCTTGCCCAGAAGAAGAAGCCGACTAGGGAAGATCTTGACGTGTTTGAGACGGCGTACAATGCTGCGTGTGGGAGCATATCAAGAGGAGAGTTTGCGCAAGGGGAGGTATGCTTGAAGAGAGCAAAGGGTATGCTAAATCCTCCCTCCGTGCAAGATGAAGCTGACTCCAGTAGACCTCTGCAACGCGCTCTCTGACCTGTCAGAAGCAGAGAAGGAGGCTGAGATTTTACCCATCACCGTGCAGCAGGTTTATCTGCTTGTCCAGATGGGCAGGGTGGATGAAGCAGAGCAGCTGTGCACAACTATTCCATTTGCAGAGTATGTGCTGTCTGAAGTTTTGTACAGGTGCACTGGCTAATGAAACAAGAATCAAAGAACTGTCGACGAGATACATCGCCCAAGTAAACAGCATAGCCACATCAAACGAGCACACCAACCCCTATCTATCACATCGCCTCTTCCACCTGTCCCCCAACCCCCCTAAAACCGATCAACATTTTTCTTTCCAATCAAACATCTTACGCCAGGACGAATACGTCATGGACTTGTTGTCCCAGAAAGTGGCCGGTGTGGCAAACTCTACCTTCAAGACCATTTCTGGATCACCGGCCCCAGCTACGTCGCCTGCAGTTAACACTGCTGCGGTTCTGAATGCCGCAGCTCATAGTAGGAATGCGTCCGAGAAAGCTGCCTTGAAAGAGATTCTCCCGCTTCTTGAAAAACGACCAAACGACGTTGGTCTTCTCTTGACGATCACGAATCTATACATTCTCACGAACAACTACGCTGCGGCTACTCATCTTCTGGAATCCTTCTTCAGAAGGCTAGAACAATCTGGCACTGTTTCCGACCTCGATGTGCGACATGCGCCAGGGCTTGTGGCGACACTCGTATCCCTCTACGCTTATCAAGGCCGACATGCACACTCGAAGACCGAACTAGCGAAAGCTGCAAGCTACTGGAGGCATAAATCAAAGACTCCATCCAAACCCTTGATGACAGCTGCCGGAAGAGCATTGCTGGAAAGCCACGACCCGGAAAGTCTTTCCACTGCTGGGAAAATCTTCGAATCGTTATATGAACAAGATGCCTCTGACAAAGCAGCCATAGCGGGCCTTGTAGCTGCATATTCCATCACCGACCCCTCGAAACTCCCCACGCAATTAGTAGGCTCACTTCCAGAAGCCTCTCGCTTAGTATCAGACATCGACGCTGCTGCGCTTGAAAATGCTGGTGTTCCAACACTTTCTACTCCAACGCAACCAGAGGGTCGTAAACGCCCAGCCGAGAACCTAGCACCTGAGAAAGTCAAGATACTGGCGCCTAAGAAAGCCAAGAAGATACGGAAGAGGTGCATGCCAAAGGACTTTGATCCAAACAAGAAACTGGATCCAGAGCGGTGGTTGCCGATGCGGGATAGGAGCTATTACAGACCGAAAGGGAAGAAGGGGAAGCGAAAGATGGAGGGGCTGACGCAGGGTGGACCGGTGGTAGAGGAGAAGGTGGGAGAGAGCAAGGCAGGGGGCGGCAGTGCTGCTGGACAGAAGAAGAAGAAGGGGAAGGGGAAGGGTGGGAAGTGGTAGAGCGGCGGGCCGACGTTGGCTGCCATGTTTGCGAAGATCTTCAAGATAGCAGTATTAAGCTACGAAGGACTATAGAAGCCTTTATGCATGTCTAATCCATATTTTCTGGGTATTTGGTGTGCTCTTGCTAATATTATTTATTAATGACATGTTTTCCTCGGCCACCTTTAACTAGCAGCAGATACACAGAGCCTCAATTCCTACATGATCAATTGAGGCCGTCAAAATGCGGTTTAATGTGCGGGTGCGTGCCTTGGTCTTTCCTCAAACCTTGTATGCATTTCCGCCCGGTCGCTCACATCAAACCTTCTGGGTTGCAATCTTTACACCCCTCCATTCCGCAGCCAACGCCTGGTCAATCCACTGACACTTCACAGTCCCCACCTTTCCCCTCACCATCTCCACCAGTGCACTCGCTCCCGGGGCGCCTTCTTGAATCCCTATGGCGCCGACGCGTGGTATCTGGAGTGTGGACGCTAGTCGGGCTTCTGAAGCCGAGGACAAGGGGATCAGACGGGTTGGGGGGAGATCTGGATGGGCGAGTGAGGCGAGATGGACGAGGGTGGGGAGGTGGGCGTGTGGGAGAGAGGAGGATGGGGATGGATGGGGAAGGATTAGAAGGGTTAACGGGGCTGGGGTAGTAAATGAGGGGGGTTCATTTTGGGATGCTGAAGAGCCGTTATTTTGAGACATCAGAGTAGCGGGAAGTGAGGGTTTGGTAGCGAGTGTGGAGAGGTGGCGGGTCACACTGTTAAGACCAATGAGGATGTGAGCACCAAGTGGAGGAGGTGGAGGAGCATCATTGGTCGTTGTGGTTGCTCGTTTGCGCTTTTTAGACTTGCGCTTTGGGGGCTGAGTGTGGGTCTTGCGGTAGATGCCTATTGGGGCGAGGAGGCTGGAAGGGATTAGAGACTTGGGGTTGATGGAAATAGTTCAATGTTAGGAATGAATGCATTTGCATGAAATAAGTAGCGGTAAGCTAGGGATTAACAGCCGTGGGAGCGTGTGATTTAGATGATGAAAGAAAGAAAGAAAGACAGCGAGGGCCTTGATAACATGGCATCCGGGTGTATGATAAATTAATACTCACGTGCACAGCAAGTCGAGGATGACCTCCTGGTCCTCTGGAGAGATGAGTGGCCTGCAATGGTTAGTGAGGTTGTCAATTTGAGCAACAATGCTCACCAGGTAGTCTCTGTGAAGGGAATATCGGTCTTGAACACCGGCTTCGATGGCTTCTTCAGCAGGGGCGGCATGATTCAAATGCTGTCGTGTGCAGTGGTGAATGTTTGGGATATGCATTCAGAGCAACGAGTTAGCGCGGGCCGCAGGGATCAGCTCAACGTCCCAAAACTGGTGCCCAGGTGCGTCAGACTTGGCACTTCTCCCCACCATAACTCGCAGCTCCCGGCAAACCTCCACGACGCGTAGAAAACCGCGAGAGTTGCTCTCCCCCAAGTGCTCCCGCCTTGGTCTACTTCAATCCAGCCAACCCGCCTGCAGCATCGCGCTCCGCAGCCCATGGTGCCCTCCTCCGCCACTGATTTCCCCCGTTGTCGCGGGGTTTGCTTGTAAGGCTGGGCTGCTGCCTGTGCTTCTATACTGGTCCTGGGGAGCTTGCCTCGCCCTCGCCCTCATTCACCCACCGGCCAGCGCTCCTTCCGCCGCCGCTGCCCTCGCCCACTGTCTATCACATTCACCCTCTCGTCGCCTCGCTCCGTCATGAGTCAGCGAGACCATGAGCTAATGGAGTCTGTTCACGCAGACGACCAAGCCATCACCGTGCCTGCGTCCCCGCTGCGCCGCGATTCTATGGAAGACGCTGATTCCTCTCTGACACGCAAACGACCACGACTAGACAGCGGCAGCCGAGAGACTCGCAGTATGTCGACCGACACAGCTCCCGCGACCACCAGCGTCGCCCAGCCCGTCGACCAGCCCGTCGAGATGACGATTCGCTCGCAGCCACCCTCCTCTCAGTCTGTCAACAGTACCAGCGATGCCAATGGCGCATCGCTAGCTACACTGTCTGTTCCCTCGGAATCAGTGCCCCTCGAAGAGTCCGCCGAGGACCCCGTCGTCGCCATAGACGACGTAGTGGCCGACAGCCCACCAGTCGTCGCCGTGGACGACGACGAGGATGCTGAAGAGGCCATGGATGATTATACGGGCTCGATCTCTAGCTTTGTACACATTGAAGTAGACGAGGAGGCCTACTTCCGCCGTTTCCCTTTCACTCACTCACATCATGGTAACTATCAGGCTGCTTTGCGAGCCATCACCGCCCATTTCCAAGGGGGTAAGTCAACCTTCCTCGTTCCTCCTGTGGTCTCTAGCGAACAGCGTGTGCTAATCAGACAGCAGCAAACCCTCTCGAGGGAACCGTGCTTCCCCAAGTCCAGCTCTGGCTCGAAGGGTTTCCGAATACCCCGTCGCACTGGAAGGGCTACTACGTCGAGAAGGCCTTCTTTTGGGACGAATTTGCTGCATTAGCGAACAAGGTCTTGGTGAGGCGGTACAGTGTGCCCCCGTCCCCAGGCAGAGACCAAGTCAATGACCTTTATAGGTTCCCTTTTGGTGATGCCTTCACCGACGATCAACAGTCAGAGGAAGACATCTTCTATGGTTTCCTCTCAAGCTACTTGAAACTCTGCGCCCGCCTCATTCAAGTCGACACGGCGATGATCTCGAAATTTCCACCCGGCATTTACGAGCCAGTTCTCTGCTACAAGCACCTACGGCACCTCAACACCATTGTTCGAGAAGAGAAATCCGCCATATTCCAGGTGCTAGCCAAAGAATACGGCGTAGATACTCGCACCATGGCAGCGCGGCTGTTACAGGACTTTATTGAGGCCCCAACCAACGGACTGCAACACCTGTTCGCCTTCGCAGATGTCGGGTGCGACAAGCTTACAGCGCCTCTCCGAAACGGTATTGCCTCTTGGACATCCCAGATCCTTAACTCCTTTGGCTGGGCCATATTCGGCAAACCGGAGATAGACCCAATCTTTGACCGCTCGCAATTCCATCGCAACGTCCTTCGCTTCTTTCGCAAGTACAATGAAGATATCCAGGTTCCGAGCAAAATCGTCGAAATCAGTTCTGCCAAGGAAATCGTTCTAAACCTTGCGAACATACTTCTTGACCTATGTCTCTGGGATCAGCAGCTTGCTGCCGAACTAGCCGAAGAATTCATGGATTACGTGGAACCTGGTTCACCAACAATCGCTAGTGAAGACCTAGACACTAAAACCCGCGGTGAATCTCTCCGGCAAGATCCCCCGCTTTTCCCAGCCCTAGCGATGAATGCATGGAAATTCAAGCTTCTTAGGAAGTATGTCGTTAAAGGGAAGATGGAGCTACGCGTGATGAGCATTCAAACCATGAGCGACGCACTCGTTGAAATTTGGCGGGAGTACAATGCTTCCGAGTATGGGGCAAGTAATCCGGTTATGCAGTATCTTTCAGATTTCCTCCTTCACGAAGAAGTCGTCGACTACATAATCAGTGTGGATTCACATCCGCAGCTGATTTCTCGAAGTGGTAACATTGTTGGCTTCCTCGTGGTCACTCATCGCTATTCAGAAAGTCAAACGGATGCCATATGGAGGACCGTGTCCAACAGTCAAGATCCCCGTGTTGTTTCGGCAGTCATGACTATGCTTCGGAACATCGTCGGTCTCATGGAGCCCCCGGAGCTGCTCTATCTTTGCTCCAAGCTTTACGACCTTCCGATTGAGACGTACACACTTGAAATCTTACGGTTCCTTCGGGAAATCAGTGGGAAATTTCAACAGAAGTATATGGACTGGAGCGGTACAGACCCTCGCGGGCGGCCATCTAACGTGTGCATCCGAGTTATGCAAGATACTTCCCCCAGCAGTGCTTCGACGAAGCTTACAAACGCACTGCATAGCGAGGCTTACGAGCAGTTACGTCAGCTTTCGCCTACCGTGGGTCTCGGAGAACGCCGTCAGATTTACCAAGAATGTACTTCACACATAGCCAACCGATCAGGAAAGGCAACGGGAAGCGTTCGCGCGATCTGTACCTTATTCTCCGGTGCTGGTCTTAATGATGCGAGCTTCTTCAAACAGAACCCAGAGATTACTCGCAAAATTCTTGAAGAGCTGTGTTCGTTTGTCGAGGCAGAGAAACAGCTTGGGGCTCATGCAATGCAGATTGTCGCCTTGGAATACCGGCTCGATATGCTTTGCGCTCTTCTCACTCGAGCAGCTGATGCTATCCCTGAAGATTTGTATCAGGTTGTTTGGGACCATGTTGTTGGCAAACATGCACTGTCTAACCATCACCGTGACATTGCCTGGTCAAAATTTTCTGACGCTGTTCGGTACACCCGAGGCCACGAGTTTTGGAGACAACTCACCCACATTTATATCCCGAGGTTAGAGCCGACCTATTTCACGTCGGGTCTTTTTGAGTTTGTCTCGACGATTAGCTTCCCAGTCACTAGGGAGAAGGTTATCACAGAGGAAGGCGAGACAGAACTGATTCAAATCCCAGGCGCAGACATATTATGGCCTATGGTATTGAGCGCTCCTCCAGGAACGATTGAAGATCGTTCAGCCAAATTGCTTGCCAACCGTTATGTCGATATTGCATCATATCAGGGTGTGAGGTTAGAAGAGGTTGAAGAGGCTCAGGTTGGGCTTGTCGAGCAATGCACGAAGGAGCTCTTGACTGCGTATAAGATAATGAGGAATCTCAGCACGCAAGCATTGACCGAGGACACTGGGTACAGCATGGACATCGTTCCTTCTGGTGAAGACCCTCGCCAAAACGAACTCCGCTTCACGAGGACTCTGATGCTTGAAAAGCTTTTACTCACGTACATACGGACTAAGCCCGAGTTCAGTCGTTCTCGAAGATCAGACTCAAAAGTTGATGTTTTGGAACCTGAACTGCCCTTTGGGGATGCCATCGAGATCAAGTACCAGGCGACAAATGAAAAGCAAACCATCTTCATGAGTACTGAAAACACGCTTCAGGATCTCTACACCCGTCTTTGTCATACGACAGGATTCACAAAGCTCCACCTCTTCGCCAGCGGGCAGAGGCTCAATCTGACGGAGAAAGCTCACAAGAAAATCGTCGACCTTGGCCTTGGGGAGAACATTTTCCTACTAGTCCAAAAGGCTGCGAACAGTGAGACGATACAACCGGTCGCCGACAGCAGTGCAAACTGCTCAGTCTTTGAAGCAACCGTCTTGAAACATTTCGAAGAGCTCTTCGCTTGCATGGATGCAGATGACTATATTAGTGAAACGGTCAGTTTTCTTTCGTTCGCCGTATAGAAAAAAACTTTACTGATTCGAGGCAGCTTTTTGATTTCTTGAGCTGCTTTCCATTCCGCGAGCGAATTGCTGAAGCAGTGATATCAGGCACGGCCTCCGCTAACGACATCTTTCCTCCTGGCAAGGTGTTCCAGGCCAAATATGCCGCTTTCGCTCTCCAATTTAAGCTACGGGAGCAACTTCGAAGAGTTCGTGACCATAGGAAATTCCTTGAAATTTAAATTATTTACTGATGTTTCTTACAGAGTTCTCTCAACGAGTCCTTCCTGGCAAATGCGATTCATCTTTTGAGTGAAGCTCTCCTCAATCACTCATTGATCAGCGAGTCGCTTGGTGGTCGTCAGGAACTCCATCTGGCGGCAGTGCTCGTTAATGTGCTACTAGAATTCCTTAAAGGTAAGGATGTCCTTTCTTAACAGAAGTCTATCAAATCAACCCCTAATCTAAAGCAGAACGCCCACGCCAAGAGATATCATCTCACTACTTCTCCAACGCATCGTCGCTCGTCAATCGCCTTTTGAAGATTCTGTCATTTTCTATCCAGGCTCCTGTTGATGCTTCCTTGGTCGTGTCTCAGTCTTACGCCGCGATTCTCGAAGCTTCGCTTCATTCCAGGGAAGTGTGGGAGGCCTTTGTCGGCAAAGAGGGAATACCTGCCTTGCACCGGTCACTTCTTCTCATGGATCCGAGGAAATCGCTTCGAGAACACATCGTGCAATCAATTGCATCTGTTTGCGGCGGAGATCTCCCTTCGACTTCACCACTAACTGGGGCGGAAGCTGCCGAACGCTACTGGAAGATTATTTCAAATATTCTACCCGAAGCTGTCCAGCATTCCAGTCAATCAGAACAGCTTTTCGACATTGCTGAACAAGTCTTCCGGAGTCATGATGAAAATAGCCGAGACGAAGATGCTCTCCGGTCCTCACTAAACTCTTGGAGTAGCCTGCTGTTGAATTATAAGCACGAGGAGTTTGTCGGGCGTGATGAGATCGACTTCGTCGTCTTTGGTTTCACGAAACTTCTCCTCTGCTGCATTCCATCGTTGAAGTCGTTCAAGAAACCCTTGAATGCTGGCGCACTCATGGAGAGTATCTTCCGAAAATTCCTTTTCGTCCCAAAAGTGATAGAGATAGAGGAAGGTGCTTCTGAGCAAATTGGACTTCCCGTTCTAGAGAGTAAGACTAGAAAGGAGTTGTATGATCTCATGCTCGCCTTAGCAGAAGATCGTAACAGCTATGGTATGCTTCTTCAGCTGGCTCAGAGTTTGGCCAACGACGAAGAGACCATGTCTTTGCGCGCCTACTCCATTGAACGGTCTAACGAGATCCGGTCTGCCACTGGTTATGTGGGCTTGGTTAATCCACGCGCCATCTGTTACATGAACTCTCTTCTTACACAACTTTTCATGAACGTCAACTTCCGAAAGTTCATGCTCGGTCTCAATGTTGCAGACGCTGGTGCATCTCAACGTCTTCTGTCAGAGACGCAGAAGCTCTTCTCTATCATGCAGAACACCTTCCGGAAGGCAGCCGATCCTCGGGAGTTCGCCTCCTGTGTGAAAGGTCTTGACAGCGCCCCAATTGATATCAACATTCAAATGGATGCTGACGAGTTTTACAACCTACTCTTCGATCAGTGGGAAGGGCAAATGCTCTCACCGGAGACTAAACAACGCTTTCGGTCATTCTATGGCGGCCAGACCGTCAATCAAATCAAATCGAAAGAGTGCGAACACGTCTCTGAGAGGGTTGAAAGTTTCTTTGTCGTCCAGTGTGACGTCCAAGGAAAAGCCAATCTTCAAGAGAGTCTTCAGGCATTTGTTGAAGGGGATGTCATGGAAGGAGACAATAAGTATAAGTGCGAATCATGTGGCGGTAAGCTTGTAGATGCTGTGAAGCGGTAAGTGGCTCGTTCCAGCCCTACGGCGCCATTCTAATCCAATCTTTGTAGGACGTGCCTGAAGGATGTGCCTGATAATCTGATCTTCCATCTTAAGCGTTTCGACTTTGACTTGGTGGATATGAGGAGGGCAAAAATCAACGACCACTTCGAATTTCCGAACTCTATTGATGTCAGCCCTTACAATGTCGACCATCTCAGCGATCCTTCCAAACCTCGACGAGAAGATATCTTTGAGCTTGTTGGCGTCCTGGTTCACCAAGGTACTTCGGAGAATGGCCACTATTATTCTTACATCCGGGAACGACCTTGCCCTTCCGGCAGCCCGACCTCATGGGTCGAATTTAACGATCGCGATGTGGACACTTTCGACCACCAGTCCATCCCATACCACACCTTTGGAGGTTTCTACGACGAACAATTCCCTAAACAACAGAAACAGTTTAGCGCCTATATGCTCTTCTACCAGCGCAAATCGGCCATCGAAAAGGACCATTATGAATATATCAGCTCTCCGCGCTGTGGGCCACCGAAAGTCCCAGTTCCGCCTACTCTTGGAGAAGATATTTGTGCAGACAACGAAGTATTCGTTCAGGATTACTGTCTCTACGACCCAAACCACTCGAAGTTCATCCGCCAAATCTTAACTACCTTGCGAACCGTCAACTATGGCACCTGCTCGGCTGATCATGAACAGGAGACCCAGGCTCTCCATGTCGTGCTCGAACACCTCTGTCAAGTCATCAGTCGTCTGAGGAACATCGAGAACTTCGATGAAACGATAATACAACTTCGAAAGACAGTTCTATCCTGTTCTACATGCTGCTCTATCGCGTTAAAATGGTTCGCCGAACACGAGTACGCACTTGTCGGTCTGCTCTTGCGTTGCTTGCACATGAAGGTTCGCTCCCAAATACGAGCTTTCTTAATCGACAGTCTCCGGTTCCTTCGCGAAAAGGATCCGACCGCGTACGGAGTCGAAAACCTTGATACGGACATGGAAACCGGCACTGTCGCTCCGTTCGAGGGCATTCTTGTAGACATTACCCGACGACTCCGACTGGTCGCTAGCGAAACCTGGATCAGTGCGAGGGGGTGGGACGACTTCTATTTGACTTTATGTCAATTGAGCAATCTGGGTCACTTTGAAACGGCAGTAATGCTGAACCAGCAGATCCTGTACTTCTGCCTGCGCATTCTTTGCATGCATGCCTATGCCCAATTCCGCATGGAAGACTCCGATATCTGGCGCATGGTTGAGAAAAAGAAGCACATATACAACAGGTTGATTGAGTTGGTGTACACTTTGTGCTCTAAGATGGACCTACGGCTTAGGCCTGTCCCCCAAAGCGCTGACCGAATGGAGCACTTCGATCGGAATATCTCAAAGTTCCCCTTGAGTTCCACAGAATACGGAGTCTTGACCTATTGGCACGACGAAAACAGAGCTATTGCAGTTCTTGACAAGATGATCGAACAATTTGACTGCTCCAAGACAGAAGTCTTTTACCCTGGAGAAATGATTAAGTGGATGCTCAACTCCCAGGAGCCGCGCAACCAAAGGAATCTTTTCATCACAATAGCAGATGGTGTTCAGGCACTCACAGCACCTTTCTCGGATCCATACGTGCGAGCCGCGGTCTCTTATTGCGAAGCGTGTCCCACCATGGAAGACGCTCAGAAAATCATTGACGCTGTTGTCAAGTCGGCTTCTGAACTAAGAGATCAAGGCGGAGAATCCCATCTTCTCTTCTTCAATGCTTTGCCTACGCTTCATAACGAAGCTGTCTTTGATGACAGCAATTCAGACTTTTTTTACGACTATGCCCTCTACAAGGCTCGGACGTACAGCTTGTCGTTGCTTATGTACGATGATGAAGCCATTCGCAAAGCCACTGCAAAATTCCTTGAAGAGCTCTTTGTGAACGCCAGGTCCGACGAAGACCTCAGCCCGGACTCCCTTAGACAGAAATATGAATCCCTTAGACGCCTGATTCGGGAAATGTTACGCAAAATGGCCACGGAGCATGACAATGGTACCTCGCGAAATTACATGCAACCATTGATTCACGCATGCTCGACGCTGGTGCATGTACTTGTTGACTTGGTGAATAACCAAGACGTCTCGATGGAGCAGTACAAATCAGCTAATGACACGGGTCTGATACAACATTGGCAGATAGAACTTGACTCCCGGTTGCGGCTCTGGGTTCAGGATGAGGGCACACCGATATCGACAGGGGGTGAGCTGCATCCGATTCGGAGGGGCTCATCCATTACACTTGCTGACTTTGAATCAGAAGCCTACGAACAATCAGATTACGGTAGTGAGTCTGATGATGGCCCCGACCTCGAACCTTGAGTTGAGGTTTTCGTTAACCATGGGTTGTATTTACAGAGACCCCTAAAATCCTTTCTTCGGCTTTCAAATAATTCGCCATTGGGCACATTACGGGGCTCCCCTCCAGATATTTTCTTGGCAGTCTGCGTTATGGCGTTGGCTTTTTCCAGCAGCTGGAATCTAGACATTTTGTGGGTTTGCCCCTCTTTGGTGCCGTACAAGGCTTGGGCGTGGGTTTGAACGTGTGTGGTGGGCGGGCGGGCGATTGCAAGACTTGCTCATTACGGCCATTTCTTACACTGGATTATTCTTGAAGTTTATCCATGATGGCATGATGGCATAGCGTGGGCGACAGGGTCTTCTCATTAACTTTCCTTCTCCGACTCACACACACACACACACACACACACACTCTCTCTCTCTCTCTCTCTCTCTCTCCTCTTTCCTGCGAGTTTGGCTCATCGGATCCTACGTCAATCTCAATTTTTTTTCCACGATGAAAAGTTGGGATTGGGATGCATGATGATGACCTCTATAGGCATGCTATGATTACACGACTTTGTGCGATGGGTGGATGGATGGATGGACGGATGGCCTATTGCCTACCTAAATTTGCCGGGTGATGAGTTCGGTAATAGATGGGGCCGTGCACATTCTCTTTTTTGGTCTGGTGATTTGGGTAGTGCAAGATGATGTTGAAATGCCCACGGTCTTTTTTGGCTTCTTCGAGTATATAATAGGGTATAACACTATATGAAAACATCGTACAAATGGGTTGTTTCTTTTCTGTGCCTTAAAACCTATAATACAAGGCTTGCTGTCAAAAATTCGCATGGACTTTTCCTCAGAGAATTCATTGGTATAATGAACCTATCAATGTCGAGCGTTCGCACCTCCTACACAATCTCGAATGACAATAGATAGATACAGGTACTCCTACTATATGTACATATAAGATGAAAAGCTGTTTAGAGTCAATGAGCTATTAATCGAAACTCTCCATCAGATGGTCTACTTATGGGATTTCTTTGCCTTTGTCCTTCTAATTAAAGCACCATGGGGGATAGAGAAGCTCGAAAAGTCCTAGTGCCTTTGACGACAGTTGGGTACTTTGCAGGGGGAACCATTGGAAGTAGCTAGAGTATGGTATTCGCCACGACACGCTCCCGAACAAAGGGACTCAAACTCGAGCTTGTCGCCGTCCATGTTCGAGGACACGACTGATGTATCAGGTATTGAGGACATTTTAATAAGCCTTAGAACGCATCAATAAAATTCTGATCTCAAAGCACAACTCACTACGCATCCCGTCTAAATCGGAGCCAATAGTTGCTATTCTACTATTATTATATCGAACACTCTCTACTATGCTACCGCAACTATTCAAAATCGCTAAAGGCAACCCTAACTTTCTCGCTTCTTGACATCGCTCAATCCAGGTGGGCACTGAATACAATCTCAGCGATCCCACTCAATTCCAGTTACAAAGAATGAAATCTATATTTCGCCAAGATCGGTATCGGTGCCTATTGGCATGTAATCTTATATAGACTAGAATAGTCTTTGCTGCTGTAGTTAGCTTGTCAGATTCTAACGGGAAGGGCAAGTCCAAAAGGTAGATGATTATAGCTGCTCGTATGCTAGTGGGTCCTTCCACAAGGGCAACTACCACTTCCTCTTAGAAGAGGGCGGCATAGGTATTACGACAGGTATCCAGAGAAGGACGAAAGGGATATGGTGTCTCCTTACGTGTGGCCTCCTGTAGCTGCATCCTGGCTAATCCTTCTCGTTTCACAGCATGCTATCATATAACGTGGAACATAATTAGAGTATATCTATCTATTAACCCCTAGGCGAAATAAGATAGAAGAGTAAGAATATGCCGATTTCTGTCTTGAATGACCCAGGTCATATTCCATGTTAGGAGCCAAGATGCAGTAGGTTGTGGTAATCTCCTGTAACTAGTAAAAAAGGGTTTCTTGGGTGTGTTTTATTTACGGCACAACTCAGTGAATTAACTTTCGACTTAAACACATTAGATGCAGACGCATGGTGTGTACCTAACGAAACCGTGGCTATCCGGATGTTGGGGTCTCGAGCTCGGGTAGAGTGGTGAAGTCATGGATCCCTCGGCGCAATGCGCCTCCCCAATTTTTTTTGGGACTGCTTGAACAACCGAAGCTTCATTGAAGTCACCTCCAATGCCAATGGCTTCGCACTACACATGCAGAACCTGTTCAAAGGCGATAATAAAGCCCTCATCTCTAATTCCCCAAGCAGTATGTATCTTTTTGACCCGAGAAGCTTTCGCTGACGAGTCTAGGCAAGTCGCATATCCCGAAAGACATCCCCACGAAGCCTCTCCTCAAGCGCATCGCAACTTTATCATGCTACAAGAAATAATTCTGCGGCAGCTTCGAGCAAGACGCCTACAAAGACACCTCTCCAGGGCCTCGCGGCAGCAGTGCGGAAGAGAGCCCCACTGATGACGGAAACGTATGTCGCATATGGCGCAACGCAGCATCTATTTAAAGAATGCGCACGGCATGGCGACTATGAGATCCCGCAAGCGCTGGAGAAGAAGGGAGAAATACCGGCTGACGAGAATGGAACGCATCTCGGTGTTGGAAGCGGATGGTGGTATGACAGTAAGGCGTGCCCCTCGGTGCGGCCCTAAAAGTTGATGCAGGATATCTGATTTTCTGACACTGGCAGCTCTGGGATTGACTCCGACATTCAACGTCTGGGCTCAAATATCCTTCATCCACATGTACATGCTCCAGGTCCGAATCCGCATGTTCCCAGCGACACATGCACCAATTTGGACCCAACATCTCACCAACCACTGCTTTTACGCCGCCGAGGATCGACTTGTGGTATGGCACAAGGTCACTTCGAGTTCTCTCCGACAGAGATATCTTAAGGACCTCTTCTCGCAATGGCGTGGCCTCCTCATTGCCTATGACGAGGGCCTAGTGAAGGGCGATGCCATGTTAGCGGCAGCGCTGTGGAGGAATTTGCTCAATGCTCGGGAAGATGTCGATTATCAGAAGCTTGCAGAAGTTGTGGGCTACATGAGGAGAGAGATTAGAAGACTGGATTTGGCGAGCGACGACGACGTTGCAAAGGGGTCGTGGACGTTTGGTGCCAACCCAGGCACCGAAGCGCCGAGCGTACTGCTCCAGAGTATGCTGATGAAGGAAGGCGAGAATGCATAAGGACATACCGGGGCAGGTAGAGGCCACGGACGTGTTCAGAGAGGCTAACTGACATTATATATGTGTCAATATTGTATGAGTAGGCCGCATTGCATCACCTGCAGCTAGTCACTAAGAATCCAAGAAATAATCACGTGATTGTATCAATACTGACTAATGGGCGAATTGCCTGGACACTGAAGGACTCAACGTCTTGTCGTAGTGGTTGACTTGCACCGTTTAACCTGGGGATGCCCACGCATCTCCGCCCGTCTCCAGTGCCAGTCGCCAGTCTATCTTGGCCCGCTTCCCAAAATGCACTCCTCCGTTCCTCCCCAAATCCCCGGCCAGCTTGTCGACCGCCACGAGACGGAAGAGCTCCGAGGCGTCGTTGCAAACCTTCTCGATCGCGATACCCTGCGCTTTCCTGGCGCACAGCCAGTTTCCTTCGCTCGCGAGCACATGGCCGAACTTCAGCGCGCTGAATATTTCATGTGCGAAAAGACGGATGGGATCCGCTGTCTACTGTTCCTCTTCTACCGCGAGAATGAACAAGGTTTCACACCCGCCACCTTCCTCATCGACCGCAAGAACAACTATTATGAAGTGTTTCCCCCATTGCGCTTTCCGCACCACCAGTTTCCACTTGATGAGGACAAGTTTCTATTTGGCACCATTCTGGACGGCGAGTTAGTTCACGACCGCGTACCGGGACAGCCGAAACCCCGCCTCATATTTTACGTCTTCGATTGTCTAGTCATCGACAACCAGAACTATACTGCCAAGCCATTGGATCGGAGAATAGGGTACATGAAGCAGATAGTGTTTAATCCGTACCATGCTTGGCTACAACGACACCCGGCACACGTCGCCCAGGACCCCTTCCGCGTGAAAGAGAAGCAGGTCTATCCCCCGTACCACGTCAAGAACATGTTCGATCACGTTCTTCCAAATCTGCCGCATGGGAACGATGGCCTGGTATTCACCTGTAAGAGCACGCGCTATATGTTCGGCACCGACAAGCATATTCTCAAATGGAAGCCGCCACGGGAAAACACAATCGACTTCAAGCTTCGACTGGGCAACTTCCCCACGTTCGACCCTGAAGATGGAGAGGATGGCTTGATTCCGGATTACGACGCCATGCCGGATCGCTTTCAACTCCTAGTACAGCACAATCAAAACCAGTACCAGCCCTTCGGCCACGACCTCCTCGTCACCAAGGAAGAGTGGGAGATCCTCAAAGGGCTACGCCAGCGCCTGGATGGCCGCATTATTGAATGCTACAGGGACGATCAAGGTCGATGGAGATACAAGGCAGAAGACGACGGGACCCCCCGTTGGCGCGACGACAAGAAAGACGCAAACCACATCAGCACCGTCAACAGCGTTCTAGAGAGCATAGAAGACCCAGTCACAGAGCAAGACCTTATTGCAGTCGCAGGTAGGGTCAGAGAAGCTGTGTATCGGTTACGCGAGGCCGAAAAACAGAAGATGCACGAGCAGATTGAGCGGGATCCGAAGAAGAGGAAGTTCAGTGACGTGAACGGCGGGGCCTGAGACGTCCCGCATCAATGGCTGGAAGTGACCATTAGATCTAGCTGGTTGGGTTTGGATGTTTGGATGAAAACTGGGTTTTCAGATATTCGGACCTGGCATTGGATTTCTAGGAGTACGGTTTTTGCCAGACAGGCGTAGGAAGGACGACTATATGATACCCCTGCGTAATTAATTGTTATTCTATATTATCTTGGAACGTTTGTTATGTCTATCTAAAACTGCCCCCAAATCTTGCATTCCTTCACTAGAACAATCCATCTCACATCAAACACTGATCATCTAGGCGCCTACAAACCATCCTAAATCATCATGCTAATGAACTCTACCAGGACTATTCCTAATAGAGAACAATATGTGAATACTCCCTCCTCTCAGAGTACTGCGAGTAACCTTTACACAGTCTCACGTGAGTCAGCCTATCAGTCTCCAAGGAATCGATTCATTTGCGGATCCTGGTATAGAAGCCTTCTATAGTCCTCCCTACTTAGAATAATGCACTTCTCTCTTATTCAATACCGAGTACTGCATCTCAGCCCGACCAAGGATTGAACCCACACCAGCCGCCGAATTACCTAGCGTAGGATTGTGATTCACCGCGTAGTACGGCAATACGGGGCGGCCGCTTGATAGTTCGCCATGTCTAACGCTGTTTGACCCATCAGCGCCGCGGTTAAAGTCTTGCAGCCGCCCACTATGAACCTAGTAGATATTTAAGGAGCAAGAAGTTAGAAAATAGGAGAAGAGACGAATTGGCAAAAAAGTTAGTGCGTGGAGCATCACGAATTTTGGGGATGGAGATCATGAAGGAACGAATGGGAAGGGTACCTTGGAAGGGATGAAGGCAAGCACAACAGACAACAGACAACGAGGCGGGTCCACATGCAATCTCCCATTCGCATAGTGGGACAAATCTCATTCTACCAAGAAAAGAAAACAAGATCCTAATCCCGTCTTATACCTGTGCCTCCTTTTCCTCATAGCACCTCCTGCTGCCTCTCAGATAGCTTGTCACCAACACCCCTCATCTGATCTACAAAGATGTCACATCTTCCCACATCTGTATCCATCCTATGATCGATTCCTCTTGAGCGTAGGTAGCACACATAGCACCCCAAAACAAAGGCTAAAAAAAACTCCCAATGGATAACACCCACTCCAATTCCACCAAGTCCAGATCAGTACAGGCAACCCGAATGCCATTTCCCGCCAACAGACCTGAGGAACCGACGTGAACCATGAAAGAGGAGGAGGGTGAGAGGGATGTGAGGCCGCGAAGGCCTAAATGTAGGATACAAGAAGATTTGTTAAAGGAAATAAACAGAACACAAAAGCGGCCATTGAGAACCTCGGAGCTCCGTAAGATCCAATTTGAAGCGAGTGTGTTGAAAGGAATGGAACGCCGTGGACAACCAGAGAGAAGAGAGAGGGAGCGCCGGGACGAAGGAAAGAGCATGCATGTCGTAAAACTGAGAGGCAAGGCAGGCCTGCTCCCTTCTCTCTAGCGCGTGAGCACCTTGAAGTTTAAAAAAAACACAGGAGATAAGGTGGTCGGACAGATGTCTGCGGTGGAGGGGAAGCCAATGAGGCATGCAGACAGACAGTTCCAATGCAACCTGACGAACGCCAAAGCTGAAAGACCCAAGTCTGATCGAAGTATGGAGTGGTTGTCTCGACGAGCCGGGAAGATGATAGAAAATGTTTTTGAACGCATGATCGGGTCCTGACGCTACTATTTCTGGAATGCAACACAACCGAAAAGTAAACTAGCCCTACAACTTTCTCCTAAAGCAGGTTTCGCTGCTGCACACTTGCATCTCACATGACGATAGGTGTGAGTAGAATTCACAAACAGGACGCAAATGGCAGAATTCACTCAAGGAATGCCATTTAAAGCCAGTCAAGTTGAAATGAGTTGTTTATCTCTGAAGAGTTTTAGCGTTTTGAAATCACGAAGGTTGTATGAAAACTTTGACTTACCCTTCCACGTCGCTGCCCGCCTGAAGCGACTTGCTGCTGTTGTTGTGGAACATACATCCCGTAGGGATACATTTGGGCACCCATTGCTTGTCCTATTCCTTGTCCCAAAGTGGCGGGCTGGAGCATTGGTGATCCGGTAAAACCTGGAGCAGCAACAGGCGAGCCATTTCGGAAAGCATCCATACTAGATACCGGGGTCTGAAATCCATTCATCTGTGGGTAAAAAGGACTCGACCTTGACGCTGCAAGAAGTTGCTGATATTGAAGCTGTTGAGGGGTTGCAGAAATCGGCATGTTTGGTATAAACATAGGAGCGCTGACGCCTAAGGGAAACTGCTCAAAGCCATTAGAGTCCATGCTCCCAGTCCGTTGAAGAGCGACTGGGTCAAAGCCACCAGGGGCGACACCTGGGTAAAATTGCCTGCCAGCGGGGTCGGCGTGGGAATTGGCTGGGCTGTCCTTTGAGCCAGGCCGGGTCGCAGAATGATCCCGATGCCCACTGTGTCCTGGACCTCCCCCACGGGTGGAGAGGTTGACCTCGTCCATCAATCGCTTGTAGCCTTGAGCGGGCTGGGCTTTGATGCGGACCAAAACATTGCGAACATTTTGAACGACATCTGCACGGATCTTCTCATCGAAGAACGGAGTCGTCAACACCTTGAAGATCAAAGTGGCGCCACAGTTCTGGTCAACAAGGATATCTTCCAAAACTTGGTCATTTGGTGAGAAAAACAAGGCCTGAAGAACAGTGTCGCGGGCTTCCGGCTCATTTCTCTGATTGATGATCTTGAGAACCGTTAAATAGGCAACTTTGTGAGTGCATAGGTGAACAAGGTGAGGAACAAGTCGAGGGGCCAAAACTGTGCGCCTCCTGGGAAAGGTGCAAGTGTCAAGGAACCATGTCAACAGCAAAGCGCCGTTTGCGTTGGTGGCAAGCTGAACGCTGTGGAGGGCAATTGTAGCTGCGACCATACGTTGTTGATCCTTGGTGGCATAGTGACTCTCCAGGCAAGCACGCATGGCTCGAGCACCAAATCGACCCTGAGCGAGATCCCATAGACGGCTGAGCATAACCTCGAAGATGAAGTTATTGAGCGGTGCCGAGTAACGCAAGCATCCTTGCATAACGTAATTTCCGAACTGATCGAGGAATAGGGCCATAGCGTATGGTCGAAGAGCATCAACAATCATCTTCTGTAAGGCAGGAGTCCTAGCAACATCGATGATCTTCTGAGCCGCCCAAGTGCCGTTCTTGTGAATACCGATTTTGGCAAGATGGGGTGCAATTTCCCGCAACATGGCCTCCTTGGTAGGCTCAGAACAGTATTCAAAAAGTTTCTGCACTACTGTGTTTCCGAGGTAGTCGGAGGACAGTTCGGCAATCTCGGGCAACATATTCATGGCAATCTCTTCAATCTCAGGCTGAGAGCACGAATTGTTGTCAATTCGCTTCCGGATCTCGCGAAGTCGTGGGGCATCGTGCACGCGGCTGTGGCTAGGCTCCTCAACAGGGGGAATCTCATCAAAGTAGTTGTTGTTCTGGATGGCCTGTTCTACTTGTCCAGCAATCCTCCCCTGCTCATCGTCCGTCGCACCGAGATCTTTTACGATCTGGACGATATCTGCACGAATGTCGGGTAGCTCTGGGGTAGTTAGAGGCGCACTGACACTCTCGGCTCGGCTACCATTTGCTTTCACATTGCTGGCTGACACATTGTTACCTTCGCCCTGAGATTTTGCGAGTGGGTCTGGGCTTGGCGAAGGGAAGAGGCCGTTGTGTCCGGGCGTTGCTGCGGCACTTGGGACTTTTGCGTAGCCAATGCGGACTGGTCCAGCTCCAGGAAAGATTTCTTTGCCATTAAGCTGCGACTTCGCTTGGATGGCGCTGTCAAGATTCTCAAAATTGACAAATCCGCAGTTCTTGTGTGTGAGAACCCTTGTTGACTCGATAGGCCCATACGCACTGAAGATAACGTTCAGAGAGGAGACCGTAGTGGAGGATGGGATGTTGCCAAGCCAGAGGGCACGGGTTGGGCCTTCCAAGGTGTTATCATCACCAAGGTTAGAACTCGGCTTGCCGTTGAGCTGCAAGCTCTTGACAGCCTCGGCCAAGCTGTACTCCGCATCCTCTGTCAAATCGCCTACTGTGAGACTATTATCGAGGCGAGAAGGAGTAGGCAGGTAGTTTCGCATCAACCGTGTTGATGGGGAGTCAAGCACACCGGCAGTCCTCGCACGTGGGCGAGTAGCACTGGCAAAATTGGCAAACGCCTGGACTTCCAGGTTGTGTTGTCGGACGGCTTCATGAATGGCATAGGCCTGAGCATCGGCCGTGGGGGTTAGGGTGCCACTGTAGTTGGCGGCGTAGGCAGCCTGGTCGAGCTCATCCTCTTCGTCGGCATACTTTTCTTTGGCATTGACCGAGTACGATCGGAAGCGGTTGGCGCTGCTGGTTAGATTCTGGTTGAATGCATTCCTCTGGCCTTCCAAAAGCAGTTCAATGTCAGATGGAGCGAGTGTGGCACGGGCAGGCTGAGGGGTATCTACAAGGCCAAGATAATCGAGAGTCCTCACATCGGTATCAGCAAGGGAATCCCGCGAAAATGCGGATTGAGGCGAGGTGGGCCCGTTCGAGGGCTGGGACTGGATGCTTTGAAGAGTGCTGCTCCGGTCACGGTTGCTAGCCCAGCCGGCGGAAAAGATAGAATTGCCGAAGGGAGAGGTAGATGGAGGAAGAAAGCCGGTTCGTTGAGGCATTGAGCCAGCCCGCAGTCGCGAGAGCAGCGCTGACTTGGCTGCTGCGTTGGCATTAGCAGCGCTGAAGCCAGCACTCTCAGTCGGGGTTCCAGGGCCAGGCTTGAAGGGACTCGTAGATGGAGTGGGACGAGATGTCTTGGGAAGGAGCGCAGACGATGGCATCAGTCCCCCAGAGGCAGCAGAGGGTGAGAATCGTGAAGGAAGAGTCCCAGCACGGGCTCGTCGGGTAGTTGTCTGGGTGGATGACGTGGTCTCTGGCAGAGCTTGATTGAAGTCGGGGAAGCTTTCACCGTTTGGCGACTCGGGGATGGTCTCACGCAGCGGCGTCGAGTTGCCACTTGTGGGAGGTCCCCACATTTGCGGAGTCAGCCCTTCTTGAGCTTGGATCTCACGAGCCCTGTCGTCGGACGTTAGCCAAAATCCGAATAAGGTGCCTGTTTCAGGGTGCGACAAACCGTTTGGAGTACAATCTGCCACCAAATTCATGCGAAGGGGATCCTGCGCCCAGCCTCACGGTGGCAGCTGCATTTCCCAGTCCGTTCGAGGTATTGGCAGTGGGGACTGGGAAGCGGATGGAGCCGCTCGAGGGAGGCTCGATGGGCGAGGTTGTTCCCGTCGAGGAGCCCGAGCGGGGCGGCTGCGAGGTGAGCTGGGGGAGGTAGTTGAGGTTGATGTGGTGCTCCGGTCGCGTGGATGGAGCCATTATGGATTATAGACCCTGTCTTAACTGTACGGTGTGTCTAGTACTGCGAGAAAAATGGTCGTAGAGACTCTCGTTTACCAAAACCAGGGTAACGGCAAAAACGTAGTTGGTACCGGCCAAAGGAATGTGAGGCGGAGATTATTGCCAGCAAGACCGGACTCAGCTGAACGTCAAGCCTATATGCAGTGGTGACGGTGGAATTGGGTTGAATGTACAAGGTGGTGCCTCCGAAAATCCAGGCCGGCTGACGAGGGACTTGACAATGGCCTATGGCGGGCGCAGGAGATGGCAGGCAATGTGCAGCGCAGGCAGCTCTGTCGAGTGCGAGTGCGGGTGCAATTGCGGGCAGATCGCAGGCGGCGGACGTGCAGATGTCGGCAGGCTGGTTTCAGGGTGGGTGTGTCGAGGGAGCGCAAGGCGTCGAAGGAACCGCACACCGAATTGTGTAAAGCGGGCAGCGGATCCAACGCAGACGGGCGGGACTGATGAAGGAGTGACAGAGTCGGCGTGAAAATTGAGTGCCGCGGCGCAGGCCAGAAAGCGTGGTCGTGGGCTCGGTGGTCTTCTCGATTACGATTCAGCAGGCAGCGTTTGCAATAGACAAGTCACGAATGTGGCCTGGAGAAGGGAAGGGAAATAGGGATTAAGCAAAAATGGCGATTAGACACCTTCGCTCATCGAGGGGATGCCGGTACAGAGGCGGCGGCGGGGAGGAAAGAAAGGGGAAAGGATGAAAGATGCGAAGATGGGAGGGTGAAGGAGTGAGGAGGGCGACGGATGGTGGTGACTTGAGAGGGACAGGCTCGGGCTAGGGTTAGGGAGGCCAAAACGGGCGAGCATTCACTTCCGACCCACAACGAGCGCTCCAGGGCAGACAAACAGAGGACAGTCTGTCAAGCTCAGGAATCACGGTGCGTTTGAGGACACGGAGGCTGCGGGCGGGCAGGTGATATTTCGTCTCTGTCTCTCTCCGCTCCTCACACAGCAGAGGCGCTACCTCCGCTCATCGAGGGCACGCAACAGGCAATAGGGGCCACTGCGGGCAGGCGAATGTGCCTCTCCTCTGTCCTCACAGCGGCGCCCACCTCCTGAGTGGCTGGAGATCACGACGGGGGGGATGCGCTGGGCGGCCGCAATCACGAAAGACCCCCAAGCTGAAACACCTTAGGCGCTTCAGAATGGCCGAGCCATGACCCGTTTCTCCAACTCGGACGCACCACACACCAGTCTGACGTGGACTTCACCAACCTTCGCGCCACTGCCCGCCCGTGATTGGCCTGGTGTGCTCTATACTTGGGAAGGTTTGCAGTCGTCAGTCGCTTTTGTGCACAAGGGCTGCAGCTTGTTTCTCGACTTTCGAGCCCGCTCAAGCATGGAATTGGGCGAGGAGCAATGGCATTTCCTCCCTCTCATCCCCTTGCCTGGAGTAGCTTTCCCCCTCCGATGCACTTGGAGACAACCCGCGCGGCCGGCTGAGTAAGGCTGTCAGTCCACGAGCACTGTTTGCGCGTCAGGCTTTATTTCCAGCAACCACACAGATATCCGTGAGCAGTCTGGCGGTTGACGTGCGCAGCGCCGTTGGACGGTGGTGCGAGCTTCCAAGGGCTCGTTTATCGGTGCACGTTTCAAGTGGGAGAGTGTTTTCTTGGCATCGTCCGAATTTCTCGCCATCGCAGCCTTGTTGGCCCCGACTCAACTTCGACGGTGAATGTCCATCAAACCTTGGAGCTCAACGTGTGCCCGTCCCAATATTATTTCTGCGTCGTCGTCGATGCTGATGCCATATGAAACAGGCACTTGGCCTGCATGACTCCACAACGACCTTGCCCACCGCCGCGTCACAGAGCATAAACACGCCGCTGACTGCAAACCCTCAGTGCATAATCCCCTCCTCCATGGAACATTTCTGGAAGCCCTCCCGCACCCCTTGACCGCTGTCTCCAAGGCCGCACCCCAGGCACGCGACACTCGCTTTGCCTCAGAAACCATCCCCACCGCTTGCACCTGCCTTCGCCGCGACACGTCTTGCCCGTCCTCGCCCTTTGCTGTCGCCCACCATGTCAACTCTAGATCCAGCCGATCGGGTGGATGAGGACGACCGCATGGCGTCGGACCATGATGGCCAGCCAGACGCCTCGGAAGGTGGGAGTGACGACGAGTCCCCGCCCGAACTCATGGTTGTTTCGCGCGCCCGGAGATCAAACGCGGGCAATCGCATGTCGACCCTGCTTGCCAAAACAGCCGAAGAAGACGAAGAAGAAGAAGAATGGGGGGAAGAGTGGGAGGACGCACCCAACGAGGAGGAGTTTGTGGGCGACGAAGCCAACGACCAGGATGATTTCAACCTCGACTCCTCTTCGAGCGACGACGAGGATGAGGGTGGGGATGACGACGCGGGGGAGAAGGAGCTGAGGAAGGCTGAGCGACAGGAACGGGTCAAGAAACGCAAAGTGGCCGCGAATCCCTTCGCCGCTAGGCTTGTCGCCGCCGCACGAAAGAAGGTTAAGCTCGACGTCCCTCCCACTCAATCCCAAACCACGTCTGCACCTCGTCCAAAGAAGAAGTCGGAAAGGGCGTCTTGGATTCCCACCCCAGAAGATGGCCCTGTACGCACGTCCTCGCGGCGGCAGACCGTAGCTAACAAGGAGCACACGCTAGCTAAGTTGAAAGAGAAGGACAGGAAGCGTGGCGATACTCTGGCTATGATGAAAGCTGCCGAGGAGCGCAAAGCGAAGGACGAGCCGAAGCCTATGACTCAAGAAGAGAGACTGACTGAGGCTGCTAGGGTAGAGAGAGTGAATAGTAAAAGTCTCCACAGGTGGGAGGAGGCCGAGGAACTACGGGCAGCCGAACGCCAGACCAAGCTGGATGCCTTGAAGAATCGCCAGATCGAGGGCCCAGTTATACGGTACTACAGCGGGCCGGCGATTTGGGTAGATGACAAGCTGAAGTATACTGGAAAAGACGCCCCTAAGATCGAGGATCTGGAAGAGAAGCTGAACAAGGACATTCCTGCCACTTCGGAACCCCAAGATCACAAGTGTGATGCGATGGAACAAGCTCATCCAAGGCCCTTTGGCCAGACGCATGTCAGTCAACCTTCATCGCAGATCGCCCAATTACCCCCATCGCAGCCATCGCAGCAGCTGGGACAAAGTGACTCTACGGGCTCACATGGTGTGCCATACCCAAGCAGCATTCTGTTTGCTCCTCCGCAGAACCCAGACTCGTTCCTCTTTGGAATCGAGCAATACGCTGCCATGCAGACAGAACCCAATCACCAGCAACCATCTCAACCCACATTATCACAGCCACAGTCACAGTCACAACCGCAGCCACCACAGATCCCCTTCTCTCACCCTACATCAACACAACCATCCCAAACCCCATTCCCCCAACCTCAACCCTCGCTAACAGATGCCTCTCTCCCCCACTCTCAAAACCCTTCAACTGCTCAATCCCCCCTCGCCTCCTTCCAAAACCATCCCAAACCCACTCAAGCACACTATCTCCCACCGCCTCCACCCCGCCGCAAGACCATCCGCCGCGCAGCACGCACCCTCATAACGCTGCTCTCTTTCTCGGAACTCGACGACGCGGCGTCCCTTCCCACCAAATCCCGTAGCACATCCTCCATCCTTAAAGATCGCGACCGCTCCGCCCTCATCCATCTCTCCCGTGTCCTGTTCAACTGGTCGTTCGAAGATGCCACGACGTATGTCACGGCGATGCTGAATGCACCCAAGACGACGAGGGCAAGGGAGAAGGAAGTTCTAGCGCTCAGATCGAAGAAAGAGGTTTGTGCAGTGAGTAATTTGACTGCGAGATATCGGGACCCTGGGACTGGCATTGTGTATCGAGATGCAAGAGCTTTTGGAGTCATCAAGGGGGTTGTTGGGGGCGGTGTAAAGTGGTGCGGTGCGCTGGGCTGTTATGTTGGTGGTATCCCCGGAAACAGAGATGCGACTGGAGGGATGAGAAAAGCTATATTGGAGGTCAAGCCCGCGATGGGCGTTCCGAAGAGGTTTTTGGCGATGCCGAAGGCGGTGCCGCCGACCAGTATTGAGATTGACGGAGGTGCGGTAGCTGGAAAGGGGATGCAGGTTGACGCACCTGCCCCTACTCCCAATGGTGAAGGAGAACGGGCCAAGAATGCCGATTTCCAAGAGATGAAAGCTGAAGGCGCTGCTAGTTCCTGAGACTTAGGAAAGATGTCAATGCGGCTTCTATTTGTTTATGTTGTATATACCAGGCATCGTAGATACCAGCTTTTCCCTTCTGGAATACTAGATGGTGAGGATATCAAGGAGTGCTCCTATCGCCTCACCCATGCAATACAATCAGTAATATTTAAACTTCACGGTCCAGTATTAGCACACACACACCACACCACACCGACGGTGTGAACACAATCTGTTCAGTCTGTTCCTGAGCCTCGTAACACGATGCAAAGCGCTGTGCCGTTTTGTATCCTGCCACTTTCTATCATACATGCCAATACGCAGAAGTACCACCGCTCCATTCAATACACGGATTGTGTTCAACGCGCGAAGACATCCATTGGCGCGAGAGCGGGATCACGGGACACGGCTTCATGCTGACACTCCGGCAGGTTGAACTTCCAAGGTTCGTTTAGCGAGGAACCAACTCCAGCTCCCTTGGCAAGACCGAGGGCGCTGGAGCTGAACATAATTGTCTCAAACGCGCCGCCATAATGGAAATTGCAGGACATCACATCGTTCGGGTTGGGGTCGAAGGGAGAAAATAAAATAGAAATGCAAAGTGGCAACTTCTGCGCTGACAGAGTGGCCTTTCTTTTATTATGAATCAGTGAAGCTGTGCCTCAAGCGAAGAAAGGAAAACCTGGGACAGTGAGACGACTCGAAGAGGGCGGAAAGTCCGAAACGTGTTGGTCGTGGGCGAGTAGCGCGAGTTTCGTGGGGGCTAAAATATTATGAGACATGGATGTCCGGACATGGAAGTCTAGGTGGAGAAAGCTGAAAGGTCCATGATATGCATTGATGGTTAGCAGACATGTATGAATCTCAAACGCCATCCATCTTGCCATCCCGACCGCAGAAGTTTTTCAGGCGTACGTAGCTGTACACGATGCCCAGTGCAAACTCCCGCCGCCATCCCACTGTGACGCAGACCCCACCATTCCAGTAAGACCACTTCACCCTGCGATGAGCATCCCCCGCTAGAAATCCGCTTATTTCTTGTCCTTCTTCGCGCCACCCTTCGTCTTGGCTGTGCCCCGGAACTCCTTCGACCGGTTCTTGCGTTGCTTGCCTGTGAGCATTGTCAGTGTGAATCCTTTGGGATCAACTCTATCCCAATGGTGCGACCCGCGCCTGGATATGCGAAGAAGAAAACGTACGCTGTTGTCTGCTGGCCTTCTCGATCTTGCTTGCCATTCCGTACCGCACGAGTCTGTAGTGTGGTTCGAACTTCTTCATCGCCTCTGGTGTGTCGTAGATGAGCGCGAAGCCGGTGCTCTTGCCACCACCGTAGTGTGTCCTAAACCCGAAGACGGAAATATCGTCCTTCTTAGCCTTGTACAGTTCACCGAGCTTGCTGCGAAGTTCGTCCTTGGAGACGTTGGCGCGATTGGGGTGGAGCACGTCGCTGAAAATTGCTTGTCAGAATCCTTCTCTTAAATTGTCAAATAGATGGCTTGCAGCACTTCTAGCACTTACACTACCATCTGGCGGCGGCCGAGGAGAGGGTTTCGGATGAATTTGCGCGTGCGCAGAGTAATCTGCGAGTCGGCCATGTTGGAGGGTTGCTGTGTCGACAACGGACTGCGCGGCACGGTTAGTACGAAGCAGACGACGCAGGAGAAGGAGCATGAAGAAGGTATACACACTGATAGCAAGTCAATCCGTATCTTGGAGAATGATCCTGATGTGGTTGATGTTGTTTGGCCGCAGGATGTCGCCGTCGTAGATTTCGTGAAGTCGAATTCGAAAGGCTTGGGTAGTGCGCGCCAAGCCCTCGCGTAATGAGAAATTGCCCGCTCCGAATCTGCGGGGCTTGGCTTAGTCAGCGCTCCTTCAGTTGTTCATTGTCCATTCCCAAACACTCAGGTTGATTCAAAACTCCAAGTTACTTTCTTCAATGGTTTACACATCTCAAGCAATGAGGTTTCGAGTCTAGACAAGAAACCACGTCGCCCGGAAAGCCGCGAACTCCTCGAACCAAGCCCTCCGAAGCAGGCTTGACGTCCAATCATTCCAACCAACAACGCTTTACTTCTCCACCTAATGCTATCAACATGGACCCAGTCACTCGGTCAAAGCTGACGATATTACGTCGCCAGTACTTCCAACTGGTTGAACCTACCCAGCTGAGGTGGCCAGATGTGAACACCCTCAAGTCTCTTAACGTTCAGTTGTGGATTTTCGAGAACCTCTTTGATATGGACAGTATTCCCACTGCTCCACCGGACCGCTATCGATTAAGGGTCTTGAAACTTCTTGTCTGCACACTTGAGGCATCAATCGGCGGTTCTGAAGAGGATGTATGGCTCTCTCCTATGTTCAGTGAAACTTCAGGGCTGCACAGCCATGGCTCGTCCTTTAAGCACACGATCTCGCATTCTAGTCCCCTGGTCAGCATCAGTCACAAGCGTGCAACCACTTGCTCAATCCAGAGTACTAACTTCCTTATTCTTTTACTGTGAATAGGAAATATCGGATGAACTGATGTCCACACTCTCTTCCCTAATTAGCTCCAATATTCCCTCGGAATCCGTTTTTGCTCAACAGAAAGCATTCGTGACGTATGCTTACCCTCCCCGCTCTACTGATGACGGTCTTTCCGACGACGACTTATCAGTAAAGCTTCTCGAGTCTCGGTCTGTCATATCCTCCTCCGGGACCACAGGCCTTAGGACCTGGGAGGCGGCTTTACTCCTCGGAGCGTTTCTTGCGTCTGAGACGGGCCGAAGAAGTGTTCATGGGAAGAACATCTTGGAATTAGGGGCAGGGACCGGAATGCTCTCCATCTTCTGTGCAAAGCATCTCTCGGTGTCGAGCGTTGTTGCTACGGACGGCGATGAAGCCGTTGTCGATATCATCAAAACAAACATATTCCTCAATAGTCTAGATGCAGATGAGTCATCTAACTCTTCTATTCGGACCGCCGCTTTGAGATGGGGATGGTCCCTCGATGCAGCGACTTTTGAGGAAGACTTTGGGATGGATGTGCCCGATGTCCTTCTAGGTGCAGATGTCGTAAGCCTTCCCCGTTAGCGCTTGCACCTGTAACATTAAGCTCAAGGAAGACTCGTCAGACCTATGACAGATCCGTCATTCCGTCCTTGGTTTCGACACTGAGGGAATTTTTCAAGCTGAACCCAGCTCTGCGGGTGCTAATTGCCGCAGCAATACGCAATGAGCAAACGTTCGAGATTTTCCAAAACGCGTGTAGTGCGTCTCTCCACCTCCACCGTATTTGAGGATTGGCAGCATCTGCTGAGCTATTACTGACTTTTGTGGGGTAGTACGAAATGGCTTCAACTTAGAGCTGACTAAATTCCCGCCAGTCCCAGAACATCTCCAGGAAGGTCCTTTCTATTCAACGACAACCCCGATTCAGATCTGGCAAATCAGCCGATCCCAACCTTCACGGGACCCATTTTCATTCTGACCGCAACGTTCATGATGCTTGGGTTCCACGTGTCGATATCTATTGCAGTGACTTAACCCAATACACTCTAGTTTTGCTGCATGAGCATGTGTTTCGAGTTGGTGAATCAAGATTTTAAGCGTCCAGAGAACGTCCTCCAGTGAGTGCTCTCATCTGAGGAAAATAATTGGCTAGCATTTCGGATTGCCTGATCGAATAGAAAACTGGATCTTTGCCCTCAGATGCATCCTCAGCTGCGTTTGGAGTTGGTTCACGAATCCCAGGTTTGGACCCAACCTAGTGGGTCAGGTCCTCGAACCCTACTGGTGAAGTTCGCAACATCCTGAGCAGTTCATGAATTGACAGCATTTTCGTTACCTAACACTAGAAATTCGAACCGCAGCAGAACGGAACGGAGCGGCGACTCAACGGAGCAGCTTGAAAGACTGGAAGATGGATGAAATTGAATGGAGATAACTTACAGCCATGTAGCGAAGAGAGACAAGCTCATCAATATGCACCCGAAATGACGAGCACTATGTACTATGGTACTCACGGCGTAGTGGGACTCCACGAACCAAGCTGCCAGGACGTAGACCATGTCCATCCAGCACCCTCCCGTGACACTCCAATGGTCGTGATTCGTGGAACACCCTGATGGCCAGGGGCGAACGAGCAGAATTGACGCATCGGTAAAATGCACATTGGCCTGCTATTTCTGAACAGCAAGGCCTTTGGTGTGGATGCGAGCGGGGTCCGCTCTAGTCCACTAGGAGTCACAGCTAATTCGACGATGGTGTGCTCGATGATAGCAATGGCTCGATATCGCTGGCAATTGTGAGCCATCCCCACTCGGCGCTGAATGGAGCTTATCACAGTGTCCATACTATATCATGAGCCTGGATCCGTCGTCTGTTGGGCGCTGACAGAGGACTACTACTTATTGCTGCTCCTCCTCTGCTCCGCTCCAGCTGTGGTTGCTCATCATCTCCAGCAGTTTGAAGCATCCCCACTGCCGCCGCCAGCCGCCAGCGCACAGGAAAAGCGCGGCTCTCGCTCTCACGTATCAAAGCTTATCGCTCCCGTCATCCTGGCCGATCGCCGCCGGTTCGGTGCGGCTGCAGTGCTCCAGATCAAATATTATTGCTGCTGCTTCCCTCCCTCCCTTCCGAAGTCGCACGCCTTTATCGCCCTGTAGTGAGTATGCACCCTCTTCTCTGTCCGTCACATCCGCTCTCTCCTTTACCCTAGATGGGCTCCGTCGGACTCGTCGGTAGTCGTGACATGGCTTGTTCTGGCGCACTTGGTTTGGATCTTGGTGCCGCCGTTCCTGGCTAAATTATCGGCTGCAGGGGATCGCGATAAGACACTCGGACAAAGCGCGTCTCCGTCATATCAGCTTTCCGCCCACCAAGCTACGCTGCGGCCGTGTCACCGCCTCTCCGAAGCCTCTGTTCCTGTTGGCAGGATTGTTTTTTCCTCAGGCCTGGAGCGGAGGACGCCATCATCCTGCTCACTGCGCACTGAGCCCAACCACCGAGTCAGGCCTATTAATTCTCACCGTCTTTCCATCGACGTTCAATGGCCACACAACACCCCAGTCGCCCGTCCAACCACTCAAAAAGGTCGCTGCCGGCCCTTGCGCGGCCCTCCAAGTCTACCCCTCTATCAAAACGTACAAACTCTCACGGTGCCAGCAAGGGCGGGCAAAAGGCCACGCACCCTAAGGAGGAGGACTTTGAGGACGAGGAAGTGATGGCAACGAGCTTCCTGCAGTACTGGTAAGTCAATTACATGTCTACTTTTGCATCTTGCTTGTACTGATGTTACGAATAGCACGACCTGTGAGAAGCAGATAATTGTACCCAACAATTCGGTACTATACTGCTCGGAAAGGTATGGCACTACGCCTTCTGTTCTTTGCTGTGGATGTATTATTAATATCAACGTAGCTGTCGAACTAAGGACAACGAGAAGGCCATATCATGCTCCATCGACCCCTCCCCGCCGTCAACCCCCTTTGCCAATTTTTCATTCGAAGATTTCCACTTTCGAGACATTGTACCTCCTCGCTCGCCCACCGCACCGCGCTCCCAACGGTCATCATGCGCCTTCTCAGAACTGTCATCAGACGATAACGCTGCTTCAGGCGATGAGAAGCTAAGGGGGTCGGAGGCATCGAAATACCTCCGCCAGTTTCAATCTGCCACTGCTATGGCTGAAACTACCATGGGACCGAGCCGGCCTCGATACAACCGTGCCTCAACCTCCCAAGCCACCTTCAGCGCTGCCCCCTCCCTTTCTCACACACCCGCTTCCTCCATCAGCTTCTCGCTCCCATATACACCATCCACACGGCCACTACCTCCTAGGACCAACCCACATAGTTCTTCGTACGGCTCTCGGTCTATAAATCTTGTCACACCTTTATCACACCCCGCCACTGCACCGTCAAGCCCACCACAATACTCACTGAAGAGCGCACCCATATCGCGGACGTCGATAAGTTCTGTGGAGGGCGAGATTCGGTATGAAAAGAAAAGTCCCATTCCTTCCGTGTCACCAGCCAACGGCAGTCTGAAACGGCTCTTTTCGTCTACGCCACGCTGGTCCTAAATTTTCTTCCACGTAGACCTGTTTTCTACTCCATGGGAGGCCTAATCTATCCGAGTGCCCTTACATTCACATTTCGTGGCGTTTGTTGGATTGGTGTGAGTTATTGCTGTGCTACGCTTTGTAGGTGTAGCAAAAAGTCGGAGTATTTGGAGCGTGGGTGGGCGTTTTAATTCCGGATGAGTAATTCGTAACTGCTATATACCATAGGATATGATAACTTTGGAAGATGAGTGGTGATTTGGAACTGAGATTGAGCTTGTACTTATGCTTTCTCACCGGAAGAAAGGATTTTGAAAACACGAATCTGGAAACAACTTCGTGAGAGATCTCTCTCATCCACGTGACCAAATCCAAATATAACCTTATTCTAACTGCGTGAATGGCGTTGAATTCATGTGCTCTGTTCACGAATTTGTGACTCCCAATAGTAGTTCTTTCATGGGTTACTGCTAATTGCGGCGATTAAAGTTGATTTTAACGTAACAAATTTGGTACTACAGTAGTAGAAATGACAATCGCAACTGCAGAAATATAGAGTGCATTTACTTAGCCTGCTTTTCCTCACAGCACATCACTAAACGTCCAACCAGAGCGCTTCTGAGTTGTAAGTAGGTGAGTGTGATACCTAACCTAAGTCCTAGCAACTAAATATACCACGATTTTTATGAGCATCTCTGCACTCTCTCATGAACTGAGAGCACAGAATAATGACACTACGCGCTCCTCCAAAACATTCAACAGACCGCTGAGGACTTCAACACTGCGCATCGAGACATGTGCCAAAAACAATATCTATCTCAAACTACCACATCTAAACAAATAAATATGTTGGCTGATCGATCGATAGCGGAAAAGGATGAGCAATCTCAAATACTACAAGGACTTCGAACATGTACTGGCTCCATCATCAGCTCTCAGTCCAACCTTTTTCAAGGATTAGAGCAGCTTCGAAGCCTGTTAGATACGGCTAACGCGGGTGTCCTGGGCCTGAAATTCTCGGCCATCCTCCCGGCCTCTAACGCTGATGCTTTGGCTGAGATTTTCGGGCTCAACTTCAAAGCATCCTCGAACCAATAGTGCAGCAGACCTTCACGAAGTCTGAAATTCGCAATGAAACCACCTTGCATCAAATGCAGAATATGATTTAACCATCTGAGTCTTGAACTTGGTCAGCAAGCGACGACGAACTACGCCATTTTAGACCACGACCGCATAGCTGAGCTATATTCCGGAGGACCCCGAGAAGGTGATACCCACGCTAAAGACTTATCTCCAGTTCTTGGAAATGCACCGATTCCACGCCTCGAGGATAGCACGGCCGCTATGACTAGTAGATTCAAACAGCACTGGTTAGTCGAATGGAAAATCGGGTCATTCCAGATTGAGATAGAACGAACTCCTTGAAGAGAAGGAGGGTCTCTGAAACTTGAATCTCATTTCTCCATCTCTGTTAACTTTAGGCCGAGCCAGGCCATTTCCCGCTTCCCAGGGGTTTCCATGTTCTACAGTAGTGCGCGGAACCAGCAAGTATTTAACTAAATAGCTCCCATGATCACCACCATCGGAATAATTGCAGACGACCACCCCATATACTATACTCTACTATCATGATCGGAGATTTAGCCGCCGTTCAAGCTATGTTTTCTCCAATGGAAATAAGCCTGAGATGTCAAGACAGCGACGGCAATACCGTGCTGCACGTAAGGTGCATTGTTCTGCTACTGAAATTTAGGAATAGAAATGTCAGACGGATAACTTCCACTCCGCTAACAAGCAATTATTAGTATTCTTTCGCTTAAAGCAATCCGAATTTATGCAGATTCTTGCTTTCAATCGGTCCCAGCATTGACCAGTGTATTTTGCAGGTATTTCGGGATATACCTACATACCTTCTGATAGCTGAGGTATGGTAGATTTGGATTTTCTCTAGTAGAATTTGGCCATCTTTCTTTTTTTGTCCCGTACACTATCTTGGGGACGAAAGTTAGATGGTTAGATATTGGCTGGAAGAGTGGCGGAAAGAATTATTGAGCAATTTCGCAGGCTTGAGGGTATAGTAATAGATTATACTGAATTGTCCGGAAACTAGTTTTTCACGAGGAGCTTGACGGTTATTCTCGTGAAGACAGTCAATTTGTTGCTAACGCTCTTCTCGATGATCTGATCAAAATGATGGACTCATTTCTTTCAATAGCAGCAGCAGAGGACACATGGCGAGTTTTATTTTATTTTTGGCCAAAGTCTTTGATGCGCCCATCCCACGAGGTCCGGAGTGTCATCGAGCATTGTCTCCGTAGGGGTCTTAGCCCTAACAGGCGGTATGGAAAGGCCAACTGGCCTCTTCTGTTCCGGGCAATCTTTGAAATGGCACAACAAAAAAGAGAAGGGATTTGAATCTCAGCATATGGAACATACGCTATAGTGCCTGGTCGACATTCTCATTAAAGGGGGCTGATATCTATCATATGAAGGAGGACAACATGGATTATGCCTCGGACTAGAAGGCCATATGTACACCTACCGGTTACGCTACGGGGTGGGAAATTGAAGAAGAGTGGTGCGCTGCATTACGAGGTTGCGGATTCAATCCTGCCGAGGTATGCAAGGAAAATATTCGACGAGGCGAGGCTATAAGACTTCCCAGGGCAAAACGAACGGGCATTGACGAGCAAGAATTATTCTTACCGCCGACTTCAGGTCTCTGCTAGAGGTCCTGGTGGACCATGGATCATTCCTGAATGTGCCGACCAAGTTGTCATCACCGAAATGGCATTAATGAAAAGATCTCACGTCAACATATCTTTTGAATTTTGTCCATGCACATTTAAACTGGGGAATAGATGGTAATAGTTGAAAGCCAATAGCTGACGATCCCAAGATCAAAAAAGTGCAGTACCTAAGACCATCTTGTTCATATCAGTTTTCTCTTGTCCCCTGGACCAACATCGATTAGGTCCTCTACATCATCCATTTCATAAACAGGGGGAAATCTTCTGGTCAAACCACCAAAATATACCTCTGAGAATGGCCCGTATGAACTGCGCTCCAGGATAGAGCCTAGGCGAATTGGTCCAAGATCTCTTGATTCAAGCTCACATCTCCTCATATATATCTCCACAGTTAGATCAGAGGAGTCGAAGTCTTCGTCACAACCCTGTGAGGAGAGTAAGGGGAAATGTAGACCCCGAGCGAGCCTTTCAATGGCGCTAGGAGTGTGAAGCCAACTTCTTTGCCGAAAACGACTTATGAAGTCACTGATATGCCGTTGTGCGGGGCCTGGTTCTGAAGCGGGTACATTGTTAGAGCGATTCGAGGAATCTTTGGAGATTTTGTTTGGAGGCAGATGAGTTCTACCAGGTCCCAGAGACAGAGAAGTCTCACATTGTCCGATAAATTCCGGAGACTTGGGGCTGCATGGAGAGGTGTTGTCTTTATTTCTTTGCGCAGACCCTTCGTGAGGCCGGTTCCGAGATGGGCTCATTTGTGTAGGAGGTGGTTTGAGTAGATAAGTGGGAGAGCTTCCTTCTGCCTTTGGATCCCTCCCCGCTATCGAAGAGCCTATCTCTTCCTCTTCCATATAGTATGTCACCGCGTGCCAGCGTTTCCAACAGGAAGTAGTACGATTGATACTTTTGCTCTACCTACGATCACGTGAGGCAAACAAACGTAACTACATTTTTAACTGTTACGATTCGATTGATGAGGCTTAAAAGTGAGCAGTATACGATTGAGGTAGACTATTTTGAGGTTGCAGTCTCTGACGCGCGTGAGGGCCGGGGGAACGTGTTTGTGCCACTATTTACGTGTCAGTGTAGCCTCAGAGCTTGCCCTGTACTACGACAACCTTTCAGACGACCTTATCATAGCAAAAGATGACAGTTCCTTGTATGGGGAACCTCTGGATTGGTGGCTCCAGGTTGGTCGGCGCGACTATCCTGTACTCTTCAAGATGGCACTTGATTTCCTATGTATACCCTCCACGAGCTGCGACTGCGAGAGCGACTGCGAGAGAGCCTTCAGCGGGGGGAAAAGGACAGTTACTTGTGACCGTAATCATCTCTCAGGCTCTACGATTGAAGCTTTGCAACTCCAGAAGAACTGGCTACGTCATAAGGTCGTTTTCAGCGAATTGAATGACCTCGCGTGCCATATCAAGAGTAAGGGGGACCCTGCTACTCCAAAAGCTTCAACAGTTACGTCGTAACTTTTGGTGAAAAGTTGAGAAGTACGAGCAGCTTCAATCGAACCGTAACTCAATCGTATTGACCCCTGCTGTCAGGTGAAGCAAACAAAAGTATATGATAAGTGAGACGTAACTTGTCTAGAAAGCCTGAGTCGAATCGTACTACTTCCTGATGGAAACGCTGCCGCGTGCTCAGACAGCGCATAGAAGGCCCAGGTAGATGTGGCTGGAATGTCCCAAAGAAATTTTCGCCTGTTTAGAAGGACTTTCCCATCAATAGTTGGCCCAAGGAGTGACGCGGTTTTATCTGTTTGGATGAGAAAGTGACAGAGAAGGCGTTGCAGGGCTTCACTTTTCGTTTATAGGAACTGTGAATTCGAACCTTCGATACCGGACTGTGCATGTGAGTACGTAGATATCATGAAATGGTAGTCTGGCTTACTTCTTCAGATCCATATTGCATCGCTACAATGGCTCCTAGCACTAAGACGAATAGAGCCTGCAGTTCGTCTAGTTTCTTTTTAGAGGCCTCTAACTTCACTGGCTGAAGTCTTGTTTCAAGCTCTGCCAAAACTTCTCCTGCGGTATATTCACGAGCTAATTGGAGCTCTTCAGCTGTGTAATCTCGATAACCTAATTTCTACCGGCCTGCGTATAGGCGGACAGAGAGGTAGAAGAAAATCCTCGCATGCTTGGCTAATGCTGGGCCAACAAATTCACATAACATGTCGCTGAACGCTTTGCTAGATATGAAACCTGCGATACTAAAATTTGACCTAGTCACCGAATCGGTGAGATATTGTGCTAGATGCTTGGAGACGGCTGGCAGGTTCACGTCGAATGGTATACGAAACCCAAGTGTAATACCTGCGCGGGAAAACTCGTCTACTACCGTCTTGATTCGCCGTCTTTCCTGAGGATTGCTATCTGTAATGTCATTTAGAGAGATATCAAAGAATTCGAGAGATGTACCCACGGCGGTTGAAGACTCCTATGGTCTCAAATGAAGGGTGAACACAATCCATCCATCTCAGCGATTTTGATCTCGAGGCGGAGTCTACAGCAAGGAGACATCTTTTGCACGGATCCTCCCCAGAACACTGTGTTTGTCAGTATGGCGAATTTTTAAGTATAGTGGGAAAGCCATACCGATATTTTGAGCAGCCTACACCTCAAGCAGGCTCCTTGGTCGCGCAGTTGCCTCAGTTGTTGCCTTCGCTGAGGCGTGAAGCAAGAGCGAGGTTGGCGGGGATTCCAAGCAGCTTCGGAAATCGAAAAACATCCTTGTCCTAGGAATTTTGAGTTTGAAAGTACGGCAACCTCGTTTCCTAGTTGTGGTGATTCTCGTTGAAACTCTGCGTTATTATTGAGAATAAACGTGGCCGGGATGGCATTCATATGTTCTAAAGTGGCGATTTGGGTGAGGTTGTTGTGTACAATGGCGTCTGTGATGTTAGAGGAAGCGAAATAAGGTGGGACATTGCTGAGGCTTATAGTGGGTGTATCAGCAGTTAAGCTATCCTGGTGAGCAGAGTGCACGGAGGTCTGAGGAACAACATATCCTGGAATGACATCTGTGCCGCCTGGAAGGATGGATTCTAGGAAAGTGTCGAAATTTAAAATCGTTGGATTTACTGTGGGCTCCTCAGAAGTAGGAGTTTGCGAGGAATTATTGTCGAGAAAGACCTTAATGAATTGCATAGACAAGGCGTATTATTGAAGGCATTCACGCCTTCTGAAGTCCGACCATAAGGGAGCGGGTATTGTAGCAAGTTTCTTACAGTAGACGTATCTGGAATGGCGTTTATACCTCCTGAATCGGGAACCTCAGCCTGGTTAGAATCTGGATAGTCAACGAAGTAGGAGAAGACGTTCTCATGCTCCATGGCATCCAGATGGATGAACTGGGTATTACCCATGGTGTACGAAACATAAAGAATCTTACGAAATGAGGGAAGAAAGGTGAGAGAGCTAATAGTGAGAAGGCCGGTCTTTATATTTGACCGAGATCTTCCAGGCTCAGCTGAAGTGTCGATGGAGTATGCACCAAGCATGGCGTTGATTGGCGGTACAGAATAAGGCGAGATACCGCACTCCAGAAATAGCTTACCGCATCCCAAAAACGGCTTACCGCATTTTAGATCTGGGAAAGGGCAACTCCATGAGTGAACTCTCAAATGAAGTAATTTGAGCACCGAAACGTCCCATTGGACACAGCTTGGAAGCAAGACGTCTTAGCCCGAAAGCCTTATGACCACATGGGCCACCCAGTCTAGCGACTCCCTTCAGGCAGGATCTTATCCTCGGGATTATCCAATCTCCTACTTGCACCAGTTCCCGCCTCGCTGCCAAGGCGAATAGCCTCAACACTGACCTGGGTTCGCTCCTCTCCTCGCTCGGCTGTCTTTGGATCAATCCCTTGATCTCCGTAGGGTACTCGAGCCCCTTCGGAGTCAATGTCCAGAGTCTGCGGTAACGGCAAGAAATGTGCTCTCCGAGCCCTCTTCCTGTCGACTCGTCTTCTCCACGGTTTATACAGCAACACACTGAGTCCGCCAAATACCACAAATGTCCCGCAGATAGCGCCACCTGTCCATACAAAGTCAGTCATGTGAAAGAACATTCACCAACACAAGAAACAACATACCGACAATATCCCACCTCTCCCCCAGCCGCTCTACCCCATCCCAGAACCTCCCCTTTGGCCCTGCCACATTGAGAGCCAGATTCAGAAACTGCACAACTCCAATAATAACCGCCACAATCACAGTAACAACCGTCAACACAATACTATAATAGCAAATCGCAATCGGATCTCTCGCCAACTGTGTACTCGTATATAAACTCATCATCAAAGCACCATCCATCGTATCCAGCAAACACATCCCCGCCGTAAACAACAATGGAAATAGTAAGATCAGCCATATCGATGTACCCTTCGCCGCCTGAATACTCGAGATCCCGAGAATGGCGACTTCGGAAGATGTGTCGAAGCCGAGGCCGAAGAGAACGCCTAGCGGATACATTTTCCACGGTTTATCGATTAGTTTGAACATTTTTTGAAAGACGTGGAATAGGCAGCCCCCTCCTTGGACCTTAAATTGCTCGTTCTCTAACCCGTGCTCTGAGGCAATTAACTTTTTCATCTGCACAACTAACTTGAATAGAATATACAGGTTCATAATGCCTAAGAGAAGTAGGAACGCGGCGGACACAGATGTTCCAATGATGCCACCTATATGCGAAAAGTTGTCGAATTTGGAGGAGATGGCGGAGGCGGTGCCGGCGACTACGAGCGAGGTGATGATGACAATTGTTGAGTGGCCGAGGGAAAAGAACATGCCGACTGTGACGGGACGTTGGCCGGCAGCAGTGAGGCGCCTTGTCATGAGATCGATGGCGGAGATGTGGTCAGCGTCAAGGGCGTGGCGGAGACCGAGGGTATAAGAAAGGATTGCCGTTGAGATTAGGGGAGTGTGGTAGTGCTTAAGCAATATATCAATTCGCATCCTCGAAGATCTAGAATTGGGGATGGAAGACGTACGAGAACTATTCCTACAGCTGCCCATACAAGGAGGTTCATCCCTATAAGGATTACAATTATGGTCACTGCAGAGAAGGGGAGTCTGCTGAGATAGGGAACGCGTGCATGATATAGAGACGCCTTGTTAGATATATTTCTGAATAGCGAGGGCTTTCCGTCTTCCGTCTCAGGAACTTCATCGAAAGATGTCGGAGCTGATGTGGGGCGCTGGTCTGTCATTGTCCCCTCACAAGGAGAGATGGACGAAAAACTGTCGAGAGGATGCGGTATGAAATGAGTGGGCACGGCTCTAGCAACACGAGTCTGGAGTGTAGCTGCACGAGCAAACCAACAGCTCGAGTGCCAGACAAGCTACTTTATATAGGAGTGCTTAAATGGGTCTTAGTGGGGGGAACCTGCAGCTGCCATGCCACTAAAACGGCGTTATCTCTTAGCTTTGGCGGGGTAGTATGTGAGTCCTATTACAGTTCGGCCTTACGAAGCTTCAATTGAAAATCGACCTCATTCAAATATTCCTTTTGATATCATGTTCGAAAAAAGGCTTAGTGTATATGATGCTTGTACCAGAATCTAGTGTTACATTTTGCTGAAACAGAGCGAGGCATTGGTGCCTCCGAAGCCGAAACTATTTGAAAGAGCGACATGAAGATCTTTCTGCTGCGCTATATGCGGAACATAGTTGCAATCGAAGGTTTCTGGGGGATCGCCAGGGTTGTCAAGGTTTAAAGTTGGTGGAAGTGTGTTCTCCATTCATTAGCATCCCCTACTACACAATCTTGACTAGGGACTCACATGATACAACGCTAAAACCGTGAATATCGCCTCAACGCTTCCAGCGGCACCTAGCAAGTGTCCAATGGCTCCTTTAGTGCTACTCACATTGATCTCAGAAGCTTTCTGTTTCCCGTCTTCACCAAGAAGCAGTTCCTTGATTGCTCGGTTTTCCGCGGCATCGCCTAACGGAGTGCTAGTAGCATGCGCATTGATATAGTCCACAGCGCCAGGCTTGAGGCCCGCATGGCGGAGAGCGTGCTTCATTGCTAGAAGTGGCCCTTGGCCGTCTTCGCGAGGGGCGGTCATGTGGTATGCATCGCTGGAAAGGCCGTACCCAGAGACCTCGGCGTAGATATTTGCGCTTCGTGCTTTTGCATGTTCAAGCTCCTGAAACGGATTTAGCAACCTCAGAAAACATGTGAGATCGATAGAGGACTGAATAAGGAGTTGTAAATGGAGTACCTTACCTCTAACACAGCAACACCTGCACCTTCCCCGATGACAAATCCTGCTCTGTCTCTATCAAAGGGCCTGCTTGATTCCTCTGGATTTTCGTTCCAATCTGTTGCTAGACTCCTGGCTCTGGCAAATCCCGCTATAGCAAGTGGATGTATGCACGACTCAGCACCGCCCGCAATCATGACATCTGCATCGCCAAATTGGATTAGTCGTGCTGCGTCTCCGATACTATGGGCACCTGTTGTACAAGCTGTTGTTGCTGCATGATTTGGACCCTATCGCCGTGAGCTTGCGCGAGAAAGCAGGGTATGACGCCGAAGATCTTGGAGCAGGTGAGATACAAACATACTTTGAAGCCGAATCGCATGGACACATGCCCTGCAGCGAGGTTGATTAAGAGGCGAGGGACGAAGAGAGGAGAGACTTTTCTATAGCCCTGGGAGACGAGTCAAGTTGGATACTCGAATCGAATGAGAAGGTCTTACCCCTTTCTCGAAAGATATCGTCGTCTCGTACACATCATCTAGACTCCCAATCCCAGATCCCATATAGACGCCCTATGAACGTGTTATACAAACTGAAAGCGAATGTCAAAGAAGTCATACTGTTGCCTGAAGATCCTCCTCCTGGCTTGGCATCCATTCTGCATCTTTCAGAGCCTCTTCTGAGGCCACCATGGCGTACTGAGCAAATCTGGCCATCCTTCGTTCATCCTATGCAAGCCTTAAGCTTCCATTTAATCATCGACATTAGCATTCTTACCCCAGGTCTCAAGCACTCCTTAGCATTCCACTTCCCATCTTCCTTCCTACCCTCGGGAACCAATCCTGCGATTTGGCTAGGTAGATTCGCAAATTGAGGGCCCTTGTCTTTGATAGAAACGATGCCGAATTTGCCGTCTAGAAGCCCTTTCCATGTTCGGCGAACACCTGGGACTAATAAGCAATTGTGTAGATATTGAAGAGTACAAATGAGAACCGTTTACCTATCCCGAGGGGCGTTACGAGTCCAAGGCCTGTTACTACCACTCTTCGCATTGCATGCTTTTGACAGATGGTTGATGGTTGGATGAAGAGAACGAAGCTCTGAGCTTGAGCCACCGTTCTAGCCACATGTGGCGTGGGGTCCATGTGGGGTTCACATGGGCAAGAGTGATGCCCACCCTATTGGTCATAGCATCTGCTTCTGAACGAAAGGAATTTTTACACTTCATTGATATAAATATAAACGAGGGGATCTATCTGATCGCTAGGCAGAAGACAAAATATTAATTTGATAATCCAAACAAGAGACGACATCAGTCCCAGTCCTCTGCAGCCAACCCTGCGATTCATTCTCCCCTTGACAACAGATTGTCAGCTCGGACGAATTTTCCCATGACTCGCCTCGATAGTGTCAGAAGGAATGGTATTGAATTCCTCTTCCAATGCGGCGGCCTCACCACCCATCCTCAATTCCTCCACATTCAACTGGCCGCTAATATCGTCCCCTGGCAGCAATTCACTCAGGTGAGGAGTACCGACTCGGTCCTCCAACCGGCACTTTAGTTCTTCATCGATGATGAAGGCAGAATGTTTCCGTTTTGGACCGAAGTCTCGAGCACTTCTTTTGGGTGGCACAACATCTGTCCCCGATGGGAGGCGCTTCTCTTGGCTGAATTCAACGCCACGACGACTCCAATCACGGGCATACTGTGCTCTAGCTTTGATCCAATGCGCCCGGCGGCGAGGGTCGCGGGCTATGGATGGTGGAATGGCAGCTGTAGATGCCGAATTGTCGAATTGAGAGTGCTGGTACCGACGTTGCTCTGAATCCGTGGCTGAATTGGACAGCTCAGGATGCGTAGAGTCGGATCGTGCTGGGGAGGTGGGTCTGGCGTCCCTGAGAAGATTGGGATCGGGGGGCGGAAAAAGGAGCTGATAAGTTCTTGTCCGAATGAGTTCTTCGGCTTCCGCTGGGGAAAGGGAACAGTTCGGTGGGATCAGGGCTGGCCTCCGAGCACGTGTGAAAGATGGCGATAGCACATCCGGGAACTGAGATGAGTTCATGTTCTGGCGCCCGATACAAGCCATTGTGTCTCTCGAGTCGAGATATTCTTCGTGGGCACTCTGATGGTACTTAGTATTGTAACAACTCGATTCTGCCTTGATGATAATCGAGGCCATTCTTGAACATTGAGACCCCTTTATAATAAGAACAACATGACCCCGAATACAGACTCGCAAACAGGAGGACGCTACAGATCTATTCTTATGGGTTTGTGTACTAGATATTAGATACAGCACAAGTTTAGCTTCGCGATTTGTTGTACGATCTTGCAATCACCGTGTTTGTGAAGGGAAACTGGTTCGGTGACACGCAAACCGATCGGCTTTAGAGTCCAGTTTCTCGAAAAGTGTGGTCGGGTTCTAGGGACAGCATCTTGGGATGACCATGAAGTAACTAGAAGGGAACAATGCGTGGCCGGAGGCAATAGAGATGCAAATTTGGCGAGTAGAAGGGAAATTTGCGGCAGAGAAGAAATGGGGAATAGAGAGCAAAGAGTACGTGGGGAGAAAACATTGGCAGGCAAACACAACAGATGGATTGTTTGGTGTTTGTCCGTACCCTTGAATTTAGTGACCCGGGACTTGCGTTCATCGCCTCCAAGCCAAGTCCATTGAGGATCGAATCTTTGAGATGATGAAGAGACAATCTTGTTCTGCAGATGTCCGCTCAGCAGTGTTGCTGCTTGGTAGCGCGAGGCAGTTGCTAGACGGCACCAAACGCAATAACGCCAGGAAATTGGGCCATGAGGGGGCAGCGACGGTCATTCGCACAACAGACACCCGAGAAACGGTATCTGGCCAACATCAGGAGACCATCAAGGCTACCTGGACTATCGCATGCTGCTCGGGATCGGCTTTTGAAGCTGCACCATACTTCGGTCAGGAGGACGGAGCAAAACTTGATGCCCTGGTGCGACTCGTAAAGTCAGCCGATGCGATGTTCCCGTGCCCCGAGTGAAAATGATTCGAAGATGCGCGCACGTCGGCTTTGTGGATAGCAAAGGAAAGTGGACGCGTTCGGCGTGCCGAGGACTAATGTAATCCCCAAAAGCACGTCATCGTGCCAAGACTTGTGGATAGTTGTTAGCGGCAACGGCTGAGCGTGAATCAGAATGCCCTAAAGCGTGACTGTGCCCAACATGGACATTCACACGCATCACCCCGTTCGACGCAAGCACTACGCCTGCGACCTGCCACACTCATGACTCCTGGCGTCATGGCCGCTTCTGAGACGAACGGGGCCGTGGTCAATGGCACCCACAAGTACAGTATGCTTTCTGCGATTTTGTTTCTCTTGTGATAATCAACGACTGATGGCTGCATAGAGAAAGTCTTTTCTCAACCTGAGAACCCGTTTTCCAATCTGATCCCCGGCCAAACCATCGCCATCATCCCCCAAATCGAGCTTGAATCCGGTGTCATCCTCCGCAATGTTCCCGTTGCATACAAAACATTTGGCATGCTGTCACCGAAGCGGGACAATGCCATGGTCATATGCCACGCACTCACTGGGAGCGCGGACGTCGGAGACTGGTGGGGCCCGCTTCTCGGGGGTCCAGGCAAGGCCTTTGACATCTCGAGGTTCTTCGTCGTCTGCATCAACAGTCTTGGGAGTCCCTACGGCAGTGCCAGCCCTGTCACGGCCAAAGATGGCAATGCTTCGTTGGGTTTGTATGGGCCCGAGTTTCCTCTGACTACCGTCAAGGACGATGTCAAGTGAGGTGCACACCGGAGCCATGCTGTGGACGTTGCTGACGTGAGCAGTATCTTTAAGCGTATTCTCGACGATCTGGGGGTGCGCCAAATTGCAGCCGTCATTGGTGGTTCCATGGGCGGCATGCTCGTGCTTGAGTTTGCGTACTTCGGAAAGGACTACGTGAGAAGTATCATCCCTATCGCAACGTCTGCGCGGTATAGTGCTTGGGGTATAAGCTGGGGTGAGGCACAGCGGCAGAGCATCTACAGCGATCCAAAGTACGACGACGGATACTACGCATTTCAAGACCCTCCTTCCACTGGACTTGGTGCCGCCCGCATGTCTGCGCTCCTGACATATCGCAGCCGTGATTCGTTTGAGTCGCGCTTCGGGCGGAACACCCCCGACCTGTCTAAGAGACAAAATATCAACGCCGTCCCGCGGCCTACCTCACCGCATCATGAACACTGGGCAATTCACAACGATGGTCATAAAAATGCTAGGTCTCCACGGCCCTCTCGGACAAATAGTACGACCATGCTACCTACTCACTTCGCATCTAGTGAATCCGATCTGGAATTCCACAATCCGTCAAAGCTCTCAACGCCTGAGATTCCAGAGAACGGATCCACGAACGGTAACGGACGCGCTGTAACACCACCTAAGAAACGCACTCCTACATATTTCTCTGCGCAATCATACCTGCGTTACCAAGGGGAAAAATTCATCAAGCGATTTGATGCAAATTGTTACATTGCAATCACCCGAAAGCTGGACACTCATGATATTTCCCGACATCGCTCCCCCCCTGGTGCCGATCCCGATACCCTTGATCCGGTATCGGCGCTTCACTATGCTCTGTCATTAATTGAGCAACCAACCCTCATCCTTGGCATTCAATCCGATGGTCTTTTCACATTTGCCGAGCAGCAAGAATTGGCAGCCCACATCCCAAACGCAACGTTAAAGACAATTGACTCTCCCGAAGGCCACGATGCATTCTTACTTGAGTTTGAGCAGGTTAACCGACATCTTCTCCTCTTCATGAACGAAGTCCTCCCAAATATTATGGCACGAAGTCCAAAGATGGAAGGCATTGGTAGTGATGACTCAGGAATGACCGCGAAGAAGACAAGCACCTTTGGCGAAGTCGAAGTGGGCGATATTACCGCCTGGTGAAAAGAATCTTGGGGTTTCTTTTTTTGAAAGCGTGGCGAATGGCGTTTTAGAAAGACTGGACTGAAAAAGACAATACGACTTTCGGCATATGCTTGAAAGAAAGCCGTACATACACGTGATCTGTCTATTGTTCACAGGAGAAGAGGTTCAACTCCTCGATTATTATTTCGACTCTGATAGGCGAGTGCTAGAAATGGATACCTCTATATCCCTCATTTGACACCGTGCAAGCGACATGACTTTGGGTACAATGGGTGAGCAATTGGACTTTCTATCTTAAATCATGCATTATCTTCCCCTCTCGCTGTTTGCATAGCTCCCGTCTTTCAGGTGTCTGTAGGATGTTCGCATGATATCGTTTTGAGCAATACTCTCCCCTAAGTCTCAGTCTCAGTCAACTTTCTTTCCTACTTACGATGGGTGAAGACTCGCACGAAATCGCGAAGCCTTCCATCTTATGGAGAACACGGGATCTTAGGATTCCGAGTTTTCCTAAGATTAGCCTACCCTTAGGATTAATTCACTGTCAGCTGCACTTTAGCACCTATCAAGGAAAAATTATCAGTAGGTTTAACGAAACATCAACACATATCAGGGAAGACTAACAGACTGGGGACAATCCGCCACTCTGCTACTGCTTGCAAGGCAAGGCTGTTGCCTCCGCGACTTGTGACTTAGCAAACGATCGTAGTGAGGTAAATACAGAGGCAGTTAGCCGGGTCTCTAGTGCTTTTCACCCCGTCATATAGATCCGGTTAAACGAGATATGTTGAGTATGTTGTTTCACTTCAGATCATTTCCGAACACGTTGAATATTCGCAGACTGGCCCCCACGAAAAAAACGTTTCCTGCCATATCACGACACTGGCTTGTTAACTCCATTGAAACCCATGGAGCATCTGGGAAGTATCCCCCTGGTCTACAAAAGACCTGTATGTATTCGGAATGGTGGCGCGAGTTGAGGGGTTCTGAATGCCGAAGGTACACGTAGCCGCTCAAGTTGGTTGTTTTGTTCATCTCGGGTGAGGCATGACGAAGAGCATCACCATCGCCGTCACCCTTGATCCTCCCAAACCTGTGTGGCAGGGCCTACACACCTGTGAAAGTAAGCGAAATATTGATGAGGTCCACGCCTTTGGAGCTTCACCTGACTTTGTCACTTTCACTCTACAATGACAAAGCAAATGGGGTTTGGGTTCGTCAGAACTTATCGTTCGAGGGGATCATCAGTATTTAATAACCCACCCCTGTTCTTTCCAATGGTTTCAGCTTGCAAAGTCCCAACTGCCATGGATCAGCTACATATTCCCTTCAGCTTCCTCGACGTCTATGACGCACCTCCTTCACCTTCACAAACCACACAGCACGCTCCCTCCTACCCTGCGCAACAACCTGATCCACTCCAAGACACGTCCTATCTACCCTCAAACCAAAAACTCTCCCCGAACAGTTCCTTGATAACCCTACAAGACCTCCTTGAGGAGACTGATACCGCAGACGATTCCGAGGATATTTCCGAGGAGGATCTTGGCCAAATTGCTCCCAAGGTTGTCTCTCAGGGCTTGGTTAGGTCTGATGTAGGCCCGACTTATTGGAGTTTTCAAGCTGGATATACTTACAAGCCAACAGCAGTACTATAACGCATTCCAAGATCCAGCACCACCCACCATTCAGGCTAACCGTAGCGTCGGTAGCCGGTTTAGTCACGGGAGCATGGGCTTTGCGTCTGACCAGACCACACTGCCCATCGTTAGTTGCGCATCCCAAGGTGCGTCTCGAGCTACGTCTTCGAGGAATTGGTCGAACCTTCCTCCATTCATGTCTTGGCAAGCAAACACGTCGCAAGCTACATCTTCCCAAGCTTCAGGAACCCGGGGTTTTGCCAATACTGGCAGTAACACCTCAGCCTCTTGTTCGCATACCCCATTATTCTCACGCCCATCCAATCCATTCGAGTTCTAACATCAGATATCTCTGGCTAATTCACCTTATCAGCTGCGCCCCCGATTGCATGTCCCTGGGCTCCTGGAACCCAATCTTCCTTCATTGGTGGGAATCCGTTATATCGGTCACCACCTATTCCATTCGGGCTTCATCGAGAGGACTATCAGGGGAATGCATCTACAGCTCTGTTAGGTGACTCTAGCTTTCCTAGTCAACCCCAGAACTCTTTTCCCTTGGATACGCCATTCCAGCGTCGAATGAATGACGGCTCTAATTCCTTCGGATCCGACGTGTATCAGCAATTCCGAGCTACGCCCCCTCCGGGGGATTTTGATGAGGACTTCGATGTGGTTGACAAGGGGGGTAATTATGACCACATGGCGGGCCTTTCTACTCAGATCTCGTCACCCAAGTCTCGGTTCCGGAGCGGTAACAAATCCGACAACGATAACGACAACCCGACTCTTTCTTTTCTTGCCACACCACCCCAGCTTCCGGGCCCTGACCTTGGTTATCATGGCTATAACGCTATGTTAATCCATAGTCCGTTCAGGGTCAGCGATAAGTCTTTCACCAAGAGGTTGGAAGTCATTAACCTCGATGCTCCCTCTTCTAGTTCTAAGGGTAACAGGGGTCGCTGCAAAGGCGACAACGACGACAACGACAACGGCACCGACCTCTTTTCGCCACCCACCAAGAAGCGCGCAGCTGACGTCAACACGGAATTCATAAGCCAGATTACACCGAACTACCAGTTCGACCACGGAACCTTGTACCCTGTGGTCCCTCCAACAACATCCTCCGCCCCGTACACCGCCATCGAGAAGGCCTGGCTGAAGCGCGAATATGGCTCTGAGGCGATATTCCTCGGACGCCACGGCATGACCATGAGCCCTGACGACCGGCGCGCGGGATACAAAATCATGCGCAAGAAGACGGAGCAGAAAGCCTTCGAGGAAATCGTGGACGTAGATATCATGCGGGAGGAAGAGCTTGAGGTGCAGCAGTGCCAGGCGTGGATGGCCAAGAATTTGAGTCAGGGTCAGTGGGGATGGGTTGAGATGGAGTGCAAGGGGATCACAGAGTTGATGAGGATGTTTGGGCTGAGGTATTATTATCAGGAAGATTGGCCGAAGGCAAAAGATATTGTGGAGAAGTTGATGAGTGGTGAGTATGAAGTGGACGATGGAGAGTAGAGTTGGGATATTCGAGGGTTGTTACGGATGTTATTGTTGGACGATTCGCTAGTGCATTAGGGAAACTACCGTCTTGAGATAGATACCCTTAGTTACATGGATAAATAGCCTCTCCCATACGGATGAATGCTGTGTGTTTAGAGTGTGGATTTTGGGTGGACTGCAGTTTGGCTACTATAGTGTAATTCTTGCTGGCGCTACAGGCAGTCTCCTACATGTAGGCACAAAGTATTAAAACTCCAATATAGAAGATCCCTAAGTTCATGTCTCCCTATGGTCTCTGCTTAGGATGCTTGGCATATCCAGACTGATCGGGACCTCGAGGCTCCTGAGCTCCTGCGCTCTCTGAGCACATTGCTCCGGTTGCTTCCGTCTTCTTAGCACCTGAGTAGCCTAGGCTAGATCACGTGACTATTGACATATTCCTTGCCCCGCGCACCCATCCTGCCAGCTCAACCAGCTTCAACACTTCTTCTGTGCCTTCGATTCGTTCTTGATACCCTCCGTTGGTATCGTTTGTAATAGCGACCCTCTTGTAGAGTACGTTATATAAAATAAAACTGAAAGGTCTTGTAGGTGAGCTAGCATTCTAGAGCCATATTTCGCTTTCGCACGAAACTCTTGGCGTTGACGACTCTCCTTCAGACGTTACTCGGTTTTCTTGGCATAATTATGTCTTCCTGTCGAGTATTCTAGAACCTTTCATTAAATGTGTGGCTTGATATGACCACACCCCTTAGCCAGACCTCAAAACCTCTGCTTCCAACAATCTTGTCAGTGCAAGCGGAGACTTGCAGATTCATGCCTTTTACTAGGATACTTCACAATTTTTTTCCGCAACTAGATTTTAGTGTATCGGTAGCTTTTGTCATTCTATCATACTAGCGAGAGAGTAAGTTGGGTGGCTAAAATGCCCTGGGCGTGGGACTCGTTTTCAACCTACCAGCTTCAGCTAGAGGACCTACTGAGGTATTTGTCAAGCTCGTTTGGGAATTATAATTTTCACTAAAAGGTAAAAGGTGGATTCTCCCTGTTTCATCTAAGGCTAATCCAAGCTTTCCAGGCCGTCAATGGCTCCAACTGTGTCTGGATTCCTCGCCAGTTAACTGAAGTGAGTAGATTTCATCCTTCAGCTACGTTTTAAATGTGTTAGACAGATGATTATGACTTTTAAAAAGTGAAATCGAATTCTGTGAATAGCTAGAAAGGGTGAATATTGAAGATTTAAGATGGGGGATTAGCAACAGTGATAATGACTACGTTGTTGGCGGTGGCTTAGAAGGGATACCAGCCGTGAGAACACTACAATACTCCTGGGTAGGCAGTTTATTAGATTCGATGTCGATGGGCGACAGCATAGTTAAAGATGGAGGTCTACTAGGCATCTCGAGTTCTTCCAGTATTACCCAGAGCGATCACGTTCCTCGCATTGTTACCACACGTAAATCAGCGCCTGAAGGTACAGTAGAACTCTACAAAATAGAGGTTCCTGAGAATACTCTGAGCCGGGATGCAAACAAGGAAACGGAACCGGTAAGTAGGATTGTATGCGACAAGAACAAATAAGATGCCCCCACAAAACGAGGTGTCGCATATCAAAATCGTTTATATTGGCCAGATACTAGGGATCAGAGACTCAACAATAAAGAGGGGGCTAGATGATGCCAATAGATAATATTGCGTATGGTAATAGTGTGCTGGAGGCGAGGACTTATTATGGTAACTCTAGTTTGCTTATGCGAACGAATCATTGAGCACTTATCCGAAGAAGAGATTTGGGATGCTGCCTATCGCCTCATCGCCATGCACTTAATACTGTATGCGTCGTGATCAAGGTGCATAGAAATGAAAAAGTGGTAGTCAAATCCCTCGGAAAACGGATTCATTCCTGCTACAACATATATTTAGCTAGTACTACCTATACCTTAAGATCACAAAGATTTTCTTATAAATTAAGTTGTTACCTGTAAGAGAGTTGTGTATCGTGTAAAGAGGTTTAATCTTCAGCTTATTATATTCTAGTTTTATAAGCTTACTGTAGTAATAGAGCTATCTATGATATTGTCCCGGAGGGAAGCACATGAAATCATTCCATCGATGACCTGCTGTACGGGTTTAGGCTGGTATCCAACTCAACTGAACCTTCCGAGAGAGAGAGCATCTTTCTTATGTGCTTTCCCTAGCTGTCCTTCCTCGTAAAAGTGTCATTCCATCTTCTGAAGCCACATGGGAAAGATGCCTTACAGTGAGTATGGATATCATTTAGAGATATGGGAGGTCGTGACAGCTCAGATTGAGGTTACTGAAAATGAGCAATTCATGGAATAATTCTGGACAATATCAAGATGGGAAATTGCCTCTTGAATCACCAAACATGTTTGACATATGGTGTCGGTTAGCAAGACTAGATGTGAATTAATAACTGGTAGCAAGTGAGGTCAAATATAAAGAAACCGACGGACGTAAAGAGAAGTGGAGAATGCCCTTCTATTATTTGCTTTGGTTGAGTGTAGATACTCACAAGGATCTGAACCTTGCAAATATTTCTTCTTCCTTGATCTTGTTTTTCACAGCCTCCAATATCTTCTTTTCATACAGATCATCGTGCCTCTTCGACCCTGTCAGTATCTTCTTCTCGTGCTTTGCCGCCTCTTCTTTGGTCATACACACTAAGTCCGTCATCCGGAGCAAGGAGTTTTTCTGCCCAGGGGTTCGCTTGTCAATGAAGTCCTTAGGAGCCTTGAACCATCGGATCAAGCATAGCCGGGTGGATAAGCCGCTGATGATGCTGCGTCCATGGAATACCTCCTCGATTAGATATCCAACGTCGTCTTGGGTGATTGGTATCCTCAAGCCTTGCGATTCATATCCCGCGTGTTTGGCAAGCCTTTCTTCAGCTCCCTGCAGCGCGCCGAGGATACCGTCGTACATTTTATCTCTTGACTTTGATGGAAGATATTCGTGCGGGTATCCAGCAATTTCTAGTATAACGTGATTTGCGACAGCAAGTCCAAAGATGGCGGGCATAGTTCCAAGGACTGGTAGGATCCTCACTCGGAAATCTGGGAGAACTCCCAAATCGCCGACACTGCCTTTCTGGAACTCCTCCTCAGGTAATGGTAGTAATTGCGCCTTCCCTGGCCCTGGTTTCTCGGTCGAGAATACTACTGGGATTCCGTCCTTGACCCCAAGCGCTCGCAACCTCCTCCTCGTGGCCTTTGAGAGTGGGTCATCGGTGCTGGCAGAAATGTCGCCAATGAAGATCTTGGTGGGGTCCGATTTGCAGCCAGCGCCCATTGAAGAGATAACTGGGAGGTTGTTCTTATAGCAGTAGTTTAGTAGGGCCACCTTACTATCGATGTTGTCGATTGCATCAATGACAAAGTCAGGAGGAAGACCATCAATTGGACCCAGTTGATGATCTGCGTTGGCCTCGCTGAACAGCTCATTTCGACAGTCGAAGTGCGTCCAAGGGGTCACTTGCTCTAGTCGTCTCCGAATGCAGTGAACCTTGGGTGCTCCTACATCCGCCAAAGTCGCAACGGCATGCCGATTCAGAGAAGAAAGGGTTACCTGATCGAAATCAATGAGCCGAATGGTAGACACTCCTGAGCGAGCGAGGGCCGCCGCAGCATGTGATCCTACACCGCCACATCCGACAACAACAACGAAAGCTGCACGGAGAGTCTCCAGGCCGCCATCGGTGAGGAAGACTCGATTGCGGGCGAGTTGTTCAAGGATGAGATCTGCAAATGATTAACACTCAAATCGAAGGTGTGCACGGTATAGGCCGAAGGCTTACCCTCATCATAGTCACCCTTTCTCGCTTTGGCCGCAAGGGCCACGCTTCGCTTGTCCTCTGTGGTCGGAGCAAACGCCCCTGAGGCCGCTCCATACTCAGTCAACTTCCTAGAGTCAGCTTGAATCGAGAAAAGTGCAATGGAAAGGGTGACCCAATCTGTTGGATTTTTGCAATAATGCGACTTACTCTGGTCGCGTGATGCTTCTCTCCAATATCAGGTATAGATGCCTTCAGATCGGCCACCCTGTACGTGCGTCTCACCTTCTGGTATCCAAGGATTGCGCTTGCGACCACCGCGCCAGAGACAACTGCGGTGGTGACCAATTGCGCATTATGAGATGCTGTGGTTTTCGAGATCCACGAGGACATCTCGCAAAGGTTCGCTAAGGGGCGCTCGATGTAAACGAGACTAACGGCACCACTTGCGATGAGTGGTTCATGCAGGGGAAGGGTCGCTTCAATCTTATATGTCTTGACAGAGTTAGAAACTGTGAAGACGATGATGATTTGGTGTAGCTGAGTTTAGGTTTCCAAGCTGGACCTGAAACAGCTAGACGCCATGACTAAGCACCCGTTTTCTCTTTCGAGCAAATTCAGATGACCTTTGACCTCGATAGCCGCCAGCGAACAACTGGATCACATTCGACGCGTCTGAAACATTTCTCACGCGCAGTTTGTGCATCTGATCGCGGGAAGGTGATAAGACGCCCTGATACAGCCTCGGCCGCTCTAGTAGCCTTTTTTTTCAGCTTACCTTCTCTCCCTCCAACCTCTATCTTTTTGTGAACACTATGTCAAAAGTTACTTTTGCAGTCATTGCTGCTGCCGGTGCAGTAACCGGTGCAGCAGCAACAGCAGCCGTCTACTCCTTTAAGAAAGAATCTCCAAAACCTTTGCCAACAACCACAACATCAACCACAACAGTCTCCACACCATCTCGAACTGGACCTGCTGCTCCTGTCCCAGTCTATCCTTCACCAGCAGCTGTAGCACGAACACCAATCGTTGACCCTAATGGTCTGTTCCAATATGGCTTTCCAGGTCCGGTTGCCGACCTTCGCCCCGCCGCCTCTTTGACTTCCTCCTTCGACCGCCGAACACGAAATCCGTCTTGGGTCGCAGAACACATTACCCCTGAGTCTCTCGCCAACAAAAATGCAGATCGCAAGCACAGCGTATTTGTGGAAGATGTGTCCATACCTGAGATGTTCCGCGCAAAACTGAAGGACTACTTCCGTTCGGGGTATGACCGAGGCCACCAGGTCCCAGCAGCGGATGCTAAGTGGAGCCAGGAGGCTATGGACGATACATTTCTGCTGAGCAACATGTGTCCACAGGTCGGCGATGGGTTCAACCGGGATTACTGGGCGCATTTCGAGGACTTCTGCAGGCGATTGACAGGGACGTACCCCTCCGTTCGCATTGTGACAGGGCCTCTATACCTCCCAAAGCGAGATACGGATGGAAAGTGGAGAGTGAGCTACGAAGTCATTGGCCAGCCACCGAACGTTGCGGTCCCAACACATTTCTATAAGGTCATTTTCGCAGAGGATGGAATAGCAGGCGGAAAAGTTGCGCTCGGCGCATTTGTGCTGCCGAACGCAGTTATTGCGAATAATAAGCCTCTACAAGACTTCGAAGTTCCAATCGAGGCGGTTGAGAGGGCAAGTGGGCTACAGTTCGCAACGAAGCTTGACGCTTCCAGGAGGAAGAGGTTATGCCAGGAAGTGAATTGCTCAGTCATCGTGAAGGAGTACAAAGATAGGCAGAAGAGTTTTGGGAAGCAGTGAAAAATGACTCTCCCAGCTTCGCATGGCTTTGATCTTGAAGATATCACAACATTGTAAACATATGCATGAGCGGAGTTTGTCTCCGTGGGTGCGATCACCGTCGCTTAGAGACATTGGAGCCAGATACCGATTATTACAGTTGTCACTGCATTTTGTACAATATAGTACAAATCCATGATGGCCGGGTCCAGATGAGAGATGCGGTGCCACCAGTGGCCTATGTGTATGTCGAAATCGCATACCTGATCGTACAGTGCGATATCGTTCAGTGCGTCGATATCAAGTTCGTAACCCCTCTATCACCATGCTAGCTTGTTCGTCGATCCTTTCATGATTTTCACTCCTAAAAGGTGTTGCCCATCCCACCCTGCTGCGACTCCTTTTGTATCCTAGCCACATACTGCTTTGATACTGTGTTCCACGCCTGCATGTATTTGTCCATGCACGCCGTAAAGCAAGATTCCTCGCCTTTGGAGAGGGATGTTCCAGGCTTGGGGACGCAGCGTTCAAAGCAGTGTTCGTTGAGTTTCTACCCGTCATCCATTAGCAAAAGAAGCCTGGCAAAGTAGAGCATGAAGAATGTATGAAAATTGGAAATAGAAGGAGGGAATGGTGAGGACGTACTTCGACGAGCATGCGCGCGTTCTGCATAGCTGCTTCCTGCTGTATTTGGCGCATGACCTGCGTCTTCTGGTCGTTGCCGAAAGCGCTCATACCTGAGGCGCCTAATGAGTCCATATTGACGGATATGATGTGAAGGGAGTACGGGGGTGATGGGAGGCGTGAAAAGCCAACAGGAACGAATTGAAATGTTTGTTACAAAAGTAAAGCAAAACTTCATCGACGTCAAACCAAATTCCCCGACGCGGCACATCCTCGGTGTTTCTTTCTCTCCGCCAGGCTGGTCCAAGCACACCTGGGCATGAGGTGGGCGGAAAGGCCACCAAGCAGCTTTCGCGACGGGGCCAACCACAACCCACAACATCGTTCATACACCCACCACCACATTCTCACCCGGACTCTATGTCTTCCGCCCGCGCCATTCTTCTCTTCTCATAGCCTCATTCAATCGTCTTGCCCAGCTGCGGCACTCTATTCCTTCAATTGCAGGAGCTTAGACTTCCGCCTTCCATTCGTTATTCCGGGTAGCGGCCTAGGCCCGGAGACATCTGTAGCATAATGTTGTTCCAGCGGCCATGGGCGAGCTTGTGCCTGCTGGCCGGGAGCTTGGTGGGGACCTGGGCATTGGGATTGAGTGAGCATCCAGATATTAAGGCTATTTCTGTAGGCGTTGTGTTCTGTGTAGCTGTTGTGAGTTCTGCTGATGGAGTTGTAGCTACGGACGCACAGCCTTGAACCCGTGAGTCTACCTCAAGCCGTGTATCGAGAATAGGGTCGGGAGATAAGGACGAAGTGGACTTACTAGAATATAGCCTTACCTCGACTCGGACATGCAAAGCCGCTGGTTCGACTTTGGCGGCGACACCATCATTCGTACCGACAAATACATCCGTCTCGCCTCGGACAAGCCCTCACGAACCGGATGGATATTTTCAAGAGTGCCTTTGACCGCGACAAACTGGGAGGTACGTATACCGTTCCCCAATACCATTTCCAGGGGGGTGCTCCCGTAGCTCACGCGACATAGATCATGGTGGAATTCAAGATCCACGGCCAGGGGAACCTCTACGGCGACGGCTTCGCAATGTGGCTCACCAAGCAGCGCGCACAAAGCGGACAAGTCTTCGGATCGGTAGACAACTTCGAAGGTCTCGGTGTTTTCTTCGATACATATAAGAACAACCGACCAGGCACAGTCTTTCCCTACATCATGGCCATGAACGGAGACGGAAAGACACCATACGACAAAGACAACGACGGCAAAGCAAACGAGGTTGCTGGCTGCTCCGTACGTTCCCTCTCCTCCTACCTCATCCCCCATAATTTGCATAATCCTAACAATATCTCATCCAGGCCCGTGGCATCCGCAACGCCAACATCCCCACCAAAGCCAAATTCACCTACTTCGCTGACAGCTCCCTCAAACTCGAACTACAATACAAAAACGAAGACGAATGGACCGAATGCTTCGACATCCCCAACTTCAAAATCCCGCCCGTCGCCTACCTGGGCTTCTCTGCTGAGACTGGGGAACTCTCCGACAACCACGACATCATCTCTGTTAAGACGCTCAACCTCTATCAACACAATACCGGCTCGAATGCTGCGGCCGCCGCAAATAGTCCTGGGAAAGGAGGCAGTGTGAAGCCCAGGACTGAAGGAGGGAGTTGGAGTTGGTTCTTTTTTAAGTTTGTGCTGTTTGGACTTGCGGTTAGTGGAGCGTATGTTGGGTTTACGATTTATCGAACTAGGCAGCGGGATAGGTTCTGAAGTTGTGGTAAAGACGAAAGAGAGGATGAGCTAGAGTAGATGGGGATGAAGGTGGAGCATGAGAGTTGCTCTTTGATGCTTATGTATTGGAATGGGTTGGATGGAAAAGTGATGGTGTCGTTCTTCATAGCGTTTTCAGTCCTAGCGTATTTGCACACCCCTCCTAGTGAACAAATTTTTCAAGGCATGCATGATCTTACCTCACGCGAGTTTGTCACCACACATGTGAAGTGGAGTCAAGCCAAGTCATTCATGTATTCTATCTACTGTTTCAGTCCTCAGAAGCTTTCTCTTGGCCCGAAGGCTGTTCGCATATACAACTCCAAGAGCCTGCATCGTCGCGGACGCCCCGACTATTCTCAGGACCACCCACTAGCAAGCTCCGTGTTGTATAAAGTTTGGCTTAGCTTTATAATCATCGGACTCCTGACCAGACTTCTTAAGAAGAATGACCGCATCCACAAGCACCACTCACCGCCGCCCCAGACCAGCGCACTCACCCTACGCAGCCATGCCCAGAAGGCAGTGGGGCGCTCCGATTGAAAACTACAATGAGTCTCATCAGCAGGCCAGCCCGTCTGCCGAAGCTTCAACGGGCGGCGCTTCAACCCTTTTACCTTGTCGACATTGCGCAGCGAGGTGTAGGGGTTTGCGAACGGCAAGACGCGAGTGGGTGTGGGCACCAAAACCCAGAGACGGGTTCACTCATGAGAGTGAAGGGCCGTCGCACAGCCTGTTGTCGAATGCTTGGTAGGGGCCAAGACACCCGCAACGTGCCTGCTTTGGGGCAGGACACTCCCTCTGCTTTCTGTTCCTGGTCGCGGCTCTCACGCTGTGCAATGTGAAAGTGCGGCCCGGCCATGGGGACTGGTTGATGAGGCCAGGAGCCCTGTACCGATGGGATATTTGTCGGTCTTCGGGATCTGCGCGATATTAGAAGGCTGGTTAAAGGGATTTTGAGGCGGGGAAGTGTGAATTTGGTTCACGTACAGCTGCTCGGTTTTTGGCGTTGATGAGGAAGTGACCAAAAGGTGGGAGACGCGGTGGATATTTAGCGGCTGGAACGCGATCACGTGCTCAGTAGCGGACTTAGCGCGCAGCTTGGCGGCCCCGCCTCCGAATTTGGAGAATCCAACATGAGATCAAGGAGAGGCGCAGTCATGACGAAAGCACTGCCGGAGTTTGGTCTTTCACACCAAATCTGATATTCGAAATCTACAGTCTGTAATCATTGCTACAAGCGGAAGACACCCAGAGCGAGGCCATCATTCATAGACGTAACAGAAAGGTCCATCAACAGTACTGACAAGCTCCTTGATCGCGTACTTCTTCCCATCGACATTTAGCACATCCATATCAACAATGTCATTCAAGGTCTGTGCCTTTCCTCCTCCCTGCATTGACGTTCCCCCAGCAATGACCTGTTGCCTTTTGGCAAAGTCCTGGCTCTGCCAGATATACCAGGTCCTGTCGATCATCCCATGATGAAGCCAGAAGGCAGGGTCACCTGGAGAGGTATAGAAATCTGAGCCGGGATCCCCGCTGATGGTGAAGTGGCCGGCACTGTGGACGCCGGTTCCAGATTGCATTGTGGTCTGGAAGGTGTTGATGTCCTTTGAGCCTGTGATCAAAGAGGCGATCTTGGCGGTCGTGGCATCGCGGTTAGTCAAGTAGTTGGAGAGGTCGCGTTTGATGCAGCGGGGATTGTAACCAAATCCATCGCTTCTGGGATTCTTGGGTGGGTTAGTGTCAGCCATAGCAGCCATGGGGCTAGCATATCATTAGCTGCTTGAAACGAAGAGGAAGGCTTTAACCAAGACATACCCAAGATTAATCATCATGTTCTTGAACGGTCCGCTTGCGATGCATCCTCCCCCGTTCCCAGCAGGCTTGAGGCCGTTGCTCTGGTGTGTGACCTTCTCGCCTTGACCACTCATGCTAGTGTTACTTCCGTCAAAGATCGGCGATGTCTCCGGGCTGGATGCCCATCTGCCCCAGTCCCAGTACTGATAAGGTTCATTAGATTTCGTGCCTTGGAACTAGAAGTTGAGTGCTTACTGGCTGAGTTCCATTATACCCACACTCTGTCCTGAGAGCATTCTCATAGGAGAAGGTAAAGTAGCGATGCCATGAGAGGAAGTTTCCCTACAAGAAGTTATTAGTTACTTTATATTATAGCTCGTGTGGGCAAAGTTGCTTACAGTTCCATGAATCGAAAGCGTGTTCTTCATGTGGATAGCGACGAAGTCGTCATAGCGGCTCTTTGCTCCAGGATAAGCAGTTGCGCTCAACTTAGACGGCTTCTGGATGATACACCTATCATCTCGAGTCAGGTGATAGCCTTGGAATGTGTTGGTCCACAACTTACAGAACAGCTGCGATGTAAGCCTTCTTCTCCGCGGCAGTAATGTCTCCCCTAGTTTGATTCGTCAGTGACGCTCAACAGGATCGAGACCGCCCATCTTACCATTCTCTCCGAACCCGGAGCTTGTCCTTTGTGCATGTTGTGGACTTCGCGACCACAGCATCAACTGCAGCACGCCCCTTATCTTGCAAGTCTTTGACAGCGTCCGCGGTGCACACAGCAGAAAGAAGGGAGAAGGATACCAAAAGGGCAAACAGCCTTTGGAGGGAAATGACACCCATCTTGGAGACAAAGACGGAATTATCGCCAAACCGACCTTGCTGAACCGACACAAAACATGTTGGAGAAAAGACGCCTCTGAACTTATACTATACTCCTTCCTGAGTAAGATCCTCAAGGTCTTGGCTTCATGGTGAACGGACCTTCGAACCGCTAAGGGTTGGCAATCTGTGCAACGTTTGAAAACCTTTTATATGAGACTGTAATCTAAGAGTATCACAGACTCGTGGACGCCACAGCTTGCATATCAATCAACCTTGCGTGATTGGAACCGGCAGATGGGTGAACAATATACATAGTTCTGGATGCTGTGGGGTAATGGGATCGAGAGAGGTAAAATTGGGACGGCTTTCGGCATTCTCCAATTTATTCTTCTCATCAGCTTACCGCCGTAGTGTTGGAGAAAGCAGGGAATTCGGAGGAGCGGTCGACGTGAATGCATCACGAGTACTCAACATCTGGCTCACAATCGGATCTCAACACACCTTTCATATGGCCGAGGAACCACACGAATCCTGAACAAGAAAGAACATTCTGAAACACCCACAGCTCCTTTCACTCTAGGATGCGTTTAACCACCTCTCCAACTCTTGTGATGAGGCGAGAGGATGTACGTAACCGCGACTTGTGCGCGAAGTTAGGCGCCAGCACGTATCATTAGTGGACTGCGTCAACCACTGCGACACTGCGGCAAAGTTCGAGGAAGGCTCTCGAAGCGTCATCTTGCCAAGCCGGCTTTCTGTTGCCTTGCCCCCCAGATGGAGGGCATTGCCTTACTCCAAAATTAAGCTTAATTATGAGATCTGCAGTGAATGGCTATCGTTGAGCACGAAGCTTAATGGCGGGAGTTGGGGGAAAGGGAAGCGCATCCTTCCCGAAATGATGACCGGGTACTGAAACTTTCATTAGATCTTGCAAAAGATAACAAGAAAAATAATGAGGAGATATCCAAGGAAATCCGTTCATGGGATTGTGAAAAAGAAAAGGACTGGCTGTTGACACAAGCCGTGACTATAGGTGAGGTGGTGAGAATGGTTGAGGTTGACGAAAGTTTCCAATCAAGAAAAATCTCTGATAATGTCTGTACAAAATTAGGGTATTGGATGGGCCACGTTCTCCTTTCCCCATGGGGATGTACATGGAAAACGGTGATTCGCTGCCACTTAATATCTGGGTCATGGGACGCATTCTGCCGGCAGTAGTATCAATCAACGGCCCATGCTGTCGAATATCTGATGCATGCTCGCTACATCGAATACGAGGGACAAGAAAAGCTTCGTTTGACTTTGAGCGAGAGTAGATTCCTAACCTTGAAAGCCGAGAAGCCGTTGAGATCGAAGGAGTACGAATGGGAGTCCGTGATCCGGGATGCGGTTGTTCCTGAGAAATTCACCCAACTCCCTCCGACCGAATGACGATCTTGACATGTAGCCGCTTCAATCTCGTCCCGAGATGCTGAGATTACCGATGCAAGATTTTGCGGGGAGAAATTGTCTGGCAGGAGGAGGAACTGGTAGAGGGTAACTGAGAGTCACACAAGTTTCCCGCTGCCGGGAGAGATCGCAATTGCGTCAGATTGCGCGCCGAGTGTTTGACCAACCGACGTCGGACGGGTGGGAAGTTCGGCATGGCGTACTTCACCGAAGTGCCTTAGATGCTGCTGAGTGATGTTTGAGGTCGAGCCCTGAGCAGAGGCAGAAAAGTGGGATGCAGTTGACGTACTGGGCAATCACGTGGAGGAAATTGATGCCCACCTCATTAAAAGGAGGCACACTTGCAGATTAGAGAAACACAGAGCGGGCACCGAATAGGATTGCCTAAGAATTAAAGCAATGCTACGAATTATGTAACAGTGAAATAGTGATTTCCTTCACTCACGTGGAGCCCAAGGGTTCCAACTTCTTTTTAATCTCAACCAGCGGAAATGCAAGCACGCATTCGCTGGTCCTCTGAATTGCGTGGTCATTTTTAAGGCCACCCCCTTTCCAACCAAGTGTGATCGGTTATAGAGAATTTTTGCCACCGAAAACTCCATGCGCCACAAGCATTCATCCAGAAAATCGAGGAGAGTTCCGCGTTACCGTGATAGGTAGTATGGTGCTTCTGTCCACGTGCCTTGGGAATCTGTCAAATATAGAATAAAAGCCAATATTATGTACTTCTTTGTGAACTATGGTCCACAGTTGCGCCTGGTAGCTCAACAGGTTCCTCATATTCCACCCGATCGTGGTTGTTCGGCATCTCGTGCTTCGCCGCATTGTCATGATACATCTCATACTTCACAGCCTCGGTCTCATTCCCCATCTCATGCATGTCGTTATGCGCCGTGTATGGATTCGATCTATTCCGCTTCCGCCGCCGCCAGAATATTAGACCAATTACAATGAGCACGATGAGCGCGACTCCTCCGACTGAGGCACCAATAGCAGCTTTTGCGCCAGTCGAGAGACCGCGGGAACTTGGTTCTGCGCTCGAAGGCGAGGATGAGGTGGTTGAGGGGGAACCCGCCTGTGTGGCCGATTGTGAGGCAGGAGAGCTGACAGTTGAACTTGGGAGCTAATGACAGATTAGAAAGGTATCATTGTCTAGATGAAGGGAGTGTCGTGTCTTACATTTACAGAAGAAAACTTCTTGTCATTGATCGCGCCTATAGTCTTAAATGAAAATCTCTGTCCATTCTGCGGGGCCGTGATATTTGAGTCCAATGCTAGCAAGCCATTCGCCTTCTTCTTAAGATGCCATGAAGTTCCATTTTCTCCATTTGTTAAATAGAAGGTGCCGTCGCCCCAAGGTGTAACAGTCCAGTAAACTGCGTCGTCCGAGATGGTGTTCTTGATCATTAACGCCTGTGTCTGACCCGGGGTGGTTTCAGTGGGTTCGTATTTGGTGCCTAGGAATGCATTTGTTCCGCCATCTTTATTTCTTAAAACGTAGGTATCGTTGACACTATATATCTGCCATCTCTGGCCTGGTAAATCTGTATCTGTGGTGTTGAAAAAGACCGCTCCGCTTTCTCCATTCTTGTAAAGATTTGTTCCCAGCAGTGAAGAATCTTTATTTTGATTCACATAAAGTTGATACCACTGATTTGAATCGAAGTTGGCCATTTGTCTTTGCGGAGACGGACACAAAAGCACTGGGAAAAGGTGGTAAGAGGTTTGAGGACACAGTCGTGGGCGGGCCGTTCAGGCGGGCCACTATGATTTTGTATCATTGCTCCTTGAATTGGGGGCCCTATGTAACCGCGATTGACAAAAGGGGAGACGCTGTTAAATGAAGGAGATGAAGACAGAAAATGGGTTAGGATCCTGTAAGGCCGCCAATAAGAGTCAGACAAAGGCGCGGTCAGACAAGGTGCCTGGGACTAAAGCGCCGCGAAGTGCCAACACCTCGCACTTCGCATCGTGGCTGACCCTTTTTTTTTGGCTGCACAGCCGGTGCATGTGGCAGTGCTTAGCCATAATAAAAGGCAAATTTTACGGGAGGCTTCGACCGTAAAGCCGAAGACGATAGTTTGTTGGAACGTCCAAAAGTTCTGACAGATGTACAAAAATCCACCCTCGCTTCGGATAAAGTTATGAATGATGCACACTCGCGGCCCCTTCATCGAGGACACAGAGCTTCAAGATCAAGCAAGCAGCCATCCAAGAGATGCTTCCCATTGAACATTATCTCGCTTCTAAAGCGTTTTTCTCTATCCCAATAACTGCATCTCGTACGGTGGGACTAAAGTGCAATCGTAAGATCTCTCCTTCCCATACCGTTCCAGCGAAAGGATTACTACCTTCGATATCCGTTTTGAGAGCATCGAATACACCATCTCCACGACGTTCTTCTGTGTTCCATAGTGCACCAATCTTGCGACCATGGGTCTTCGTTACTTTGGTTATCAGGCCGAGCATCGCGATGCAAGACTTCTCCGGCAGCTGCAGAGATATCATCATAAGTTGTTTGCAGAATGCAGCAATTCTAATGGGCGGTACCGCCCGGAGCGCGGCAGGCGGAAGAAGGACCGATGATAAGGAACGAATGAGTAGCACGATCGTAGTTTGCACGTTGATCTTATTTGTCGCCGTATTTTGGGTTCGGGCATCTGGGGCGTGAGGATCAGGGAGATGGAGAGATTTCGCGCTGAATTCGATATCGGGATTGAGTGAAACAGGATGGAGGGTGCGGTAGAGATGGGTGATGAAAAAGCTGAGGTCGAGCTTGAGTGTAGATGCCGCCTTAGCACCATCTTGACCTTCTAAAAGAGCGAATGCGGTAATCACGCAGAGAAGCGACTCTCGTGTGGCATTCCGCTGGGAAGACTCTTCGTCTTCATCTTCGTCCTCTTCCTCGTCAAGGTCAATCGTTGCTGACAACTCTGCTTGAGTGATCAGATCTCTCAGCGCCTCTAGGATGTCGCCAAAAAAGTCTTGATTGATCAGATGGGCGTATCTTGCCAAACCTTCCAATACGGCACCCATTAGCTTGTTTTTCCGCGCCTTCAGTATTCGAAAGTACGCAACGAATACCATTTTTAAAGTCTCAGCTTGAATCCTGTCGCGCTCCTCATGACTGACCACTGCATCCGCCTCCTTCATCTCCTTTTCGATGACTTTGCGCTCCTTTAGTAGCTTCCGCTGCTTTTTCGATCGAAATTCGCGCTTCTCCTTTATCTTCTTGCCCTGGTACTGTTGGACTGCGGGCTTGTCGATGGAATGATAGGACGCTTTCAAAGTGAACTCGGACAACAGCCGGAGGTGTAAGAATGTGTTTAGCACGCTTTCGTCAAAATTATAGTGCTTGCCCTTCATCATTTTGGTCAACATGGTGACAGCATCGAGTGAAGCATTTCCATCCTCATCATTCTGAAATAAAGTCTCCAGACTTTCTCTGCATTTGACAAAGTCGCCGTCGACCCGTTTCGTACTTAGTTTGCCGATTACAATCTTCAATAGCTCGCCTCGAAAGTTGAAATGGGGTACTGTCACCAGCAGATTGCATGCGCAGCTCATAGCAACAGTAGCCAGACTTGTTGATTCCTCAGATAGTGCAGAGCTACTGATCTTCGTTAATTTGGCTAGTTCTTGAACATATGCTTGGTAGCTCGACACCAGCTTCTGTTCGAACGCGCGAAGTTTCCGCACTTCTTTCGAGACCTTATCGGTCATGTTATCTTCGGGAAGTGGTCGTATCCGGTACCCTGGAATCAGGTCCTTGAATATAGCCACTTGTGTCGCCAATGCCAATTTTCTGACCGTGTTATTCTCCGAAGCAGCGAGATGTGCCAATGTCCTCAACGCTCCAATGTGTTCCTCTGGGTCCTCATTGACCAAACTCGCTATCCTTGCCAGCTCTTCCTTAGCTTCGACAATCTGTTGTCGTTGCGAGATCTTTGGCTTCTCCTCTTTGACCTCTTCTGATTCATGTTTCCCTTCGCCTTCACTTCCCGAGCCTAAGAAGCTATCAGAGGCATCCTCGTCTTTCGCTATATCGTCCTTTGTAGGTTCCTGCTCCACCCAACCTTCGGTGGTTCTAATCGGTAGCTTGCCATTGTCTTTCTGCTTTGCTTTCAGTTTTCTGGGGCGTTGTTCGTAGTCTTGCTCGAGGTTCCATTTGGCGGCACTAGAGACAAAGCTCGATTTGTAATTCTTCGGGGGAGGAGAAGTGCAACCGTCTGCTTTCGGAGGAGACAGACGGCGTCTTTTTGGGGCTGGTATTCGCGACATGGTTGTGGTTTTGTGCAAGTGAGCGAGCAGAGGAGGAACTGTTCACCGAAATAATTTTTGTTAGCCTTGGCGTCGGTGAGGAGGGCAGTTTTTCCCGACCTCTTCGAAATTTTTGGCGCTGGGCAGCATCGCAACTCTTCAAACTCCTCCTACCGAGAAATTGAATTCTGTCAGTAAAAATGCGTCCCTTGACAGAAACCGAAACAAAAACACTATTTGAGAAGCTTGCCACATACTGCGGTAAAGGCATCTCAAATCTCATCGCAGACCCAACCTCCAAGTCAGACCGTCTTGTCTTCCGCATCCAGGTAAGCCCCACATCATTTCTTCTATGCCATATTCCATGGGCTAATTGTATTGCTAATTGTGTTATCAGAATTCCCGTGTGTATTATGTGCGCGAGTCTCTAGCCAACCTAGCCACCTCTGTCCGCCGCGACGCTCTCCTCTCACTCGGCACCTGTTTAGGGAAGTTCACCAAGACTGGAAAATTCCGATTACATATCACCGCTCTCTCTATTATTGCTCCTCATGCTCGGTATAAAGTCTGGGTCAAGCCAAATGGAGAAATGCCGTTCCTGTACGGTGGGAATGTTCTGAAGGCGCATGTTGGGCGATGGAGTGAAGACTGTCCTGAACACCAAGGTGTTGTAGTGCTGAGCATGAACGATACACCTCTTGTGAGTCCAACACATTTATCTTCCTTGATGTTTGTTGATTGCGATTTCAGGGCTTTGGTGTCAGCGCGAGATCAACAGCAGAAGCCCGACGCTTAGACCCAACTGGTATCGTTACGTTCAGACAGGCGGATATTGGAGAGTACCTAAGAGAGGAAGATACATTGTTCACGACCTGAGAATCAAGACATGTATGCGAATGAGCAGCTCCAAGGCTAGTTTTGTGGGCTGCAGGAAAGAGTAGGAACTAAGTGGCCACAATGCTTTCTCGTGCCCTGCACTAAAACTTCGGGGAATCCAAACATGCAAACATGCACACCAAATCAATCCGTTATGTACCTTAATATGGTTCAGCAGGTGCGAATACCCGAGCCGCGGGAGTAATTCTGGTCCTGTCACATTGATGAAGGGCGATGCATGGGAGTCACTGTCGTCTTTCAAGTCGATGCTTGTTTTACGATTGGGTGGCTTCTTGTTTAGACTTTTCGTTAGGGGAATGAGGCCACGGTAGCAAATACTAAGAACTTGAGCATGATAAATCCCTTCTTAATTACTAGAACATAGACTCTTTTGACTATTGGTATTGAGCCTGCCCAGTATGGTCTGCAGCATATGGTAAAATCTTCGACATCAATTGCAAACACGGTAATGCAACTCGCTACTACGAGTTTCCGGTCTCTGTCCAACAAGACGAGACCATGATTTACCTGGATGCCTTAGCGGTAAAAGTTGTTTTTGAGATCCTAGAGCTGACCCGTGAAACACGCTTTGGAGACGTCTGCGATGATCGAGGATTTGGCGTTTTCATGGCTGCGAGAGGTCGAGAAGATGTCTTCGAACACTAGCAGCGAGCTTTGGAAGTTTACGATGAGCTCCACTCAATCGTGATAGGTCAACTTAGAAAAAGCTCTCGAGCACGGCCAAGACGAAGGACCTAATAGCGACAGTGTCCCGACCCAGGAGTCAAACGGCAAGGGTGGTATGATCACTGTTGATGGCGAGGGATATATGAATATGGACCATAAAATCAGTAGCTCCGCGGAGAATCATGGGAAGCCAATTCGGACAGTGTGACTAACATTCATCGCCAAGATGCTAATATATTGCAAGAGCTCATGCAGAAAGAGGATGAAGTGGACTGTAGTAGATGATTTGATGTTCCTAGTGACGGCTATTAAAAGGTGAAGCACGCCCTCAGGAGCCCGGCAGGCTCTAATTTTGGATTCAACAGGGTCTTACTGTCTTTACCTCCCATTTCTGGGGTTCCAATCGGATGAACCCAAATTCGTACCACTTCTTTGTATGGTGTTGAACGAGGTTGAGCAAGGAAGACTTGCCGCTCCCGCAATCATACAGGAGGTTTGCAATATTACGAAGGTAGGCAGTCAGAAGACAGCCGCAAACGAAGCTCAGCGCTTGAGATTAGTGAAGGAGAGGATCGTGGTGGAGTTGATTTCAAGAGCTGTGAAGGCTATAGCTGTCTATCGAAGACCATGGAAGGGAAGCTGCGTTTGATGTGATTGGGAGGATTATGGAAGAGATTGGGATCTAGAGCTGCTGAGGGTTGGGAGATTGAAATGGAGGAAAGGATTTGATGGCGAGGTTTGAGCATGAGGCACTGCATACTCTCACCAACTGTAGAACAGTAGCAGGGCACTTTTCACTACTCCAGCTTCTTGCTAGAATCGGAGAAAAAGTCAATAGGAAGCAAATTTCTGTCCTGAGTTGCCTTCCCGCCTTCTTTGTGATCCATAGCATGCAACGGAAACATCATGTTGTAATCTGAATTCCAACCTAAGGAGTGTTTCTATGATGAGGATGGATGACTGATATTTGAGGCTGCTCGGCTCGGAAAAATGATATCGCCGTTATGATCTTGGCACGAACCCAGCTTCAACCTCAACCGCGTCTACGGTTTCATCCCTATCATCCCCAACATCTACCGTTCGACCACCACGCCTAGAACGACATTATCCAACGCTCAAAAGGACCCCGTAGCCCTGAAATTTTCTAAATGACAACTTCCAAGATGCCTCAATCAGGTACGTAGAACCCTTTCAGGAAGTTTGCCCGCCATATCGCATTTTCTCCGTTCGGATGTCCTGGAAACCTTTCGAGCGGCTCGAACCCCCATTTGCGATAGAATCAGTTTGCGCATACTCTGCCACCCGCGAAATATCCAAAGGTTTTCAAGGTCCCACACCGCCTGGGTTCTGGCTCAGCTCCAAGCTTCGAGGACGCTGGTGCAATACGCATGCCATTCACTGGTGGGGAGGCAATGTCTGTTGGAAGAATCGCTTCTTGATTACCTGTCCTGCAACGCCGACGGTTAAATGCTCTCCGAGCCCGGAGGGGCTGCTGGGAGACATTCTTTCAGTAGGATCTTGCGCTCTCTAGACCGCATACTTATGGAGCAAGCAACGGGGTCCTGATTCCTCCGAATATCTATAACATTAAGATACCGATTTGCAAAGCGACATCGGGGACCTCTGTGCAACTCGATAGGTTTTTAGAAAATTCTGAATCTCGGCCGGAATAACCACCAACTTGCTGCTCAGGAGTTGCCTCGTTTGCATTCCGGGCGCCAGGAAAATAGAGAAAATGCTGCGGAGGCCAGCTTCAGTTACTTCTGTTTTGTTTGGTTTAAGAATCTCAGAACTAACCCTCTCACAATAGCAGGCAGAGCTTTCTCCCAAAAAGACCTCCCCCCGTCAGTTGAAACCGCATACTATCGGAAATGCATCGAACTGCGCCGACGCATCAATGACATTGAAGAGAACAATGACGGCACCCGTCTGCGGATCAAGCGCCTCAACCGCACCATCACAAAGATGCGCCTCGAGCGCGCCTTTCTCCTTGAGCAGCTCCACAAACACATGGAATACAATGTCGATGATTCAGACCGAAGTAGCAGTCCGCCGCCGACACCTACGGATAAACCGCTAAGAAGCAAGCGAAGCCATCGGAAGACTACGCCTACTGGTGGTACGCATCTAGGGAGCGGGCTGCCTGGCGCACAGCATCCAAGTCCCTCAGGTGGTCAGCAGCAGCAGATCTCGCATGCCTTGAACCCACTGTCCTCGGCCCAGAGTACCCCAGACCCAAGCCGCTCAAATCCCTTCTTCAGCACAATCCCCCCTGCTGCTTCATCACCTCATGCCGTGAATGGAACTGGCCAGCCCGTCCTCCCGCCCCTTCATCCATCCCACCTGCAACCACTCCACCCACAACGACCTGCGCACGGTGTTTCGGATGCTCCACGAGGCACATTCTTCGATGCCGCATATGACGAGCAGCGGCCTGCCGAGCATGATCCCGAATATACCGGTCGACGACGCGCTCATTCAAGCGCACACCCTCCACCAGCCGAAGCTATTGAAGGCCAAAATGGTGAACGGAGAGACCAAGACACTGAGATGGGCGATGCTCCTCCAGCTGACGCAGCAGGCTTCACGGCGGTGAACAGGTAGTTGCGGAGCACGCCTTGTTCCTTTCTACCTCTTACAGCCCTCTGTGTCTTATGCCATGGTTGATCTGGTCTAGACTTTATTTCGAGCGTTCTCGATATTCCCATTGTCCACACCTCCATCCTCTGCATGCACATTCTGCGTATGCACATTCTTCGGCTTGGCCAATTCCACCTCCCTTTCCAACAACGCATCCTTGCCACCTCTTGAACGCCCGCGCCCACTGGCTTTACGAATTACCAAAACCAACCTATCTCTACCCAATACCACCGTGCTCCACCAATCCCTCCCCACCCTATCCAACGCGGCGTCATAGCCGACCCCCACTCATTCATCCCTGTGGACCCCACGAACTATATCCGACAGTAATCCAGCTCTACCCAAACAACCAAGCTCGTTATCCACGGGCCTTATAGTCTACAAGCCCGATACAATACCTCCCTCTTTCTATAAGAAATTCACCAGTGTTTAACAAGGGTACATAAGAAAAGAGTAATAAAAAAATCGAAGTGACGAAGTGAGGGGCACGCCGGACTAGGAGCCCGTTTGGAGGGGCGCTGGTTCTTGAATGGCCATAGGATGCTTTTCTAACCATCGATTGCTTTGCACAGCGGCCAGTCTTATTTTGTTTGCCTTCTGTTGTTGTACGAGACAGACAAGATAACTTTGGCGTTTGTGTGTGTTTTTTTTTCATATGGATAGGTTATTCGGAATGTATGCATCTAGGTATTAATGCATGGATGGGAGGAATTGGGACTTTGATGGGGATAGGAAAATATGCCTTTTGCATTAGTACGGATAAAACACTAATTGTTAAGATATTAGCGATGTCAACTTGGTGTGTTTCTTTTTTTTTATACAACAACATGACAACCGACTGTATTTCGTTACTGGAGATGTTCGGCTCCCTTCTCCTCGTTCTCCACCCATCTCTGTACTCTTCTTGCTCAATCCAGACCGAGTATTATCTCCGCAGCTCGCTCCGCAACGCTCACAATCATACCCTGGGGATTCGAGCTCGGAACCCCATTAATAATTCCCGCGTCCACTATATGCAGGTTCTGGGTCCCACAAACCTTTGTCGTTGTGTCGACAACGACGCTAGAGTCGCAGACAGAGCCCATGGCCGTAGTGCCCGTCCAGTGGTTAGAGGTTAGGAGCGCGCTGGAGGTGGTGGCTTGCTGGCTGGGCGTTAGGAAGATATAGGAGGAGAGTACGGAGCTCAAGGGTGGAAGGAAGATTCGATACGACATTTAGGATTTGGATTGGGGGAACTTACGCCTCGGACATAATCATCGATATTCGTTCCAGTCGGTGGTAAATAGAAGGTTGAGTTTGGGATGTTGCTCAGGATGGATGCAACGTCTTTTATAGAGCCAAGTAAGGTCTTGAAATCGTTGTCGCCTGCATCGTTGAAGTAGGGGAGTGTGGAAACGTTCATGTGAAGGTTGGAGTCTAGGGTTAGGCGTCCGCGAGATGTCTTTCCGAGGTTGAGGTATGCGAAGAGGACTATTAGTGCTGCTCGGGTCCGTTGGCGTTAGCATGGTGTTTCTTATGGGTTGTTACTGCATGTTTTGGATGGGTTATGAGGTAGAAAAGTGGAGTGGCAAGTGGGCACTTACGAACTCCGTTTAAACTCCCAGTATTAACATTCCATTGAACCACGCGGGTCTTATTGTCGCCGCCTTTAATAGTATCCCAAAACGACGGTCCAATACTCGGTTCGACCTGCGCAAGCGGACCAGTCCTATTCCTCAAATACCGTTCTGCGTCTGCAAGGATTGGATTATTATATGCAGATTCGTAGTCGTAAGTCTGGACACCCGGTGCCGTGACTGCTATGTAAATTGCTGGGCTATCGTCAAGATTATACCCCACACGAATATTTATCCAGTCGTTTTTAGCAGGCATGTTCACGCCATCAGGCGAGTTCTTGACAACATAGAGTTGATCAATAGGCCCGATGCCGCTGCGGATGAGGATTTTACTAGTTCCAAAGACGCCGGCCGAGAGGATGACTCTGCCAGTTTTGGGTGTGATATTGATAGTACCAGTATAACCCCCTGGACTGGTGGATTCGACGGCTACACCTGTCATGAAGCCCCCGTTGCGGATGATTCGAGATACGGTGGTGTTCATTTGGAGTTTGAAGTTCCGTCTTCGGGATGCGGAGACGAGGTACGTGGCCATTGGACCCCCACGTTCGCCATGGAGGAAGAAATGTTCGGTGTGAGATATGATTCTGTCTTTAGCATTTGGCTTGTCGTTCGCTTGGATGAGTTTATATGGGCGTGCGAGGGAGTTATTAGTGAGAGTGCCAATCACAAGATTTGGACCATCCTGAACATATACCCGGCCGTCTGTAGATGGAATGTCGGTCCAAGGAACTCGGGAGAACGCCCTCGATACTGCAGCGCCTACATCGCGGGACTGGAATCCCGGTGGCATGTGCAAATCCCAGTCTTCTTTTGTAGGCTTGTACCACAGTCCAGCATTAATTGCTGTCCCGCCACCAAGCACACAACTGGCCGTCGCCGAATAATCCGGACATAGGATTCCAGCGTTCTCGGTATGATTTGACCAGATGTAATTATACAGCCCGGGAACATCAAATCGAGTCAAATTGCTTCCGTTGAGCCAAGCCGGGCGGGCTTCTGTAGGTAATAGTCACAAACGTGATGTCTCTGTAAGAATTTGGGAACGCGGAAAGTAAACTCACGTCCTCCCCATCTCCCTGACGAAGCCCAACCTCGCTCTAGCAGAAGAACGGATTTTCCACTTTCGGAGAGACGGTCAGCAAGCGGTATGCCACCAGCGCCACTACCCACGATAATGTAGTCCCACGTGTCATTCAGAGACGGAGAGGCGAGCGAGGATAGAGAGACTAGAGTTGGGTTGGGATTTGCGAGGTTAGCATGGATGGATTGGGAAGGAGCTCTGACACTGAGCGAGAAAGAGCAACCATGCAAACTTCATGATCGATACAGAAGGGAATTGAAACCCTGAACTATGGGATGCAACGCAATAAGGGAATGGTTCAACAATGAGAAGATCAGACTTCTAAGAACAGTATGGTCACCATAAAAGGAACCCTCTCCGGATACTGGAACTGAGTGTTGCCTGGAGAAAGTGAGAGGCTGAATTGGAGTAGTATATAAGTCATTCCCATTGTAACCTCAAATAATCAGGCCCCCCATCAGACGCCAGATCGACTGGAACTCCGAAGTGTCGTCAATTTAAAGCTCGTTGCCATCCATCGTCCTGGTGCTTAGAGCAAGGGTACAGCGAATCGTGATTGGCGTATCAATTCCGGAGGTGGCTCGGCTCGTGATAGCAAGGCACAATTTCCCGGATTGCCGTTCAAGATTTGGCCCCATTCTTGGGGACTCACGTCCTTCCAGAGCGGGAGGAACAGTTTGACGTATTTATCCGTTGGTTAGTCAGCGCAGACATCTCCACTCTTGGCTTCCGCCACTGAGGTGTGGGCGAGATTGCATACCTCGCATGAGGAAAGCTGAAGGACTGCATAATGAATGATCTCGAGACCCGGGTCGCGAGGACCCTGAATTAAACAATATCTTACAACCAAGCCCAAAAACGCTCAAAATGCCACGGGGTCACCTTCTAATTCTTGCCATAGCCGTCTCTTCCTTCGATGCCAGTCTCGACTTGCCCGGAGAGTGGTTGATTGCCGCCCGTTCGAAGAGCGTTCTCTAAGAGGGCCGGCTGCTATAGGAGGAAGCTCTTCAGATTCTGGTGCGGCTTGCGTTGATGGTGAACTACCTCCTCTGCTGGTCAATTTCAAGGAAAGCAGAATAAACATCCCCGCAATCAATATTGCTAGCAGGAGCATAACCTTCCTCTTGATGCTTCTTCTTTGGTAACCTGAGGCTACCTTGAGCTCTTTGTCCGCCTCCTTCACGTCGGTTGCCATTCGTTCTACGTTATAGTCTATCCGGTCCAGCATGCTGCCCTGATCAATTACCATGGTCTGCAGCTCCTGAAATATGTTGGCAAGCTCAATGATGCCCTGAGCAATATCCTCGATCTCACGTTCTCGCTGGGCGATCAGGGCTTCGTTGGGGTCATGGCGGAGACGCTGCTGCTTCGTTTGGAGGAGAGTAGATTGCGAGAATGATCGGTCAGCGTCTGATTCCTGAAGTGCGGGATCGTTGTAGGGATTCTGGATAGGAGTTGCGGAACGGAAGGGCGAGGCGAAGCCACCAAGGTCGCGGAGCTCTGGACAGGCTTCAGCAGAGTTACTACAGAGGGGTCAAGTTACTTACTCTTCAGATAAGCCGACTGCTTCTTGCGGAACATAGCGCTCACGTCGCCAACCCTCGAGGCGAGAGATATCTTCAGGTTCTTGGCCATCATCTCTTCTCCACTGTTGATGCTCCCGTGTTGATGGGCTTCCCGGACCATGGTCTCGATTCGTTTTATGGCTTTCTGACATTTTTGGAAGCCACGCGTTATATCCTGCGTGAGCCCTTCGATCTCCCGCTCTTCCCGTCTCTTGACCTCTTCGTCGTCGAACCCAGGGAGGACATGCTTCTGGTGCAGCTGGTCGAGCTTTCGTGTTTGCTTTGCAATCTCTGCGAGGTATTCCGTGACTTCGTCCTGGATGTCAAGCCATCGTGGAGGGAGAAGGTCCATCTCAATCACAGCGTCGCCATCGTCCTCAAAGGCCCCTGCGGACATGAGCCCGAGACGCTCCTCGGACACCCGCCCGCTGTCGCCGAAACCATTGGATGGCGGCCCTCCATAGCGCGGCTTCTTCGCGGGGTGATGTGAGTAGGACTGGCGATAGGAAATAAAGCTATAAGGACTACGTCAGCGAAGGACAGCTCGCAGCTTGAGACAGAGGGCACTGACAGGTTCGTTCGGTCCCGCCACATGGCGCAGGCAGGTGAGGTGCAGTGCGGTTATGTCATGATAGAGAAGGGAGTGTGGAAAGGGGTGGAGGAAGTGAGCGGAGTATCGATGCGCTTGCCTGTTTGCCAGAGGAGGATGGGCACATGAACATGGAGTATTCCAGCAGCCGCAGAGCCGCATTGCAGGAGCAACTCGCGGCCGCTTGGCGGGTGACAGGGCTTGTCGCGCTTATTTAGGGGCAATTTCCGCGACGTAAACAGGCGGTTTTGCTGGCAATGGCGTTGCCCAACAGGGAAAGCGGGACAGTCAGGCATTTCAGCCCTTGGTTCATTTCACTCTCCCCTCCAGCCGCAGACACCTGCGCTTCCTCACTCATCAGCCAACTCAACCCTCTCCCAGAAACCCGCGCACTGCCTCTGGAGTCCTATCCAACAGGCACTCGAGCTCTACACTCCCCTCTCTACCAGAACCCCTTCAGCAGTCATGGTGCGTGCCCCACGCAAGATTCCCCCCGTACCCCGCCTTCAGAAAATCATCACGATAGTCCGACACGCATCACCCCCCAGCATGCACTGACAGGTCGTCGCAGGCCGACTCTCTCACCGAGGAGCAAGTCTCCGAGTTCAAGGAGGCCTTTTCTCTATTCGTGAGTTCCAATCTCCATCCTCTGCTGCATTCACTGCTGCCTAGCCGCGTGTAGCAACTGCTTCTTGCGTCGAGTGTGTGCTAACATGGGCTGCACCACTAGGACAAAGATGGCGATGGTTAGTACTTTCCCCTTTTATGGCTTCACAAGTTTCACGTTCGGGTCGAGCGATAGCCGTGGCATGCGTCGCTGCAGCCCCCCGCCGTGGGTGGGCTGGCCCCCAACGACCACAGCTCGAATCGTGCACCCCGTATCATCCAACCTCGAAACGCACAATGCTGATATGAGTGATCAACAGGCCAGATCACCACCAAGGAATTGGGCACAGTCATGAGGTCACTCGGGCAGAACCCCAGCGAGTCTGAGCTTCAAGACATGATCAACGAAGTTGACGCCGATAACAATGGCACCATCGACTTCCCAGGTATAGATTCCAAACCTGGATATGATATGATCTCAGGCCGAGTACTGATGCTGCAGTCCTTTAGAGTTCCTCACGATGATGGCTCGCAAGATGAAGGACACGGATTCTGAAGAGGAGATCCGAGAAGCATTCAAGGTGTTTGATCGCGATAACAACGGCTTCATCTCCGCCGCCGAACTGCGCCATGTCATGACCTCGATCGGCGAGAAGCTAACTGACGACGAAGTCGATGAGATGATTCGGGAGGCTGATCAGGACGGAGATGGACGCATTGACTGTGAGGCCCCTCCTGCACCCTTGTGCTCTAGTGCTCAATAGCTAACATGAGATGTAGACAACGAGTTCGTCCAGTTGATGATGCAGAAGTGAGCGATGACCAATTTGTTCGTGGATAAGTACATGCAATCGACCACGAGCTTGCGGTCGAGAACTCCTTGCAACGCGTAAAGGATCGACTTGTTTTTGGAAGGCACTGGTTGCGTAGAGGACTTTTTTGCTTCATTCCTATTAACAAGCAATTCTTGTGAGACTAAAGTTTGATATCCTTTATTCCATCGCTCCTGTGCCCCCTCACTTGTGTTGAACGAACAGTGAAACATGGTTTTGGACAAACTAACATAGCATAATATTCCTTCTCTATTAACCAGGTGAACGAAAAGGTTAACTCTCAATCGGCAAGTCCCACCAAGTAGGTAACATACGGGAATGTCACATGCCTCTTAGAATGTAATAATTACAGAAAATAACGTCATGTCGGTATGTATCGTCCTCCCTATTATCTCACTGCGGACTGACAGCCACATGCTCTGGAATGCTACTTAAGCGGGCATTCCGCATTTGTCCCCTTTCTTGGTGCCTTCCCGAACGTACCTAAGTACACATGCTAAACTCCTCACGTTGCCTCTACAAGGATGTTTACCGTTATCGGCCATGTTAGCTGTAGCAGCGAACATTTGTAGCCCATGCTTGTTCGCCGAGATTGTGAATCATGAAGGATGTTGCATTCTTTGGTAATCTAGTTCCGGCAAGGGCCGTTTGTGCCTTCGAACGGATTGGGATGGGATTTTCGGGAATGAGGACGGACAAAGAGAACTTGAGGAGTGAGAAGGGAGACAGCTGAGATAGCCGCACCGTTTCTCACTCCATACTCTTCGATCAATTTCGTTCCACCTATCGAGTCTCAAGTCCTTCATCTTAATTGACAATGCCTCGAGATGTGGAAGATAAACAGCAAGACCCGGCCACGAAAACGAATGAAACGGAACCACCATCATCACGTAAATCCCCCAAACGGCTTTGGGACCTTCCTGATGAAGTGCTGGACAAGATCTTTATTCGAGCCGGAAGAGAGGGTACTTGTGCGTATCAGATTGCAAGGGGGAACACGGCAGTAGAACAGGCTTCACTTAGTGAATGCGCCTTGTGTGAACCATTCACCTTCTGGGACTGGCATGGCCTAAGTGAGGAAGCGTGGAACTCTGGCTATGACACTCGGAAAAGGCAGCTCTATCGAGGTCGTCAAAGATGCCCCGAAGACAAGGTCAAAAAGAAATTAAGTGGTCGATTCACTGAAGGATACCCTTTGGGGAAACAGAGATGGGAGAGTTTCAAGAGAGTTTTTGAACAAGATCCCCAGAATTCCTGGAAAGTCAAGCGCATTGCGGTGTCTCGTTGGATGACTGGCCAAGACCTTGAATGGATCGCCACACACTTGTTTATTTTGGAAGCCTTGGATCTCAGCGACATTGCACCCCACCACGAGTCGAATTTATATGATCCGGACGATCCTTCTAGAATCACTCGTCACCCAAATTGGGGCTATATACTGAGGATACTTCGGGATACAAAGGCGAGGTGCCAATTGAATGGTGATCTCAAACGGTTCAACCCTCGACTCAACACGACGAAAGAGTCACTCGGCTTAGCAGAAAGGGTGTCATTCGAGAAGAAGGGTCTCGGGAAAGAAGCTGCCAGGAAAGCGTGTAAGGTTATTGAAAAGGCCGAGGAAGAAAAGCAGGCATATGAATCTGAAGTATGTGAGAAAAACTTGCTTCAGAAATTGAAGTGGCTTGGCGTTCACGCCTGGTCACAGAACTTGCCTATCGACTGGTCTGGAGATTTGCCTGAAAGCGTCGCTACTCGAATCCTTCCTGCATGTGAAATATTACACACTCTGTCAATTCGAGGCGAATATACTCACGACATGAACCCGGACTATTGCAGAGATGACGTCCATGGTCACGTGTGTAACATTGTTCTCGGTATTACGGATAATGTTAGCGACACGGTCAATACGATCGAACTGCGGCAGTCTCTCCCCTTCCTAGACTACTTCCTTGGGAAAATACAGGAACGGAAACCTACAATCACGCAAGTCGGAATAGACCTTGGGGCCTGGATCCAAATTTATCCATTAAGAGATGAACGCAGTTCCTCAACACAGCCTAGTCCACCATTACCTCCAGATCTAAACATTAGAGAGAAAATCCTTGCAGCTACTGAAAAAGCCCGCCAGGACGCACTCGAAGAAGCCATGGAACCATTCTCTCCTTTGAGGGAAAATGTTGATGACCATATTTGGAAAGAGTTGGCTTTGAACAACAGAGAAGTAACCAGGGTAGAGCCATGGCGACGCCGGGGAGAAGCGGACTTCTACCGCAGTAATAGTGGCTCAGAGTTTGTAGGGTTACCTTCCCACTCTCTTCCAAAACCACCACGAAAAGATTGTTTACTCGATCAAGATCCCAACCACAAGAAGACACGAGAAGACCTTGGAAATTCACGAATAATTACCTTAGCTCAGATGCTTAGAACACTGCAGTATGCCGGAGAGCAATCCAAAATCAAGCTAATTCCTATCGAACCAGAATCACAGAACAAGAGCATCAACCCGATCCACCCTCTCGCCCTTATTCAATTGACTTCTGAGGTTTTGAATGAGGGAGCCTACAGGGATGCTGATTTCGATCTCAATAAATTCACTCCCCTTGCCGACCTTCAAGATGTTTACCGGTGGCTCGACGAGACGTTTAAGTGGAGGCCTGTATTTGACTGGGACTGGTTCATGGTACCCACAGTGATGGAAAAATCCCTGGAGCCGGAGTACGAATTGGTCTACGAGAAAGATAAATTCCACGAGGTTAGCTACTTAGCCCGCATCAGGGAGCACTTCCAATTATTACAGGAAGCCAAAATACCAGTTCACGTTCTCATTGGAAGACGTCAACCCAATTTCCCCAGCCTGTACTGGGGCTCGCAATGCTCCATAGACAAGTGGAAGGCATGGTTGAATGAGCCATTCAATGCCAACTTAGGGGAAATTGCTGATCTACTAGATTGCCTCAGCATTTTATACGATCTTCGAAATCCTCTCTCCCTGGAACGGCTGGAGGAGATCAATCTCGTGGATCCTTACAAATGGCCTTCTGAGACCTGTCCAGTTAAACTCTGGCCCTACAAGCTCCCAGAGGGCGAGGATGCAGCTCCATCAGAGAGCCTCTTTAAGACATGCGGCAAAGCTCCTATCCAAAAAATGGCGAACAAGCATGCCCCGAAGTCCAAACGTCCCCGGTCAGAACTTTCCGAGGGTCTTGCGAACGCTTGCGTCTCAGCACCACCCGTAGGTGAGAACGCGAACGATCATTCATCTGATGATTCCAATTTTAGCGAGCCGAACAAGTTGCAACAAAAGAAGCAGAGCCTTCATCACTGTGCTAGACGAGCAGCATACATGCGAGAAGCAGTTGGATGGCAGCGATTTTGGGCCAAATACGCCCTCAAATTCACGAGGCTATATATGCTTCGTGTTCGGATGCCCCGATGTTTTGACCGTGTTGGTTCGTGGCGCCTGGCAAGGCTTTTGAAGCAAGAGATGGGCTGGAAAATGATCACATACACCGACGAGCGACAACATATGCAAACTGAAGAAGACTTGTTACCGTACAATCAGACTGCGTCAAAATATAGCCAGGAGGTCATGATGTTCCCCGCAGGCCGTCTCGTTAGAAGGAGCTGGATTTGTCCTGAACCGAGGAAGCCAGTACCAGGTACTGCAGACTTCGCAACTGCACAGCGGAGATATGAGGAGTGGAGAAACCGAAAATTCACTGATGAAGACTTCACAGAGACCTTGAAGAAAGAGGAACAGGAACTGGACCACGCAACGGCGAAGGCGCGTGACGCAGCTACGCGGGAATTTGACACAGAGAGATCACGGCTGCAAGAAGCAGAAGTTCGGCAAAGGATTGATCGTTGGGCTCAGCAACATTGGAGAGAGTATCTTCTTAATTACATCAAAGAAATTCGCGACGAGGAGACGAAAAACCAAGCACGCCTCAATTGTATGAGTAAACCCAGAGGAGAGGTGGAAAGAATCCAGCGTGATATCATCCTTGGGAGGCGGATGGCAGCCCTTCTTGGAAAGCTCCGTGAACAGGACAATCCTATGACTAGAGTGAAAGAGCAGCCCGTAGAGAGTCAATCCGAGGGTACCCCGGTCGAGCTCACCGGTAGTGTGACGGCAGCACCTGTAGATAGAAGAGTTCCTAGGAGCGAACCGCCCGTAGATGATCTTGATTCCGACGATCATGCTGATTTATATGAAGACGGAGATAGACCCAAAACAGCTCTCTCTCCCAGCATCAGGCTCTCCTCTGCATCAGGTCCACTACCACGATCAGCTGCAACACCAAAACCGCCAACCAGTCAAGCGGGGAGTGATGGTGGATCGCTTGTTTCCACTTCTGCACACGGGCCACTACTTGTAGCTACCACCGGTCCCGAAATGGGCAGGCCCGCTCCGGTCAATCCATTTAGTAGACATTCGGCAGTTGGCGATTTGTTTGATGACTTAGGCGGGGTCCTATCTGTCAAATTGCCAGGCTCGTCAGAGACGCGCAAAAGAGATGCCATTGATCAAGACAGGACCGGGAGTCCAACGAAGAAATCGAATACGGATGAGATTTCGGGGGAATCTTTAACAGAAATCCCCGTGACCGATACTGAAGTTGCTGGTGTTGGCGCTGGGCCTCTCCTACTCACCCCTGTGCCTCTTCTAGAGGACGCCCCGCCTGCGGCTTCGTCTGGTACCCTATCCGCAGAGCTAACTAGTACAGCGGCGACCCCAGAAGCAGCCAAAGTAAAACAGAACGGCAAGAAGTCGAGTAAAGAGAGCAAGGAATCAGAGACCCCGAAACCGGCTAAGGAGGCTACCGCACCTATTGTACTACCGGAGCCAACTGGTACACGTGGAGTTGCAAAGTCTGCACCAAAGAATGCGGCAGAGGAACTAGTTGCGACTAGACACCCTGCTGGTATGCCTGCCCCAACTAGGCCTGCAGCCCCATCTGACTTTTTAAGACCAGCCGATCTTGTGGACCCTACTGATCTCGCCGGGCCCGAGATCGAGACAAAGAAAGGAAAGGAGGCGAACATGGCAACAGAGAAGGCAACGAAAAAAGCTCCCAAGAGAAGGAGGAACGGCAGGCCAAAAGATAATGAGGTGTATAAAGACGACACCGCTACCGAAGAAGAAGAGGACGACAACATCGATACAAAACCACCTGCAACGAAGAAGCCCAAGCAAGATAGTGATGGGGGGTATGTGGACGAGAAGAACTGTTTAGTTCCTCCTGATGACGACGATGGGGATTTTGGGAAGAGGAAGAAGAATGCAGTGAAGAAGAGGAATGGTGCGAAAGGTAGAGGAGGAGGTGGTGATAGGAAAAAGAAAGGTAGGGATGGTGATGATGGTTTAGGAGCCGTCAGTGCCCGTGCTATTACCGGAGCTACCACAGGAACAATAGGGACCAAGAACTCCAGCACTTCTACCCCAAAGAAAGCCGCGACCCCGAGGAGTAAAGGCGGAGTAAAGAAGAAAGCAGCGCTTGAACCAGCTGAGGCTTGCCCTGCTCGAGCGACGAGGAGTAATAACCCGATTCTGATGTCAGGTTTGTAGTTGGATTTGGCGTGATGGATTTGGCGTGATGGATTTGGCGTGATGGATTTGGCGTGATGGATTTGGCGTGATGGATTTGGTGTTACGGAGTGGAGATCTCGGGTTTGGCCTTATTACCCTTGTATTGTCATGTGTTCTTGATTTCTGATGGTGCTTTTGGCTTTTTTTTAAGGTAATGGTCGCTCTGAAGCCGTTGTTTGAATTGAGATTATGTGGTTCGTATTTCGCTTGAGTGTCTTGTGTACGGAGCGTATGACAAGCTACATCTTCATTCCTTTGCGGAATCGCTCAGAAGCAGTTATTAGTAAGATCTCCTACCCACCTTCTTTACAATGTAGTAACGACGTCTCTATTTAGTTGTCTAGGTCGGATACCTCCTAACACATCCTATCATAAGTACTCTAAATGCTAATATAGTCGACAGAAAAACCAAACCTATCAAATTTAAACCTCAGATATTTGCCAATCACCCCTCACATTCGCTCGTCATCATCCTCAACCATAGCCTGCCTTCCCCTTCCCGGACCCCTCCTAGAGCTATATTGTCGCCTCATACAGGATTTTCCACCAGCTCCTCCCCGCCGACTCGCCTGCCTAACCCCTGGATTAGGTCGTCCGTGGTGGGAGGGGCCACTATGGTCGTCGTCATAGTCGGGGTGCTCTAAGTAGAGCTATCAGTATCATTCTGTAAACATATGTATCAGGTTGATCCGAGTGGGGAACATACCATCTATATCCTGCCACTCCGTGTCCAGCTCTTCGCTTCCTTCAAACTCGCCTCTGCCCCCTAGAGTCCCCCCTCCTCTTCCCCTCACCTCCAAATCTTCCTCTTCAAATTCCCCACGGGCAGGCCGACGTCTTGGTAGCCTTTGTCTACGTCCTCCTATTGATGGACTACGCCCTCCATATATATCGACATCCGGAGCTCCACGAGGAGGCCTGCCACCAAGGCCTCCGCGCATTCTAGCATCCGTAAAGTCTGAAGGCATAGGAGGTCGTCTGCCCATACCGCCAATACGCTGCCCAGGATCTATGAGCGGATCCCCCATCTCGGATGTATCAGAGCCATACGGAAAACCACCCATACCCTCATTCACATCCATAGCCATTCCACCTAACGGTCTTCCTCCCATTGGTCCTCCCATTCCAGCGGGCATGCCTCCTCGCATCCCAGCAGGCCCCCTTGCAGGATTCATCATATTCATTCCCGTAGCTCCTGCAATCCCAGGCCTCTGCATTCTACTACCTACATCACCCGTCCTCAGGTCTCCCATTCCAATACCCCCGAGCGCCGGATCCGTGAACCTTGGATTTCTCACTGCTGCCAAAGCTTCTTTTCGCATAGCCTCGTCCGTCATTTTCTGGTGCATATCGCCAACCATTTCGGCGAGATCATCTAGCTTGACACCTATCCAAGCCTTGGTATTGCGATCCGAAATCTTGGATTCCCGTCGGAGTGCCGCGCAGTGGCCTTCGGGTGCCGATCGAGGTCTTCCTTCTCCCTCCTTCTCTCTTTCCCTCTCTCCTCTCTTCCGTCCGTCCCCATCCACAGAACCCACATTTTGCCCCCCTTGACCAATGCAGCCAGAATGATCACCACAATCCCGCCGGTCCTTAGGCACATACCGTATTTCCCCGAAATCAGTCCCGTCTTCTCCGCGCCGTCGATATAGCACCCGGTGGCCTTTTCGACACATGCAATTCGTGGTACAGATGCAGCCGTCGAGGAAGTCGTCGCCAGGAACCCATTCTTGGCCGGAGCCTCGTTGCGGCGCCTCGTTGTGGCGGGTTAGGACGGCACTGGGGTTCATGGGGGTTTTGGGGGGAGCGGCAGGTTGAGCGGCCGTTGCACCTTCCGGGACAACGACGCCACCCATGGGAGGGTGACGGCGGGGTTGGAGTTGGGGTTGGTTTGCAAGTCCTGTAGCTGGGATGCCGGGGTTCATTCCCATTGCCGCACCCGGCACCATACCCCCCGCTCCCGCTCCCTGAGTTGGCGCATACATGTCCATGCCTACTCCAGGGGTCCCCATCCCCCCCCCACCACCATTATCAAAATAATCCCTCGTCGCTCCTCCCGCAGCACCACCTCTCAAACCTCCCGGATACCTCCTTCCCATGCCCAATCCTCCAGCCATCTTCGGACTACCTGGCGGAGTCATGAACCCTCCCAAACCTCTTCCCTCCCTTCCTCCCCTCACAGGCACAAACGTCGGAACTCCAGTACCAGCCTGTCTCCTTCTACCACCCGCAGCAGCCTGTTTATATTTCCGTTCTCGATGATCCATTTCACTATCTGAATTGATATACTGGTCACTTAAACTCGATACCGCGTCTGAATATTCGGAGGGATTATAGCGCGCTCTACCTCCTCTTCTACCTCTCTCTCTACCACCACCAGGTCCTCCTGTTCCACCACTATATCTATTCCGGCCTCCTCGATGATTATATTGATACAGATGTTTATGTAATGGCAGGGGTGGAAACGGAGGAATGCGAATATCGGCTGGTGGATGGAAGGAAAAACTGCTCCCGGCCGGAACGAAGATTTTGGAGCGCGGGCCTGTGACTTCGACGAGCGGGGGTGGGGGGTACGAATAGCTTGCTCCCATAGTATGGTGGATGATGGAGGTGGTTTAGATAGGAGATGAGATGGGATACGAGGCTGCTGATGTTAGTCCTGTTAATATGTGTGAGCGTGAGCGGAAGTATTCGATAGGGGCGTAATTCTTAACTTAGGGGGGCGGGACAGAGTGGGAACGTACCTTAGATGTCTTCGAAAGAAACTAGGGGAGGAACAGTTCAGAACGGCGTCACAATCAGTCCCATTACAACCCCATCATGCATGCAAATGCCTTCAGATTTCCACGCAAATGGATATAGAGGGAGAGTATTTAGAAAAAAGCGAGAACCTCAGACAGGATCAAACCCATCCAGTCTAAAGAGAAGCTTCGTCGTTGAAGGGTGCGAACATGACCGCACATCATGTTTGTACTCTCGGAGTAGAAAGTGTTTGCTCGACGTCCTCAAGTCACACAGCAAGGAACCCAATAAATTGCAAGTCCAAAGAATACATGTGAGACATGCGTGCATAGACATATATTCCTAGTTGTTTTTTGGGGTGGGCGAAGGGGAGGAGGCAAACAGGGCCACCGCATCCATACTACATCGTCACAAGTGCGAGAGCAAGCTTACCCATACATACGTAGCTGAATAGTCAAACTTCTAGCCTTAGTAAAATCAGTCACTCCACATGTATCAAACATTGACACACTTTGCCGACGACAATTGCGATCACGACAAGCAAGAGGAAAGAGATTTTTGAAGAAGTATATTCTAGCCCTCTCACTACACCCTCTGCAACGTCATCCAATCATCATTACACAGAGGCGATATTCGTGAGAACGTACCACCGACGCCGTGAAAACCAATAAAGACTCAAGCAATAACAGACAGAGAAAAGAATAATACGCCCACCCCCGCCCAACCACAACCGTCACCCTACACCTCCCACCAGCCGCTGCCCTATTCCGACCCCAGAACCCTAGCCGCAACTACGAACGCGAAGGTAAGAAAGGAGACAGATGTCAAGCGATCTAGTCGAGCTATACAGTTTGCCAAAACGATCGAAAGTGTTCCGAAATGTTATATCAACATTAATCTCCGCAACATTGGCGCTCAGCACCTTTGTCATCAATTTCCCTAAAGGTGAAGTTTGGTATCCAAAGACAGAATGTGGACTCAAAGAAATGAGAAAGTGAGGGTGAGTGTCACTTAGAAGATCATCGATCGAACCTGATCTCTCCTTCCCGATCCCTTTCCAGATTCCCTCTGCCTCGGGACACCGCTTCTATGCCGTGCATCCTTCTCAACTGGTGGAGGAGGAGCATGAGACTGTGTTCTAGCATGGCCATGTTTTACCGGACTTGAGGGCGCCGTCCTCGCTCCGCTCTCATGTGTAGGTTGAGATCTCGGACGCGACTGTTGCTGAGCCGCATTCGCATTCTCCCGGAGTGCTTTAGCTTGAGCTAACTGAGGAGAAAGCTGTGAGCGCATCTTTTCCCGCCGCTCCTTGTCAAGAATCATGTCTGTCCAGCCTTTGCCGCTATTGACATCCTTACCCACACACTCCGACAAGACTTTCATCCATTCGTCCTTCTGGGCCGCATTATCGGCGTAGAAGTCAATAACTTCGCCATTCGCAAAGCGGATGCGGAATCCTTCCTCAACGAACATGTAGCCTTCCTCTTCTTCCGCGAAGGCAGACTTACGACGTCCGCCATTCTTGGTCGAAGAAGGTTGTTGGAGAGCAGACTTGTCGTCGATGAGTTTGGTTGCTTTGGCAAGATTGATGGTTGCACGAGGTTGATGTGTAGCCTCGTGATAGGCCGTCAATTTTGTGCCATTGAGACGGAAGAAGCGGCGGCGCCAGTACTAGTACGGTCATTAGAACATGTCCTTTGAGCGGGCAAATATAGTGTGAGCTACTAACCGGGCAGTCACCACCCTGTTGACTTAAATGACCCTCCCAGTTCTTCTGTTTGATTTCTTCAGCATCCTTCAGTTCTCGCACACAAGCACTCATGCTCTTAGGCATGTCTTCATCCTTGGCACTTTTCGGTTTGGGGACATAGAGAAGCTGCAAGGCGAGCTTTCCAACACGGTACGGAGGTCGTCGCACGACACCACCGCGTTTGCTCTTGACGCTGCTCATACCGGCCTCATCGACAGCCCACTCGTTGAAGCAAGGAATATCGACATTGAGAGGACGACCATATGCTTGATTCTCGTGATTCTTGAGGCAAACGTAGGCACGTGCGAATGAGCCATCTGGCCCGACCAAATCATGCAACAGGTCCCACGCAGTAGGTTGGCGGTTGAGCTTGGCCTGAGCCTCCTGTTGCTGTTTCAGTGCTAGGCGCTCATTCTCTTCTTGCAGTTTCCTCTCTGCCTCCTTTCGCTTCTTCGGAGAGGAGAGCAGATTACGGAAGGCAGAGTGTGACTTCTTGTGATTGATCACTTTAGCCGGCGCGGCAGTGACTTGAGGTTGGGCAGGAGGCTCGAGCTTAGTCTGGAGAGTAAGTTGGAATTCGAGATCGTCGAGCACAACAAGTTCGAATTCTTGTCCAATGGGCGCGTTGTGACCGAGCTCCAACCATGACGTGGTCACGCAATGCAAGCCATTGTCAAGTGTGAGTTGAAACCATGTGCGTTCAGCTGCACGGCATTGTAAGCAAACATGTTCTCTAAACCAGGAATTGGAAACAGCTTACTCTTTGGCAGGGGAAGGTCAAGGTCTTTAACCCCAACAACCTTGACGAATAATCTACCCCTCTCCGCACCATCTTCAAAGTCATCCTCTTGGCCATTCTGCTCGGCAACCGAGTCAAGGCCACCCGTGACGGCAGATTCTTGGCCAGGAAGAGGAGGCGCAACACTATTAGCAGCGGCACGACGCGAACCCGAGGTTGTTCGAATACTCCGTCTCCTCATCTTACCATTCCAAGGTTCGGTTGTCCATGCGGGCTTGCGTTCAGCGCTTGTCTTTCGTGGGCTGCTGTTTGCAGACTTTGAGACCCTCTCGGCTGCAGGCTTCCCTTCAGCAGCATGCTCATTGCTGCTATCACTAAAGTTGCGAGCAGTGGCAACGACGACTTTGGTGTTCTGTCGCATAAGATACCCCTTCTGCTCGCGGATATAGCCGTTAGTTGGACTGTATGTATAGACAAACCCCTCTCCAGACATATACTTGGCCCCATCTGTTGTGGCCGCAGTAGATGTTGGAAAGCTGGCAAAAGAGGGTAAAGGAAAAAGGTCTTGTACCTTCTGGGCCTCGATAATGTTCTCGAATTCCCTGTCTAGCCCGAAGCTGAGATCATTCGCATCGTCACCAATGGGAATATCAAGCATGAGATTCTCCTTGTTTGATCCATCGCTGTTCTCTCCCTGAGAGTCGCCCTCTTCAATGTGACCAAAGTCAAGGCTAAGAGACTGGCGTTTAGGGCTTCGCTCTGGGACTGGGGGAGGACGTTCACCGCTGACCTTGCGCCTGGCTGCTGCCATAGTTTCGATATCTGATGGAGCAAGAGATGGGCGTGTCTTGAGCCTGCCGCCAGCACCTTTGATTGTTGCGACTGGCTCAGGAACGATTGGCGAATCTCGTTCGGGGGGTGAGATTACTACTGGATGACGGATGACTGAGTCAGGAGTGCCCGGCTCTTCAAGCTGTATATCTGACTCCTCAGGTGTGGCAGGACGGTGCAAAAATTGCCGCATCGCTCCAATCTTAGGTGCGGAATCAAACGGACTGGGAGCGGTCTTGCAAGAATCCTTGAATGGATCTAGCCGTAGCTGCAGATCGTCGTCGTTAAAGGAAGAAAACATTTCGTTTCGCTTTGTTTCCTTCTCAGCCGCCAAAGGCGATGGATTCGATGCTGTAGGTGTCGGTGGTCCATCCGAATCAATTGTGCTCTGAGAGGTCGGTTGTTCGTCCGGTTGAGGTGAGTACTGGCTTGTATCATCATCATCCTGGGGTTCATTCTTAATCTCATGACGAATGACAGAGCCATCGCGCTCATATTCGAGCACTGAGGTTTCAGTGTACATATCAGTAGTCTCAGCCATGGAGTAGGCGTCAAGGACGCTATCACCATCGTCGTCAGGGTTTGCCGCAGGCTGTCGAGGATGTTCATCGAAGTTGGAGGAAGCTTCACGGGAGGGAATAGGAACATCCGGATCTAGATCAGCTAAGTCGCCATAGCTGCGCTCTGGACTTGACTCGACATCATAGTTGTAGCTGTCGTATTCGTCGAAGTTGCGGCTCTTAACCTTGCGGAGAATAGATTCGCGAGAGATCCGTTGTACTTTGGGACCATCAACCGTAATCTCGGACTCGGTCGCGTCATCAGCCTCAATCTCTTGGACTTGGATTCCGAGACCCAACTCCTTCTTCGTGGTGTCGTGGCTCTCTTGAGTAGGAGTACTGGTGTTACGCTCGTCGTCAAAATTCATAAGACGCAGCCTATCCTCAAGGGACATGGATCCCTCTCGCATGCTTAGAAGATCGGACTTGGAAAATCCCGCGGCTTGCGGAAGCTGAGGGAGCGATCGACGGTTGCCGCTTGCGCGTTCTGCAGCAGCTGACAGACCGATGCTTGAATCGCGTCGACGATGGTCATTGTACGCTTCCAATCCTGGCAGGGGGGGAAGTGGCCTTGATTCGCCGTCAGAATTGGTCGAACCATGGCGTGAACTGTTCGGCTTCGTGACGCCATTGGGACGAGCACTCGGCATTGGGCTATTGTCGCGACCATCGAATGGATCATCAAAAGTATCCGCAAGCGACGTGTTGGCAGCTTCTGGGCTCATGTGGCGCCAATCTTCAGGAAGCACGACTGGAGTCTTGTCGGTATCTTCGAGAGAGGCATCGAAGCTATCATCCTGATCGAAACTCATATCTTCATCCTCCTCGGACTCATAGCTGCCCTCTCGTGAGCCAGATGCGATAGATGACGGATCGGGCGTCACCATCTCGTACTCGTTGATTGTGGGAGGAGCAGCATCAAAGGTCACGCTCTTAGCATGGCGGCGCAATGGGCGAGGGGTCTCGTGCTTGAGCTGCTCGTCGTCCTCAGACCACATGCTGGAGTCCGGATTGTATTCAATTGAGTTGAACCGGCCATGGCTAACAAGAGAGGACTTGCTTGGGGAGGTACGTCCCTCATTGGGAGACGGCTTCTCCTTCGCTGGAGAAGTATACGCTGACAAGGTTTGGAGCTTGCCAGGAGATGTCTTAGATGGGCTAAGAGTGGGAATTTTGCTCAGACTCTCGCCGCGCCGATGGCTCCGAAACTTCTCGTCTTGTTTACGGAGGCCGGTGAGGCCGGTTCCGCCGTAAGCATTGCCCTGCACTTGCGTGCTCAAGGGGCGACCGGCAGCAAGTGGTCGCTCGAACGGCTGGCAGGAAGCGGGGTCGTACTCGTTCTTCTGCTCGCGGGCAAACATGCTGCTGTTCTTGACTCGGGAAGCCTTCTTGAGGTTCTCAATGGAGGAGCGCTTTGGCGACAGCGAGGGTTCGCGCTCGTAGTCGTTTTCGGATCCAAATCGGGCTTTCGGCGAGATGGTCTGCTCCTTCCAGAACAGGCGCGGGCTATTGGTGAAGGGTGAGGCATCGAATGGAGAGGACTCCTTGGTAAACATGATTTTCTGGGCCACGTTAGGGGCGGCGAGGGAGAAGGAATGGAGCTCGATAATACCTTCGTTGTTTGGTTGAAGCTCGGGGAGTTCCTTCTATGTTCGGTGGACCCAATCTCAGAGAGCGGGCGGGAGAAAGAGCCACCTTTGGCTGGTGATGCCGTTGGCGTTTTGTTTATGCGCAGCGGCGATACCTGAGCATCAAACATTAGCAATTGGGCTAGATCTTAGTTGATCTCGTATTGCGTGAATAGACGTACCGCTTCGTTGCGAGGCATGCTCGTCGACGTGAGCTGGCGGGAGGGATTGTCGATGCAAGTTGCCTTATCTGCACTGGCGTGGAATGATTGCGAATGATGGGGCCGCAAAGCTCCCTCGAGGAGGCTTTGCGCAGATGGGATATATGTGCGCTGAATAAATGCTCAGGAAGAAGAAGCGAATGTCGAAGGGAAGCGCAGGCGCTCTTGACTTGTTGAAGAGGTGAGGGAGAAGATGGTGGAGTGGGAGTGGTATGCGACTTGATTTGGTGGCCGAGTCAAAACACCCGATACGAGCTCGTCTGGCTGTCTCCAGAGCAACCACAGCGGCCAAGATAGCGGCCCGCCACAGCCACACCGCTGATTGGCGTAGCGGTCGATCTGTGGCGCATAAAAAAGTTCGCCAAAACTTCGAGTCGTCATCCATCGCGATCGTTATCCTTCGCAGCCGTACAACAGCCGTGAGCCTTTCACTCATTGCAAATGCAGTGGTTAGTGTATTTCTAGCTTTCTTTCTTCGCATCTTCCATCATGCTTCGTCAGCCCTTTCGTTCCTGCCCTCTCTGTGAAGTCCGCGCCCTTGCACGAAACACGCAACGACTGCAACCCACATATCACCAAACCCGCCTGTACGTCCAATTACAGCAAGATCGAGCTGCTCGGTATGCTGCATCTGCCCCGAGATCCCGGCCGCGAGGAGATAGGCTCAGACCCTCTCGAATGGTGCTATCTGACACCGTCACTCGACCTCCACCACATTCTTCAGACGGAAAGCCGGCTAGGAGGAAGCCAGAGCCGTTCTCCTACCTCAATCGGACGAAAGTGCCACCAATTCTTGAACTTCAGAGAGAGCAGGCGAGGATTAGAAACACTGGTGATAGGTTTCCTAATGCAAGGAACGCGGATCCGTCGAGGAAGAGGAGGTCCCGTCCAGAGCCATACCATGCGTTAAAGATGCAACGATCCCTCTCTGAAGTGACTTGGGGATCAAGAGTGCACATCAAGAGAACGATCGAGCAGGTAGAATCATTCGAGGGCCTTCCACTGAGCGATGCCGTAAAAGACGCGATCAAAGACGCGCTGCCAGGTCTGGAATACCGTACACCTACCCCAGCTCAACGTGTTGCTATACCCGCACTCCTTGGGGTGGAAAGCAGAAAGCGAACGAGAAATCCACTGCAAAAGACCGGACTAGAATCGTTCCTCTTGGCAGCTGAGACTGGCTCTGGCAAGACCCTCGCATATCTTCTCCCAACAATAGACGCTATCAAACGCGAGGAAGTTGCCGATGCCGAGGAGGAGGCGGTCGAAGAATCCAAAAAAGCTGCTGCGAAAGCGGCCGAGAAATGGAACGATCTGTTCGACGTAGAGGAACCTGAACTTACCAAAGCCGTCGACTCAGCCCGTCCTCGCGCCATCATCTTGGTACCAACCGCCGAACTCGTTTCCCAAGTCGGCCAGGTTGCGAAGTCCCTCTCTCATGTTGTCAAGTTCAGAGCTGGGCCTGTATCCGCTGCTATGACTCCGACTGTGATCCGGAACCGACTTTTCAACGAACGCGGAGTCGATGTTGTTATTAGTACTCCTCCCTTACTGGCAAGCATCGCTGAAAGCAATCCCAACATTCTCAGCCGTGTCACGCATCTTATCGTCGATGAAGCCGACTCCTTATTTGACCGATCCTTTAAACCTAGCACCACCGAAATCCTTGAGAAGTGCAACCCATCACTTAAGCAGCTGGTCCTTTGCTCCGCCACGATTCCTCGCTATCTTGACAAGTATCTCGCCGAACGCTACCCTAAAATGAACCGTCTTGTCACCCCGAACCTTCACGCCATTCCTCGACGTGTCCAACTTGGGGTTGTGGATGTGAACAAAGATCCCTATCGCGGCAACAAGAGGCTTGCGTGCGCCGACACCATATGGCAGATTGGTAGAGCGAATGGCGACTATGATCCTGCCGAGGGTAAGGAGTTAGTCCAAACGAAGCGTATCCTTGTTTTCGTAAACGAGCGAGAGGAAACAGAAGAGGTGGCCCAATATCTCGTTAAAAAGGGTATCGACGCCCTCGCTTTCCACAGAGATACGGATCCTAACCGCCAGGCTAAGACTCTAGCAAGCTTCACGGGGACAGAAAAGCTTAAGAAAGAGGGACGGGGAGAGGAGAAGGGGAAGGAAGTGTCGAAGTCTGAAGCTACGCCTAGTAAACGACATCTTCCCAATACGAAAGTCATCGTCACCACAGATCTTGGCTCAAGAGGCATCGACACCGTCTCTGTTAGACATGTTATACTGTACGATGTACCGCACACTACTATTGATTTCATCCATCGACTTGGCAGGACAGGAAGAATGGGACGACGAGGACGAGGCATTGTGCTCGTAGGGCCAGGTGATAGAGCGGATGTAGTAAGAGAAGTTCGAGATGCTATGTTCCGCGGCGAGGCTTTGATATAAGCCCCCGCCTTCACTATTTGTATATCATGATATTTGGTAAGTGTAAGATATCCCCAAGGACATAAACATAGACTTCCTTGCATCACATGGTGTTGGTGTCCAGATCAAAACTGCAACTACAATGTACAGCACTTGTTCCTCTCTTATCTCCTCGCTCTTCATCTACCTGCAATTATGTCCTTTTTTATATCTTCTAGAACCGGAATCTTGATATTTCCGGTTATAACCCTGTGTAATAGACATCCAGCCTTTGGACGCCTATAGAGCTGACACTCTGGAGGATTGTCTATGGCCGAGGTGTTACTGAGACGGGGAACAATAAACGATTCGCTCTCCTTTTAATGCTTCCCATCGATACTTGATGGGAAATATAGTTGGAGATTCGAGCGGAGAGTACATCTCAGGTAGTGTTCATGTTTTTAGCTTCTTACAGTGATGTTTATCTAAATTACCGACAGTGACGGCACCACCAGGCCGGTAAGAAACGCAAGCAGGAATGAAAATGGTGCCAAGATTTGCGTTATTTTTGGAAATGGAGTAACTGAATTCTAAAGTTGGCACTATTTAATCTAATCGTACTGATATGCAGACAAAGGGTCGTTCCCTCTTTCTCAAAACAGTACATGTGCAGTTGCCTAACAGCGTGGGCGGAACTTACTTTGGCTAGATGCATCGCGTTGTGCTAATCAATATGCCTCTCGTACGGTATGGTCGGCACCTTACCGGCCTCCCTCGATAGATATCCACCTGCCTATACCACTCATGAAAGACCCAGCTGCTAATTGCGTCAATGAATATAATTTCAACCACATTGCCATCGCATTCCATGCATCACTTCCACAAGCCATGGATATCATTCCGCAAGCTATGGAGCACTTCAAACCCCTGATTTCCGTTTTCGGAAAGGAGAGTCTATGTTTCTCCCTCGTTACTCAATTGAAGCGATTATCTTCGGGCGAATTCCGAACCAATTACAACCTGAACGTCTGCGGCTGTCCGCTATTAGGAAAGGTTCCATGCTGTCTATTCGACCGGCTTGGACTGGCTTAGACAGGCCCTATCTGAGTCTGCGTACTGATCAATCCTCGCTGTTCCGAGAGGTCCATTGCTAAGCAGGTATGCTCGACGTAAAACAGCTCTGTTCACTGTGCTTGTCATAGTGTTAAGGAGAGCTCTCACGGAGGCGTGGGAGTTAGTTAAGCGAGGTATGTAAAGGGCTAATAGAGCTGAGGGAGCGTATAATGATCTGACCCTCCTCATTTAATACAATGGAGTATCTGGCACTTACCACAACCGCCATGACTCCTCATGAATACTACGCGCTCTAGGGCCCGTTCATCGTCTAGATATTGGTCTAGATTAAGTGCAACAGTACCCCTCTCAACCACATAAAGTTCGACTACCTAATCAAGTTAGGCGCCTCAAGGGAAGCCTGAAGGCTCTCCTTGTGCAATAACCCTCCCCCCACTGTGTAGCGGAAAACTCTGTGTCTAGTATATGTTGAAGGTACTTTGACTTCTAAGCAACTTGTTGCATGGCTACGCGCTATAATTTATATCAAGATATTAGCAGCATTACCTGCAGTAGTGATTTAAACCATAACGCAGTTTTCACTTAAAACTAGACTAGGTTCGTTGACCCATTGATTAATAGACGCTAGACGTGCTCTAACTCCGCACCAATTCTTCTATTATAACACCGCTCTCTTGTATCATTGCTAGCTTAAAATAAAAGTAGTTAAGCATTCAATAATTAGAGTTAGGATTTTTAAGCTCTTATCTACTATGGATGTGGTGCAAACACAAGCCTCTCTATGTATCATGGCTGCCCCTAGAGGCTCTGCATCAATACAACACTCTTCCGCTACATCACACCTAGGCTTACATATTCCCGTCCCCTGCTAGCATTGGCGATGTCGACTGCTAGACTTCCTAAAGCACCTCCAGATATCGCTCCTAAGCGTATAGCATACCGAAAATGATCTTTTAAGTACCAACTTCTTTGTTCTCTAAGTTTCACTGATTTATAGTTTTAAACGATAATACTGTGTATGGATGCTGAGAACCTAGGACGTGTTCAAGGAGCTGGCAGCATTGTTCCATGAGTGAAATAGCCTTGTGGTTACGGCCTTGAGCTTTGAACGTAAATGCAAGATTGCTCATACTGGTCAGTGTGTCTGGATGCTCGATCCCAAGCACCCTCAAACTCGTGTCCTTCACTTGCACTTCTAGCTATTCAGCTTCCTTCCATCGCCCTTGATTCCTGTATGTTGATGCCAAGTTCGCCATGGTGGTCAGAGTGTCTGGATGCTCGACTCCAAGCACCCTCAAATTCGTGTCCTTCACTTTCACAAACAGCTCTTCAGCCTCCTTCCATCGCCCTTGATCCCTATACGTTGATGCCAGGTTAGCCGTGTTGGCCAGCGTATCTGGATGCTCGGCCCCAAGCACCCTCAAACTCGTGTCCTTCACTTTCACAAACACCTCTTCAGCCTCCTTCCATCGCCCTTGATTCCTGTACGTCGATGCCAGGTTGGCCATGCTAGTTAGCGTGGAGTAAATATTGGACTAGGACTCGGTTTCGGCCGCATCTGAACCGGCTGAGACATGCTTAGTACTTGTGGGACACCACCTGTAAAAAATCTTAGAAGTTTAGTGAACACATTTAAGACTACACTAACTGACAAACACTCCCTAGCGTTACCCTAACCTCTCTTGGGTTGCACAGCATATCCACAACCTCATCTATAGCCTTGGATACCGACACCTCTGCCATGTAAGCTTTGGTATGCTCTGTCAGCTCTCCCATTTTATCCCACTCTTCCAGTGAGATACCCTCAGCGCCATGAGCGACGTTAAAGCGGAAGTAGAACTTTTCAAGGTCTTTGAACCTTGCGCTCAACCCGTTCGCTGTTTCCTCTCAGTCAGTAGCGATGTCCTTGAGCACGCTGATTAGTTTTGTAGGCAGAACTTTCTGGAAGGCATCTGGCTTGGCTAAGCCGATTGTCCCTGGATGGCCGGTTCCGATGCTAATCAAACAGCGTACTAACCTGTCATTGCCAAAAATGTTTCGCGCCTCTTCTAACACCTGGATTTCCGGATTATTACATCTAAGCCCGCCATCAATAAACTCTTCTTTAGTCTGACCTTCCCGCCAATGGCAATATGCTTGAAAAATGTAGGGGCCGCAGTGGTGGCACGAGCTGCTTCCCAGATCCTACAGTTTGCACTTGCAAGTGCTCTGACTGGATAGGTCCTAAAAAGTCGAGGATATGCCATGCTATTGGCAGGTACTGCACAAACAAAGGCCTTTCCCCTCCTCAAGTCGTTTGATGGATCCAGCATAAGCTCTCCTAGTCCCTTCTTTGAAACCACCTCTTGCACCTTGTTCTGAAGCGTAGTGGCTTTAAAAGCACCATCCTGGCCTAACCGCTCTTTGTTGTCCTTTGAAAATATGGCACGTGCGAGGGAGTTGTAGGTTCGAAGCGCTTCGTCCGTTGTCATCCGTAATCGGCCGAGCATAAGCGCGATGAGGCTAATGGGACATGTGTCAGTATAGAGTGTGCTGAACTTAAATCCATAACAGAAAGGCAGAAAGGCTTACCCTCCCGTACTCGTTCCCCCGATGAGGTCGAAGTAGTCACACGGTAGTGGCATTTCAGCAAGGTTTGAATCACATTGAACGCGACGCATGATCTCGTCAAGAATTAGCAACTCCGACACCCCGCGAATGCCTCCACCGTCTAGATGGCATCAGTCAAGCCTCATATTCAGAGCAAATCCTCTCACTGACCCAGCGCTAGCAAATTGACCGGTTCGTCACCGGCAGGTGAAGTATGGGGTGCCAAGGCCATATCATCTCTAGCCGGTAACAGTAAATTCACAGTAATATTTCAAGGCATGCGGAAGGCTGTTAGAATGTGGGAGGAATGGTCGCGGTAGATTTAAGTACAGTATTCGCAACGGCGATCAGCCAACCCAGTGGGCTAAGCCAGTGGCCTAGCTGCCATCGAATCACAGCGGGTGGAGCTGGGCAGAGTCCCACATAGGTTTGGCTCACCAGCATGCGGCGTTCTCCGCGTTGGCACCATTCACACACATTTCTATGGGCTGAGTTTGATAGCCGTTGAGCTTGAGGGGGTGCGACTGCGTAGGCAGACGTGTTGTGTTGCGCCGGCAGGGCTTCCCCGGCCGTGCGGCTCGGGCTGGGTCATGTCGGACTGTCCATACGTCTGTCTACTTTGACATTTCTTGAGCTTGTACAAACGGAGATATCAATGTGGTAGAAAATTACCTAAACTAAGCATTTGACACCACTGATCGACGGTAAGAAGGCGCATAGATTACGAATGGAAGCGAAGGCACTGGTCCGCTAGCACACAGCTGGAGCAGCCTTGCGCAAAGTCAGAAATCACGTCGAACAAGCTTATAATTATCAGGATGCTATCTGCTTTGGAAACGGATCCACTATAACTTATTCCGGGACACATTGTTTTCTACTTCACTGGGGGAAAGGTGGATGCTGTTGACATAACAGTTTCTCTTGTCATGGTTTCCTCAGCTTTCTTTCGACAATTTCATTCTATTTCCATATCAATATGCTGCTGACAGGCGCACCATTCGTAGCGCCTCAAAGATCCTTGGATCTGCATTTCCCCTATGTTCGGAGGTTTCTAGGCTACTTAGTGCTTTCCCTTGGCCTTCTTATATATACAAGACGCACGTTCCGCTGGATCTTTAATTAATCGCTTCGCCAATATCAGCCTTCCAAATGCGGTCGGAAAAACTTAAAGTGGTATCCGCTTCGTAGCACCAGGCTCGAGATGAGGAAAGACCGGAAGATCTTCCCAAAGCCATACAGGTCTTCAAGCGCCTAGCATCCTTTCCTATGAAGCAGTGTTCCTCTGCTGCAACCCTCTTCCAAGTTGCCTTCAATTATGCTGTCCACTCTGACAGGGCCTCCTATGGTCGCAGTTGTAAGTAGTGTTAGTATCTTGGCAAAATTGATGAGCCCAACGTGTTACTTTAGTCTCTTTTCCTCATGGTGGCGAATTGGATTAGCTAATTAAACTTCATTTTCGTCCCTTGGGTACAGTCCTTCCTAACACTACTTATCCCTGCGACTATAGCAGCCTGAGGTGATGGGCGTACTAACCCAAATAGGAAGTCAGATGTTGTGACGGTAAGTAGTGGAACAATCGTATCAAAGCTAGACGCCAACTTAGATAATAAATGGGCCTCAGAGATGTGAATTGGGGCATCGAGGCCCTCGTCTGAGGTAGGGTACCCGTGTGGTATCTACGAGTAGCAGTGGAGGTGGCGCAAGTGCACCGTAGCGCCCAATGAGAAGGCTTGGATCATCGATCAACTCAGCTCCCCACATATCATCGGGTCCATCAGCTCCCCATATACGGATCCGTAGTCCAATCAATTCCCCTTGCCTCTCTAAATTCCCTCATCAACATCACTCCAAACCCAATGAACAGAGTCGTTTCAAATCAAGCCAACCAGACCAAACGATAGGCTTGCAGGGCTGACTATGATTGAGTTATATGTAGGCTTTGGTTCGACACACCAAAGTCGGTCTAACCCCGCCGAATGGACAGCATGCCTTCAATAACCACGCATGGGTCCATGCAGTTGGCATGACGTATCTCACGTTGGTACCTCTCACGTAACAAAAGTCAAATTCACCATTTGCGATACTCAAATGTACACTGCCAGCGAACCACTGCCTCTTCATCAATTCTGGCCTCTATTCGGATTATTTTCCTACTTTAAGTCAACCGCAACATATACGCTAGCTCCTGTGTTCCTACATGAATTTCGTATGAGTTAGAGGAAATAAGATTCTTTCGATATCCCCCACCCTTACACTTCTACTCTAGAATCTAAGTGAGGATCTTCCTCTAGGGAATCGGCTTCAGAGCTGCTTGCAGAGGACGGTCCACTTTCCCAACACCTTAAAAATCTTCCGTAATAGCCACTCGGTCAAAGTACACTAGGTAAGTGCCTGCGTCAACCCCATATGCAATCTCCAGAAGTTCGCCACATAGCGCAACGCGTGGGATACGGAAGGAAGCAAAGATCTCCCATTCCTCCAGGATTAATCTCAGTTGCTTCTCTTCTCCCATAGACTTATGGCCTTCCTTCGCGATTCTATCCCATGTACACTTCAAGGACCAAGCGCATATCCATGCATTAAGGATAATAGCAGGATCAGCATCCTTCTGATACAGTTGATCCCCTGTGTCTTCAATATCTGGGAGGCATATACACGGGTCCTTAGCAAGTTGACGTTCCCATTTCCTTTGGGTGTCCGGGATTTCGTGATCGTGACCAAAAAAACACGTACCCTGAATTGAAGAAGAACACTAAGACAGGAGACGGATAGAGATAAGAGCTGGTTGGTTGCCCACCAGAACAAGGCTCTTTGGCGGGTTTGAGGAAGGTTCCCCAACGATGGGTTCTTAGCTAGGTTAGCCTCAATCTACAGAAGATGAATAGCAGGAAGGAGCAACCTTGAGTTACTGTAGGTTTAAGCTGACTGTACTATGATTTACTTGGAAAACGTCCACCTAGTTACTGTTAGGATAACTATCCTATGTGAGACAACATATACCGAGCTCCCATTCGTCAATCTGAGTGAGCTGCCATGAGATAATTAGTAAACATGTGCTGTTTCTACGGCTTGAGATGATTCGAGAACGAGCTTTGGCATGGGTACACTTTCCTTATATTCTCCATCCTTCAGGGAAGTGCTTGTAATGCTACAGAACCAACAGGCAAGTATCTAGTATATGCGAAAACAATAGACCATGGAATACATGACCCTACTACTCAACCAGAACAGTTATATCCACTCAAGCAACCGTGTTCAACTCTCCTTTGATATATCCCACTCGGATTTTCGATCAAGATATCCACACCATGAAGGACATATTCGCAACCCTCCTCTACATCTCAGCTACACTCGCTACCTCAATTCCCCACGATACTCCGAATCCCCCAGACTCCAACCTAACCCTCATCCTAAGCGGCTCAGGAGACAACCAATACTGGCTTCTCAACGAATCGAACCTCCCTCCCTCAATCCCCCTTCTCAATACTTCCACCAAAATTTCCAGAAAAAGCCCCCAACCCAACGCCAACACCGAGAGTGTTGAATGCCATGGCTGGCACCAAGCCTCGGAAGGCGAATGTCGCAAATTCATGCTTGCTATCCGCAACAATCGAGCCTCTATTCCTGACTCTCCACGAGATATCAGATACCGTGGTTGTTATGTTAGTTGGTCCAAACCGGCAACGGGTTCCCTCTCCTTCTTCTACGACGCCTTTGTCGAGATTTACAATGCCTGTGAGAGGAATGGATGGATATCGGGGTTGAAGAGAAAGGTCAATATTGGTGGGACGTTGCTTACGCAATGTCTTTCGGGAAGGCCGTGGGGGTGCAGGTAAGAGTGTAGGTAGCGGGAGGGAGGGGTTTTGAAGGGGATGGTAGGAAGGGTTGGTAGCATGATGGGCTGGTAAGGTATTGCAAAACAGCGTTGGGTAGACCAGGTAGGGAAATTTTCCCATAAAAACACATGCCTGCAGGCTCTGGAAAGTATCTCGCTTCTTCAGCGGCCTTCAATAGGGGACGCTCTTCAGACCTCACTCCACCTCTCCCTCTCCTTTCTCAGGTAAGTGTTAGCTAAACAAAATACAAATTAAATGCAAAAACAGTTTCATAAAGAGTACTTATTCCATAGCCATTTCATCGTCACATTTGCCTTTTGACATGCCGATTCGCATCATGCAATCTCCAAAGTCGTATCTCATGATTTCGTAAAGCAAATGGATCCTCCCAAATTAATTCCAATCCCAACTCCCTAAAAATCTTTTCCACGATCAACACCATCCTACCCGCCAACAACAGCCCCATAATTCCCAGGAAATAATCCCTTACACCCAGCATACACACCCCAAAACCAGTCGCCATTGATATCCTCAACCTCTCTAATCTCCGCATTCTTCGGAAACCCCAGCTCATCCTCGACGCCCTCGCCCGGGAAATAACTCCACAGAGCCTGAACCCTCAGTCCCATGCCACCATCAGGAGGATAGCGAGGTGCTGTTACAGCGGAGGAGGGGTTGATGTTAGGATTTGGGGACTGCACGGGAGATTTCGAGTACCTATGAACTGAACCATCTGTATCTCTCCAACTCCAGTTCTGCAATGGCAACTGTGAGGACGAGAGCGCGGGCACCAGACTACTCGAACTACCTTCCCTTCCGCCCGCACCCATTGGTGATCTTGGCTCAACGACCTCTTCATCCCTTAGCGTAAACCCGCCGACAAGATCCCTCACTACGACCCTCCGTTGGCCGCCGTCCCGGTCTTCGAAACCAACAACGATCATGCGATGGCTACGCAGACAACGACGCCACCCGTTTATCCCATCGTCTTTGCTGATGCGGCCGGAGGAGACGAGTTTGTGATAGCAGCTCATGCATATGTCGTAGTCGCCTTTGTTACATTTGGGGCAGTGGTAGCGGGTGTGTGAAGGAGGGATTGGGTATGTGCAGATATTGCAGATCGTAGTAAAGGTCAGGGGTCTGAAGATCATGTTCGCGATTGTAATCAACCCAGGTCCACGAATCAAACTTGCGGTTTTGGGGGTTAATGGAGGAGTTGTTGGAACAGAATCGAGGCTTGGAGGTGCCAGGCCAGGGGACATTGGTCCGGCGCGATGGCTCGTTTCCGGACGCGGGCTTGAAGGCGTGCAGGAAGTTGGTTCGGTAGTATTGGATATGGATTCTCGTGCTTTGTGAGCGATAGGGAGTAAAGGGTGAGTGCAGTGTCGACCTTGGTTAACGCAATCATTGCAGAAGCCCCAATCGCCCTCGTTGCAGAAATCGCATTTCCAGTAACATGCATTTGTAAACGCTTTACACATATCGCAAAACACTCCTGATTCAAGGCGGCGCGCGGGGTCGTCGTCTATCATCATTACTCCAGGCGTGAGAGCGGATTCCAGAAGTGGGCTATAGGATCTACGATACCGATGGCCAATAAGGATATGAGGATGTTCATAGTTGACGGGATAGCCACTAGGTGGCGCAAGTTTTTCATACTTAGGCCATGCTGCTCGTCCGAAGCCGTACCAGTGTTTGCAGCCTTTGCCTGCACGATAGCAGTTTAAGCAAAGATTGAACTCTCCTCTGTCACAGCGCGAGCAGTTGTAGTGTAGCTCATACTCGATATGTGCTTTCCCACATCGATTGCAGGAGATCTGAGGCTCGGCATAGAGGGTTGGCGTAACTACTGAGACGGTTGAAGAAGCCCTCGAATGGTGCTCGAGTGCAGAGGGGTCTGTCGTGGAACGAGGGAATGGCGGGGGAGAGGACACTGGCGGAGCGCCATTGTTGATAGGTCGAGGTTGTCTTGCATGGGTAGGATCAGTGGTTCGACGCGATGTCAGAGGATGCGCAGAAGTTGGAGGAGAGGAGATTGGAGGGGAGGATACGGGCGACGTTAAAATAGCCGCACTGGCAGAAGGGCTCTCTGAAGTAGGAACGTTGAAAGCTGGCCTTCTTGGAGAGTTGGGGTTAGACGATGAGTGGGGCTGGAGGCTGTTCCGGAACTGCTGGCGCTCCTCAAGCGTACTGCGTCGTTGGTTGTCTGAACGTCGGCGTCCATTTGAATTCACGTTCTCTGATGTTGTCGGCCTCTCTCCAAGCTCGCTCGCAGAATGAGCAGCCTGCCTAGTTGAAGTGACGGTCAACGATGTCGGGCGTTCTGCCCGTCGGGCAGATCTCGAGCTTCCCTGACTCGATGATCTCCTGCGATGAGTTCTATTATACTGATTCGCCGCTTCAATGAGCCCAGGCCGAGACACAGGAGGTCTCGATGAAGGCAGATTCTGGGGGGTGGAAGTACCACTCTCTGAGCGACCATGTGGTCTCCTTCGCGGCTGCTCCTCTTCTCGTACTGAAGGGCTGCGGACCTCCTGGGGTATCACGGGAGTTGATGTAGATGATTCAATTCGACTTTCTCTTACTAGTCTCTCCCTCCGGTCTCTTCTTTCACGTTGTCTGGACGCCTGCCGCCTCCGATACGCCTGGGCTATTCTTTCGCTAATCTCATCCTCCTGAGCCACGTCTATATTGTTCAGATCGATGCCGTCCAGCAAACCCTCTTCCATGATCTGGCGCATAATCTCCTCCTCCATTTCTTGAGAGTCGAGTTCAGATGCACTGAGCAGAGACCGCAGACTTGATTGATGTTCGATATGTCGTGGAGGGACAACCTGGGTCCTCGAAGCCGACGGCACTTCGGGGGGATTGCGACTCCTGGATCGCCCGCCCTCCCTGTCTCTGTGTCTAGATTCCTGGCCCCGCTCCTGGCTCCGCTCCTGGCTCCGCTGCCTCCTCCGTTCCCTCGGTGGCTCAAGCGTGTTCGTCGATGCAGGTATCCCCACCTCCCTTAGACTCATCTGCTGAACCTCTTCCATCAGCCTCCGATCCTCCTCGGCACCGGGATCTTCCCTCCTCCTCAGCTTCGGCAACACATTATCCCCTGGTTTATACTTCTCCCTAGCTTCTTTCTTCTCCGCGTCCGATTTCCCCTTCTCCGGGTTCGTCTTCACGAACATGTCGAGGAGCGTGGTGACGGTGGCATTGGGCTGCGTGGTCCGCACCGATGCGCGACATGACGGGCAGGTGTACGGGTGTATGGACGTGGCAGTGGAGGCCTGGAACTGGAACCACTCCTTCAAGCAGGCGCCGCAGAAGGTATGGAGGCAGTCAAGGAGGGTAAGCGGTTGGTAGAGCAGATCTGTACATATCTCGGGTTGGGGTTAGCAAGAGTATCGTAGCTGGCGGGTAGGGGCTGCGAGCAAGACGGCTGGAGTCCAACACCACACGACCATCAACTATCTCTCTCTTAGAGATGTCTTCGGGTAGAGTGCGGAGTATATTTCTTCTGCGGCCGAGATATGAAATTTAGCAGCCCCCGGCACCCCTCCATTCCCCTCTACCGCACCCCCCGAAGCTGGAACTGCAACTGGAACACACTCACCGAGCAAGTCAACTCCCGCTCCAAATCCACCATACCGTGTCTCTCGCCCTCGGCCATTGCGATGCGACGCGTGCTCAGTGCCTCGCTGGCAGCACCGTGAGAATCTTGTCGGCAGAGGTGTTGTTCACGTCAGGTTGAATGCACAGTGCGCCCTCAGCTCCAAGTCAATGTGAGCTGCGATCCGCCTTACCCTACCGGACTTGTGCTTGGCGATTGGTGGAGGCGTCAACTTGCCATCGGAGGCCACACAACGCCAACTCACATCACATACAAATCGCCGCCACTCACGTCGCCATACAGAGCTATGGAACCATGCAGAAGCGTTTCAGCCGTGGTTGCGGAGCGCAAGGACCCGGTCGGTACATAAAGGTACCCGGGCGTTTGTGTTGCCATTTGACGGTCATGAGCTATGCTGAAGCCCGTTTGAGCTTCCTCGTATCATGTCTCCTTGCTTCTTCTGCTGCAGGACGTGTTTGTGCTATTTTCTCCCGTCACAGCCGAGCATTGACATATTTGTGCGATGCCTGGACCAGCCTCCTGATCGACGGCCTCGTCTTCATGCACGCTGAAACATTGCACGACCCCGGGTTCAGGCAGGAAACATTTTCAGGTCCTGAGATCTTAGGTTTCGAAACTGAAAATAAGGCCGTCAAACCTTGGGACGATCTGTCAAGCTCAGACTCGGTATAAGGAACATCACATCACGTGATCTCACCGACTAAACACGGGGGATACCACAAGAATATCCCTCTCTACTTAGGTAGCCTCAAAGACCCCGCAAACCCTCCAAACCATCCCAACTTCCTGTTCCTACCCCCCACTTCCTTTTCCTGCCGCACAACCTCCATCTCCCCAATAGTCGTCTCCACTGTCTCGCCCTTTCTACCACCCTCCTCACACTTCTCCACATGTGCCCTAACCCTCGGATAAACATCCTTAAAACTCCCCTTCCCCATCCAAGTATCCAAATGCCCATACCTTGGCACCACCACCCTCTCAAACTCCCCCTCCGGAAACCTTTCCTTGAACATCTCGTAACTCTCTGCCGTACTCCTCGGATCAAACACCACATTCGCACCACCACTTAACCACTGAATCTGCAATCCTTCCAACCTCTCCAAGTTCCCTTTCTCAACGACCAAGTCTTTAAATTCTGGCTGGTTTGTCCGGACATGGTGAGGTGGCTCTGCACCCATGCCCATCAGGTGTTCGAGGAAGTTCATATGGATGCCGGAGAAGAAATTCGCGAGGTGGAGGTGTGTGGCGTGGTTGAGGTGGGCATGTGTGAAACAGCGACCGAAGACTAGATTGCAGCGGTGGCAGACGGAGGAGTTGCAGGTTTCGCGGGAGGCGCCAATGGGGTAGAAGCGCAGGATTTGGTCAATGAGGTATTGGATAATAGGGGAGGTGGGAGTGGAACTGCAGGAGAACCAGTCTCCTGCTAGTCCCTGTGGAGATTTTTGTTAGTATTAAAAATAGAATTGGCTGGGCAGTGTGCTCCAGTGCTTGAACTGGGGAGGTATACAAACTGAAGTTTACTTACCCTATATGCTTTCACCAACTGCGGCGACCCAGCTTTAAACGCATTATCTGGACTATATCTTAAGTTGCAGAAGACCTGACTACATGTCATCCCTTGTATCCACTCTTTCTTTACCTCTCCACTCAGAAGCGCAATAGCCGTGGTAATACTCCCCAAACAATGGCAAACCACATAGAACTTCCTTCCACTTTCTTGCTCCCGGATATACGCCATTGCAGCTTTCACATCCAAGCGAGCATCATACGCAGTCCAGCCATCTTCCGCTGGACCCCCGATCCCGAAGCGGAGAACGGGTATGTAGCACCTGTAGCCCAGCGCGGTAAAGTAATCAACGGCGTTCGTGGGGATGGTGGGAAGAGAGAAGATTTGATCGTCGACCGAGGCCCCGGGGATGAAGACAATCGCCATGTCGTGTTCAGCAACGCCGCCTGTGGGTTTCCAGAGCTTAACGACAGTTTCGACGCCGTCTTCTGCAGTAACGAGCGCTTTGACCGGTGTGGGTTTGCGGAAATATCCTGTTGTGCTTGTATCGGGATACTCGAGGGGTCGAAATGGGCTTAATACGTAATCCAATGTCTGCCTTGTAAAAAAGCCTAGAAACCTAGCTAGTACAGGCAGCATTCCAGTGCCGGTGGTATCGCCACTGGGACTAAAACTCAGCAATTCGTTGATGAAATTCTGTCCTGAGATGTGGAGTATACCCTTTCCTACAAGTGATCCATTTGTTCGAGCGATTGTGGTGAAGAGTGTCGTTGTTGCCTTCCATGTCTTGCGACCGGAGAAAGTTATGTCTGAGTCAATCTTCTTGTGTCCTTGCAACACGTACGTCTCGCCTCGGGTGCTGAGAAGCGTCAGTGTATAAGTAATGTTGGTGCCGTCAGACACATCATCGTCCACAGTGAAGAAGTGAAGTCGACCCTTGGTAACTAGAAGGGGATCCTGCGACAGTGCACCGCAGGAAAAGGTTCCAGAGGCAAGAGCGGTATGGAATGACCGTCCAATTAGGTTATCCATGTTAGGCACGTCGACACTGACGCAGAGACGAGCTGAGCTAGAGGCGCCCCTGGCTATCTTTTCAGCAGTGGTAAAGTCTTCTATATCAGTCCCAATGTGGATACTGCCTTCCATGATCTCCGAGAAGCGAATTCCGGCCGACTTTACTTTTGATTTTATGCCGTGGAGATTATCTGACATGAGAGTTGAGATGGGAACGGATTTAGCAGGCTTGCCGAATAGGTCGAGTTTTCCATTTGAAGCTTCGTTGACAGTCCAATTGTTCTTCTTTATCAAGAGATCGCACGATCGCTCAGCTAGCGCGGTGATTGTTGCGAAAGGATTGACGCCTATGCCGTCAGCACTAATACATAATCCTTAAGTAGTTGTCCAAGGCTAACTCACTAAGTGCGGTTGGAATGATTGAACCATCTACACATACAATACCTTCATACACATCCTCTCCCCCACCGCTGTTGAAGAGCTGTCCGATGTTATTGACAGCGCCTTGGCGACCCGTACCATCGAAACTCATCCTTGCTCCGCCGAGAGGATGAACTGTTACTGGAGGGGAGTTGATCAGAACACCACCAACAGCCTCTGTAGCTTTCTGGAGTATTCCATGCAAATACTGCATGTGCTTCCTTCTACCAGCTCCCAGGAACTGGAGACGGGGTTTATCGTTCTCTAGTGTAAGGATACCCTCATTATCGCCATGACACATGACCAAGAAGGACTGTGTTCTGTTGACGCTGCATCCATCTGCGTAAGGTCCCATAATTATCGACTTTAATCTTGAAAGAAAGCACCTTAACCGGGCGTAATGTTTCGGATATACTTGGCTCGTTTGGGTTTCCAGCATTGCTTGGATAATCGGGGCGAGAGCCTCTGGAATGGCTCCCTCCTCAATAACATAGCCGTCCTCGACATTTGGCGCTGCCTCGGAGCCTCGGTTATCAATGATGCCAGTAATAGTTGGACCACAGGGGTTTGGGGTCGAGGGCTTCTCGCTACCAATCCCATTTATGATCTCGTTGGTATTGTACGCAAAGCTGAGAATGTCTCCGTTGCCCGAGAGCTTCTGCCCTACGAGTGGAGACATTGCCATTCCATGGGCCTTGGAACGTAACAAAATCTCGGTGGTCCCTAGTGCACCAGCTCCAAGGAAGCAAAGCTCTTTCTACAATCATATTAGAATTTATCCATATTTCTGGAGAGCGCATGTAGTACTCACAGCGCGAACCCACATCAATTGGTCATAAAAGGTATCTTTAAATGACTCCCTTCCATCTCCATGCCAAGCATAAAAAACCAAGTACCCGCCACTCTCTGAGTCCTTTCGTATATGCCTTACCTCACATCCACAGAATATTTCTGCACCCCAGTTCCATGCGTCAGGAAGATAGTTCATCAAAACCGAATTCTTTGAACCATCGTTGATGCCAGTGCAGTCTTGACCGGTGCAAGTTGATCCCTTCAACTCTACTCCAACATTATTGAGACCGTCTTGAAAGAAGGTAGTTTGCGGGACGCGATAGAAATTGCGCCCTTGACCCAGAGCTTTCGCTTGTTGTTGGAAGACCTCGAGCTTCCTTAATGAGGGGTAATCATTAGGGTACGGTGTAGGTTGAAGCAATTTCTCGGCACGAGCGTAATCTGTTAATTCGTCAGAAGATAACACGAAGCCATCCAATGTCAACTACCTACACATATCAAGTGAAGAAGGGTCCGTGCGAATCTCTGGAGGCCAGTCACGGATTTGGAGGGTTCGAGGGTCAGCGCGAAGGTAGACATTCGAATTAATTAAGGACGTGCCGCCGAGACCTTTTCCTAGTCAGCACTTGGGTGATATATGTCTTGTGGGGATTTACCGTGCCCAATAAATACATCCTGACCCTCCCCTTTAACGGTATGATACAATCCCGTCGGGTTTCCAGTGGTGACGTCTTTCCCAATGTTCCCAGAAACATGATACTCGGGCGCGACATCGTTAAGGGTGCTTGGATATTCACCAGCTGCACGGCGAAGCAACCAGATCAGCCCGTTGTTAGCGTAATTTGGATTGTGGTATACCTACGCCATCTCTCTAGTCCCAACTCTAGGACCGCAACGGTTTTTCCAGCTCTCGCCATTCGGCTCGCGGCAACTCCACCACCATAGCCAGATCCAACGACGACGACATCATACTCTGGTCTCATCGATGACACCGGTCGTCCGAGTCGAGGGAATTTGGACTCCCGATTCTGTTCATTCGAGATACTGACAAAGCCTGGGGAGGGAGGTTTGATACCGCCAATTGATTTTGCCCATTTCTGCGTAAAAGAACTCTTTCGATACAGTGTCGTCGTTCTTCCAGTAAGGCAACCCAACCCAGCTCTGACGTAAATCCACCATAAAAGATAGAGTACAGGCAATACCGACAAGGCCAAAAGTGGTGTGAACATGTGCTTAGGGAAGAGCTCTAGGCTCGAGGGTCAAAGTTGATGTTGAACGAGATTGAAAGGGATGTAACCAGAATGATGTCCCACCCGCTAGTCGTTGTGATAAGTGCGAGTAATGCATGCTGTAGGTGTCGACATCGCGTAGGAAAAATGCCTTATCAATTGAATTCGGTGCTACTTGCTAAATTGGTGCCTCACCTTAATCGACAAAGCCCGGTATGGCTTTCTGACCACCTACATGCAATGGGACAAGGTAGATTCAATATTAACGTCAGGGGTTTACAAGGCCCTATCATCAACGGACTGATAGCTCCTCGTGGTGGTGGCCTATGCGTCGCATGATCGAGAAATGTCATTTTCTATGTAAATTACATACAAATGCTCACCTAATCGTCATCTACCACTTAGTACGGCCACCATCTGCTGAATAACTGCCCAACAGCAATCCCGCATAGACTTAATATACTTCCTGTAGTTGGCTATTTCAATCTTATCCCACTCCTTCAAGAATTGCCTTACCTTAGCGTCAGTCTTTAGAAAAAACCTTAAAAGCCTGTGCTTCAGCATCTGCCACACGTTTTTAATAGAATAAAGGGTTAGTAAATTGCCTAGCCACTAAGCTTTAAGTATCTGTAGAGCTCTATAGGTAGCGATAGTTGCTTTTAAATTGTGAATAGAGCATTTATCTTCCATGTAGATAAGGTCTCCCCTGCCTGTATAAGCTGTGTAGGCATGCTGGATTTATGCCTCTTAATCAGCCGTGCCTTTTGCGTTTGTACACTAGCTGTTTTTAAAGAAGATTAATGGCCCTTTACTGTTAATTAAGATGATACTGTATATCATGCAGCAGCTAAAACCTTTAAGTTTAGGCACGCAGCAGTCAGATAGGAATCGTTCCTTAGCTCTACAAGTTACCCATACCTTACATAGGCCTGTTTGAGCTGATATCTCATCGCTCCAGCCAACCTAAGCTCGCTGCTTGTCAATCTAATCTAGGTGCTACTATGCCCAGCTTAATCGCTCAAGTTTGTGGTTGCTAGTAAGGAGAGACTTCTAAGTAGCCTTCCGCTAATACTAGAGCTCCTTCTCAAAGGCCTTGATAAGTGTTCAACGGCAGACGTTAATCCCTAGCCCATGAGCTGTCTGTTCGCGGGTCTTCCGACGTTGTTCGGCGTTCTCTGTAGCATGCTCACCTAGGAGGTGTTGAATAGGGGTAACTAGTAGAGGCTTCCTACCCAAAGGCTCCGTAGGCGTTACTAGAGATCGGAGGCAGATATTGTGCTCTGAGGTACGCCGGTATACTGTGCGATAGCTTATCATGTCCATCCAAGATCTCTAAGGGTCTGGATTTGGACGCGTTCCTTGTTGGTGAGTCGACGGCGAGGTGTTTTGGGCATTGTGGTGGCTGACTATGTTGGAAAGAATACCTAGGGTTGGATAGAAAACCCTACATAAAGAGGGGTATTCTTTCCAGAAGCCTAACGCTGATTCGATGCACACACCCTGGCCCAGGCCCTGAACTACACAGGACCAGGTCCCTGAAATGAGGATACGAATAGGTGGCCAGTCCCACCCAACTATATCAGCCACCATAGGGCTCGCCTGGAGAGGAGCCCTGACAAGTTTAGCCCGTCCCTTATGACGATCCTCCATCTTCCGACCATGAAGTGGGTTTGCATCGTGTGGACAAGGGTTGTCAACACATGGCGAGCCCAGGCGTAAGCGTGAACGAGGTTTTCATTTAGGGGACCGTGGCAGATGAAAGCCAAAATGGGTACGTGCTCAAGGACTAATCTAATGTGGGAAATAGTACTATGCACCTGAGTCTGCTTGGCGACGCGTCCGTGATAGAACGAAGCGGCGTTACCACCAGCACAAAATTTGGATATCGAATGAGGCGACGCTTTACATGAAGCTCAACAAGCCATCACATCTATACAATAGATCAAGTTGGAGGGAAAGGATCGATGGTGGACGGGAAGGAACCGGTCCCGCAAATTCCAGCTATGACATAAGTAAACACCATTCTGGGATAGCAGAATGATATGCAACTTTGCTGCTTCAACTAACCAGGAATGATTTCCACGTCCCCTAATAGATATCGTCTAATCTTCCCCGAAGGCTAAATACCGCGTCACATCCGCCACCACTGAAATCCCCGACTTCGCGAACCAAACCTCTTCTGTAAAACCCCCTCCAGCCCTCACCCCATGCGACTGTGCTTCCAAGGCGGGAATGGAAGGGCTCCCAAAAAGGAAATCTACCGAAACTAGGCAAAGTCGTATTCGTCTCCAATCCCACGCCGATATCGCTAAACACCTTATGAGATAATTGATTTCCATTTGAATTCAAATCTGTTGAACCAGGCCGAAGGCTTCTGTGGGCTGGATTGAGTCTGAAGGGGCGAGCAATTGCCGCCTGATGATGCTAACCTTGTCCGGCGACAGTCAACAGATAAGGCTGCAGCATGAAAGAGCTCGGAGTGGGATATGCAGGGATCAATTCTCCTCACACGCCGGAGTTGCAAGGGATCCGTCTCCGCCCCACTGCCGAGTGCTTGATTCCGTGCCGAGGACCCAGACGACTGGTCGTATCTGTATTTCTGGAGGATTGGATTAATATCCTACTCAACGCTGGAAACACAAAACCACGTGCAACGTTCTTCGTACTGTTAGTCGCTTTGACCTTCAAGCCGGGATCTTGCAGCATTCCTTGATCATCTCAGTATCGGCTAGATTTCTTGCGTGCCACTAACTTTTGAGATGCTGGACTTTGGATGTTGCACAGCGGTGGTCAACTTGAAGATAACGTGAAAGGAGAATCGAAGCAATCATGGCATTTTGCCCCATGATAAAAATTAGCCGGGATCAAGGTAGCGTGGAAGGGTATTTTACCATGGTCTAATTTCATTTGATCTGGCTAGACGGCATTTCTTGCACCTTTATGTGTTCTATCCCGAAACAAAAGCCTCACCCTCCGCCTACTCTTTATCTATTATTTCGAACACCCATTTTTCTGGCAGGTACCATTCACAATTAGATATTCAAAATTGAGTCGTAACCCTCCTCTCGTTACATCTTCTCGACTGCCCGCGACTTCTTCACACTTCCGCTTCCTCTGATTCATCACTCCAATGGTTCAAGACTTCACTTCTGCAAGCTTTGTTGATACCCGAGCCATGGACGCTTATGGCCCTCTCCCAGAACTCCGCCAGTCAGTGTCCCGCCCACCAGTACGTTACAAAGGCCGATAGAGACAGTTTGCGGTTAGAATTGCAAGAATTCTGCATTTACTTTGAAGTGAGATCGTAAATCCCCCTAATTCCTCTTCACAATCTTTCTGACCTCTTATCACAGAGCACACCTCGAGTCCGCGCTTTCGTCAACACAAACTCCTTCAAAATCTTCATCTCCAGCTCATGAATCACCTCAAAAAGACAAATCCGTAGGACAACATCGTCGGCATTTCAATTAAGGGAGTTGTCACACTAGTTTCTTCGTTTTTCATCGTATTCGGCATATTCACTCTTGGTGGGGTATAAGATAATCACACTTGCGATTGACAGGGAGTTTGGCGGCCTGGTCCATTTTATACCCACTTCGAATTCACCACTCACTAAGGCAGGAGAAACTACAATCTGCAAATCCGACATCAGCGAAGAGAAGAAGCGGGATTCTTGGCGTTTCTTCCGGATAATGAGGCTATGTTTTTCGATAGATGTTGAAAATCGTCGAGTTTGCATAAGCTTGAGGTTAAGACAAGCAAAGGAAGCACGTATTCGTGTAACGAGCTCCACTCAGAATCAGTCCATTCGCATCCTTCAGCCCCGCGCTCACATGCAAAGAACTCCCATTCCCATCCTAGGGCGCCTTAGAGTATATTCAGGAACAGCAATCCCCTGTTGCACCACTCGGGCACATATAACCGATGCAGATGAAATCACTCAATAATCCTTATTGACACTCCCACAATATACTATCATAATCCTTTCCACGTCCTCGGAAGTTATTTTGAGGTCCCAGGCCCCGTCTCCCTCACTAATTTTTCAGAGAGGCGGCTTTTTTGAAGGACTAAGCTTTGCGGCGTCCTTAAACTGATTCCACGTCCCCGAGCGATTTCCGATCCTCTGGACGACCCAGTTCAGCGGCACGCCTGGCCATTTAAAGCTTCTTGATGCAAATTGCAAAGGTAGTGTTGGAACCCGAAGTTGACTGCCAATATCAATATTAATCAATTATGCTTCTACCACCCTGCAGGAATTCATTGAATTCGCGACCCCACATTGGATGGCACATAAAGCCAATCGACAACCCATATCAACTTCCCCAGCTTGCTTCTAAACACTCCCAGAGACTCACGCTTTCCATCATGTATCTACCCACCTTACTCAGCCTCCTAATTCTCTCCTCGCTTTGCCTCACTCAAACCACTCCCATAAACCTTACCCTCATCGTTACCAACTTCTCCGCTTTCATGGCCAACCCCTATATCGAAGGCCCGCAATCCAACCTCTCCTTCCACGTCCTTGACCCGCGACCTGGCTTCTACGCAGAAGCCGATTGTATCATTCCGCCGACATATTTCAACCTTTACGCGATTTCCGCACTCTGGGATTACTGTGGCGAAAGGGCATTGGATATTAGTTATCGGTTTGGGGAGGGGTATTTGACAGTTAGGAGGGGGTGGAGGGTTGATAAGTAAGTAGATTTGTATGAGAGTGGAAAGGAAGTGTTGGCAAAATGCCTAGTGAGAAGGGGTTTTGGGAGGAGAAAGGAAAGTAAGACTCACTGATAACGCGATAGTTCCACATACCTTACCGGCTCCAGCACACAAAACACCTACTGGAGCGCCAGCGGGCCTGACGCAAACGAAACCAGGCTACCCGACGGCGAACTATTCACGAGGAAAAAAGAGTGGCTGTTCCCCGTCACTCGGCTGCAGACATCGACACCTCCATAACCCCAATGATTTAGGGCCAGCAAGATTAGTTTAGTGAGTGTCAGAGCACATAGAAGTCAACGAGTATGTAGGCGGACAATCTGATCGATTCAATCTTCAACTTCACTATCTAGCGCTGAAAGAAGGGGATAATGACAGTAGCATCCAATGTGAAGCTGTGAACCAGCACATGGCCTCGTCTAGCTCCCTCTTCCAATCGCGGGGTCTTCTCCCTAGTTGGCTCCGGCGCTGGCGAGTTGTCCTTGACCAGTCTGGCCTTGTGCAGCGGCACCAGCTCCGGTATTAGCACCCTGCTGTTGAGCAGCTGCACCACCGTTGGCCTGTCCTTGTGGTCGCTGCGAGTTGGCTCCAGCTTGACCTTGTTGTTGAGCAGCCGCACCGCCGTTGGCCTGTCCCTGTGGTCGCTGCGAGTTAGCTCCAGCTTGACCCTGTTGTTGAGCAGCCGCGCCGCCATTGGCCTGACCCTGAGGTCGCTGGGCGTTAGTTCCGGCGGCTTGACCCTGTTGCTGTGCACCGGTACCGGCTGTTCCTGCATTGGTGCCGGCCTGGGCGTTGGGGTTCTGAGCTTGTGCGGCGCCTCCCTGCTGGGCTGCGGTGCCTGCTTGAGCTTGACCTGCTTGCTGGCCTGCCTGAGCTTGACCCGCTTGCTGACCTGCCTGAGCTTGACCCGCTTGCTGGCCTGCCTGAGCTTGACCCGCTTGCTGACCTGCCTGAGCTTGACCTGCCTGCTGACCTGCCTGAGCTTGACCCGCTTGCTGACCTGCCTGAGCTTGACCCGCTTGCTGACCTGCCTGAGCTTGACCAGCCTGGCCTTGACCTTGCTGAGCCGCGGTAGAGTTAGCCTGAGCGTTAGGGTTGATTTGACCAGCAGCTTGTCCTGCCTGGCCCTGGGCACCAGCTTGCTGACCAGCCTGACCCTGAGCACCGGCTTGCTGACCAGCCTGGCCCTGAGCACCGGCTTGTTGGCCAGCCTGGCCCTGAGCTCCAGCTTGTTGTCCAGCCTGAGCCTGGCCTTGACCTCCCTGAAGCTGAGCGGCAGCGGCAAAAGCTTTCGCCGGAGTGCCGGGGTCTTGTCCTGGCTGCGTAGCACCAGTTCCCTGAACACCACCAGCAACACCAGTCTGGTCGCAAGCAGTAGGACGGACAGACTGCTGGGTAGACCCAGTGCCAGCGAAGTAGGCGTCAATGTTAGGAAGGACTATACACTATTAGCTTCAATTCGTCTCAGGATGAAACAAGGTAAACTTGCCGTTGACACAGCGGTTCTGGTTGATCAAGTCGATATTCTGGACCGCGGCGCGTCCCTTCACTGACATCTCCTGGAGCTTGTCGACGACGTCCTGGAAAGATCCTCCGGTAGCAAGCGTGCTATTGGCAGCCTGAATGTTCGGGTTGGTCGCAATGCTCTGGTCTCCCTCGATGATGGCTTTGTGGTTGAGCTCATCGACTTCGGCATTGAAGGCAACATTGGCGGCTTGCTTGAAAGCAACATTGTTCATGATGCTGGCTCCAGTGTTGAGGAAGTTAGACACCATTGAAGTGTCAGCCTGCCAATTAGCAACGGCGTTTGCGAGCTGCTGTTGTGAAGGGGTTCCCGCTTGAGTTCCTGCAGTGCCTGCAGTGCCAGCAGGTGCAGCGCCAGCTCCTTGTTGAGGAGAATTTTGAAGTTGTCCATTAGCTTGACCTTGAGCTTGGGCTCCAGTATTTGCGGTTCCAGCCTGTCCTTGTTGCTGCGCAGCCTGGCCTTGAGCTTGGGTAGCTTGACCCTGAGCCTGTGCCGCTTGTCCTTGACCAACGCCAGCCTGTGTTCCAGCACCAGCTGTTCCCGCGTTGGTATTAGCATTAGCACCAGTGCCTTGCTGCGCGAGAGGAGCTGCAATCGCAGCAGATGAGCAAAGAAGAGAAAGGATTATGTACTTCATGGTGAAGGAAATATATACTAAAGGATTGGAAGAAGTGAAGGGAATTAGAATCAGAGAGCCGCAGAATGAGAGTAAAGAATCTCAGGACCGTTATATTCGTTATTCGAGTGAAGCCTGCTCGCCGAATGTGAAGTTGGTGTTATCGCGGGCTTCTAGTGCATTTGTACGCCTTCCCTGGCTCTCTCCCATACACATTGCAAACTTCTACACCTCAGGAGAAGACTAGACATCAGACGACATCTAGGATGTGAAGTGGGAAATGCAAATTCCGTGACCGCTTGGCAGTTTTTGTGATGTAGGAGCCTTCTCTTGGCCCACACGCTCACTACACTGTGCATCAGAGCTGCCCGATCCATCACGTCGAACATGTCGCAGGTTGGGTTATGTGGACCGTCCGCTCATACTCACGGTCGGTGTTCAGACGGGGATCTTATCGCTAAAATCAAACAAAACAGAAGTTGGATGTTTTGGTATGTTTGGAGATCGAGCGCCGATGTTTTGTTGGCGTCGCGGTTCAGTTTCGTGAGTCTTGGCGTAGAAAGCTTGGCTGCGCATCAAAAAGTCTTGAATCACGTCCATGAATCCTGTCAAGCTTGGCTATACCCGTATGCAGAGAAAACAGCGAGATGGTGAGTAACAGAAACTGCTCGGGCAGACAGTGGTGCTATTTATGCGGACAAATTGCGGAAATAGGCTTCGAATACCGTCTAAACAACTAAGGTGGTGAGAATCCCCATCAGGTCAACGAGGAAAGTCTCGTCTGTAAGAGTCTCTTCCCCAGACTGTGGGGTGCAGGGCGCATTGGCACGCGGGAGGTTGCGTCTTCCGAATAACATCGCTCAATTTGCTTCTTCAACAAGTTGTGCCGATGTAAAAGCGAAGCTAGAAAAAGGGTGCAATCGCATGTCGCCTGCCGCCTGTCCATGTAAAACATCTAGACTGTGCTATTATTAATGAATCTGGAAAATGAAATTTGTAATGGATAATTAGGCTGCGTTAAGGTCGGCGTGGAAACAATGAAAGGAATTTGAAATAGCCTAGGACTTCAAGTGATCGAGATCATATCTTACCTACAAATACTACACAGTAATATAGGCTGAGTTCGCAATCGATCAAAGAATGGCTTCGAACATCTATGGGTAGTGATTCTGCTGCTAAACCTAGGACAGAACAAGAAGCCCTGAAGAGGGCAACGGGCAGTCGTCATAGAGGTATGCTGTCGCGAAAATGCGTCGGGAGGTTGCCCGAAGAAATCATTTCAGAAGGGTCTGCGTGGCCTCGTCCCTCTCGCCTATTTCGGCCATTGGAACCTCGGCACCTTCGACGTGGTCTCCTGGCCACACTTTCCGTCCAGAGCCGCTCTGAGTTGGATCCATGGCGGTTTCGACTTTGCGAAGGATTTTCGCTGGATTGCCTGCAACTACTGTGAATTCGGGCACGCTCTTTGTTACGATGCTTCCAGCACCGACCACGCTTCCTCTTCCAATATTCACTCCAGGGAGGATGACGACGTTGCCTCCAATCCAGCAGTCTTCACCTATATGTATCTCTTTGCCTAGCTCTGGACCACGTGTCCCCTGGCGTACTACAGGATCCAGAGGATGGGTACCAGAAAAGAATGATACATTGGGGCCGACGAGTGTGCGGGAACCGATAGTGATGAGGCACGTGTCAAGAAAGACAGAGTGGAAATTGATGAACACGTTCTTACCCAGTCGAACGTTGAATCCATAGTCAATGTTGACTGGGGGCTCAACCCAAGGGTCGTTGTCGAAGAGCTTGTCGTCTTCCTCGGGATTAACAGCTCGTGCTGGGAGAGGAGTATTCTCCTGAACGATGCTAAGGAATTTTGTGAGCCTAAGGCATCGGGAGTTGGGTGTGGGGGAAGGCGTATTTACTCCTGCCACATCTCTGTCAATGTTCGACGAGGGACATCCCCAGCGTTGTTGTAACGTCTGCACGCGTGTTTACAGCGGGCTCGTGCCGCAACCAGCTCCGGAGTGAAGGCATGATAGAGCTCACCGCGGAGCATCTTCTGCTTGTTCTCGGACATTGACATGGCAGTGGGTAGGACAGACTTGGGGTAGATTTGGAAGAGATAAGAGCAGAACGAGTACAGACTACAAGAAATGGAGAGTGCTGGCTGGCCTAGTCTTATTTCATCTCGTGTACGATGCCAGTCTCTTTATCATACTGTGTGTGCCTCAGGTTGGATTCAGCCTGAGGCCCAAAGCCCCAGGCCCAAAGCCTAAAACGGCATACCGCCGGAAATATGTTGATCCATCCGTCCGGTTGCAAGGCGGTGACTTCATCAAGCGAGCAATATCGCAGCTTCAAAGACGTCTAAAACATCAAAAGAAACTAAAGCTCACGTTACTATTGTTCTCTTGTTCTCTTATTTTCTCTTTTCTGCGCCCGCATACGGCAGGCGTTGCATTTCTAGGCTCACTATGTTATAATCTTTGCTTCCTCTTCGCCAGCGCATTCCTCATCCACCCGTTGATCTTATCCCGCAAGCTCGACAACATGGTCGTCGGCCAGAACGGCACACCCACGTCTCCTTGTCCAGATATTTCCTTCCCAGTCAATCGACCGGCCCGGCGAAGGGAGTGGTCAACCGAACTTGACGCTGAACTACGAGCGCAAGAAGCTTCGGTTGTCCGCCTAAAGAATCACAACACGATCCCCCGGGCTTTCTGGCCGGGCGGAGACCGCTCGTTATCTGGCATAGCGATTCGGGCATTCCTTCTGGGGGTCACTTTAGGGCTCAGCTCCCTCTTCAGTCTTGCCCTTCTCCTATACTACCAGAACCGTCTCTGGCGCGCCCCCTTCTTCATCGCTACCCTCTGCGTCTTCCACTTCCTCGAGTTCTGGACGACGGCAGCATACAACACACCAACCGCATTCGTCTCATCCTTCCTTCTCACCAATGGAAGCCGATACCGACAAGCTCATAGCTTCGCCCTCGTCGAAACGCTCATTACCTCGTACTTTTTTCCCCACTGGCAAGCCCTCGTAAACCCGCTGCCGATAATTCTGCTCGGTCTAGTTATGATCACTGTAGGACAAGTGGTGCGAAGCCTTGCCATGGCTCAAGCAGGGACGAACTTCAATCACCAGGTGCAATCTCAGAAGAATGAAGGCCATGAGTTGGTTACCTCTGGTCTATATAGTATTTTTCGACATCCCTCGTATTTCGGGTTTTTCTGGTGGGGCCTTGGAACCCAAGTAGCTCTTGGCAACTGTGTCAGCTTTGCTGGATATGCCGCTGTTCTCTGGTACTTTTTCAACACTCGGATCAACCGTAAGTGTCCTCTCTCGCTAAACTTCCTACAATTTTTTGAGGATTCGTTTTACTAATATTACTATAATAGATGAGGAGAAGCACCTTGTTAAGTTTTTTGGTGAAGAATACAAGGCATACAAGGAACGCACTCGAGTATGGATACCCTTCATCTAAAGCCTAGCATTTTCATAGCACACGGAGTTGGTAGGAAGACATAGTGGAGTTCTTGAAGCACGTCTTTGTAGTTCATCTCTCTTGAGGTTCACTTTTGGTCCTGGGTCAGGTAATGGTCTTCGCAGGTAAATTGTCACTCTATCGCCCAGACTATACCATAGATCCCGTATCTGATCGAGTTGGCATCTATATAATACTTCCTACTAGCACAAGCAGTCTAAGTTATCTTTGACGTCACAGAGTCAAACTTTGGTTCCTTGGCGGGAGTATCGGTCATTTGTTCTATCCCAGCGTGTCCTGTCGAAGGATTTGCAGGTGCATTCTAAGCGCATCTTCTCTTGAATTAGATGCTCAAGGAGAAGTCCCTCCACATCAAAGCGACTCCAGAGCCACCTGGTTTTCTAGAAATTGGGCGCCTACCCAATCATCGGGCACTTGCATGTGTTCTTCGCTTGTCATCACCATACTGGGTTTCTCGTATTCGCGAGTGACTCCCAAACCAGGATGTCTTTTGCATTGTCGAGTCGTCCAGCGAGCCTGATGGCAACCCCTCGGCACTTTGAAACAAAGGCATAAAAGAACCTCTTCCTCGCTCATTCGTATGCTTGGGCTTTGAGAGCGTTGTTCCCATCGACAACCATGACCATCATTTCTAATCTTCAGTACCGTAAAGTGGAACCCTACCCTGCTAGCGCATTGGCTCACATGAAGCTCACCAGCATTATCAAACACCACGCTCTTTATCGCAGGGAACAAATCGTCCAGGACATTTTCCTTTGTAATGGTTCTTTACAGACCACAATAGCATGCCTAATCAGGGTCATTGTCACTAACGATTTCGTCTGATGCTGTAGCCTATCATCTATTAACCGCTTACAAGGTTCTTTTCTTTACGTACGGAGCTGACTCCGCACTTTTCCTTGATATCATCTCTTGTCCCCAGTTGCAACCCCCGTCTTTGGTGGATGCTACGTAGCGTCTTCAGAATGAGGAGCCGGTTTGGATTGGTGCCTGGTGGATACGAGGCGCCACTTGGCATGCGGTGGTCCTCCGCCGGGACGTCACGTTCTCAGTTCTATTTTCGTTCTTTTGCTCCCTACTATTCGAAGGCACTCGCAGCTTGATCTGATAAACCTCAAAGTTTCCTGGCTGATTACGGGCTCTTTTGGAACACACTTCGTCCTTTACCACGCTGCAAAACTTCGCAAGCACGTCGAGATTCACTTGCACGAAACCCGGATGCCGAAGCGCTCCAGTGGATGCTTCACCTGCAGGGCACGTAAAGTACGTTGCGACGAAGCCAAGCCGGAATGCAACACGTGCCTTCGACGGGGGACGAAATGTCCTGGATATCGACCTACACAGGCGTTTATCCTCCACACATTTAACGACCAGACAGACAAGCCCGGAATCGTCAAAGAGGACGAAACCCGTTATCGTTACGCATACCAAGACCAGGAGGGGATATCAGGCGCCCAGCAGTCAGTCATTCAGCTCCGTTCTTCGGCATCCAAGGCCGTAGATGTACTAGTACCACGACAGCTCAGCCCTATTGCAGTCGAGCGCATTCAGCATCTCAGCAATTTCTTGTCCTTATATCTCCCTAAATGGGAAGGTGAAACTCTCACCCCCCCTTCAGCTTTGATCCTTTCTCTTCCTTCAACTCCCGCATCGAGGCAGGTTCTCTTGGCTTCCCTGGATGCATTATCTGCGGCGCAGCTGGCTGTTTCCAACAAGAATTATCCCCTCATCAACAGAAGCCGATCTCTATACAGCACAGCACTCGGCCAGTTGATGAGGTCCATAACGCAGCCGAAAACCCCACAGGAAGATGAGACGCTCTTAGCAACGTACCTGCTAGCTTTATATGAGGTATCTTTCTCAATGTGGCTCATTCTTCTCCAGGCTAACAATCATGCTTTAGGTTTTCGTAGGCGTGAGTAGTGGCACGGGTTTCTTCTACCATGTGCAAGGCTTGTTGCGCCTTTTGAAACAACGCGGGCCTGCCTCAATCAACACAAAGTTGACCTTGGATATTTTCCACGGCATTCGTTACTACTCGGTACGTAGCACCTATTTCTAGAAGGTTTAGTATATGCTAATTACCCTCGTAGTTAACTATCGGCTTCCATGTCAGAAAAGCATCGATATTAGACTCCCCAGAATGGCTTGAGGTGACCTCTAAAGCGGCGAAGCCTGACCCATGGGTATATTTAATGGACCTTTGCATCTGCGTTCCTCGGCTACTCGAGAGGACTGACAAACTCACCAGAGCTGCTGCGTCAGCCGAAGAATTCGAGAAAGTCATCACTGATTCCCAGCGTCTAGCTGACCGCGCCTTCAAATGGTTCGCCAAGTTCGAAAAGGATGGGCCTCGGTACACAAAGGTCGATGTTAACTCAATGACTGGGTTTCTACAAATCTGTGATGACCTCACATACGATCCGGTTTTTGCATTCAATTCTTGGGCTACATCGAATACCTACCTGCTCTACTGGATGAGCATGCTTATTCTGCGATCAAACAATTTCCTACTTGTCCGGAAATTCCACCAGCTAGAGCCGAAACAACTATACGTATGGGATCGAGAGCTCTCTGGATACGCGGATTGCATCTGTCGAGGCGTTCCTTTCAGTTGCCGGCCAACTGCCGGATATACTGGACGTTTCAGTACCCTTACACCTCTCGTGGTTGTTAGAAAGTACTTTGAGGCCAAGGCTGCAAAGAAAGAGGCAGCTTGGTGTGAGAGGGCTTATTACGGCACGAAAGTACCCGGGCTTTACTCTCCGCCCATTCCAATCGAACCTTTGCAGGGACTCATCGAGCTCGTTCAAAGCAGTCAACGATACATATAATGGCCGAGATTGCCACCCCGTTACTAGGAATAAGCGACGAACGGATGCGAATTCTCATTTCGCGTTAGAATTGCTTGTCAGCCTCGAGAAAAGCGGTCAAACACGACATGGGCATCTGCGAACGGACCGAGTCTAGAAGCCTAGTTCTACTATGATTAGCTTTCTCTCGCCAACAACGTTGCAACCCGAAAGTCCTAATGCATTCAAACGGTGACCTCTCACAGACACTACCGTGAGGCATCGCCTGATTTCCAGCTCTAACAATCGCACGTTTCATCATACGGCGAATGCGAAGACCCTCTTGGGACTCATCTTTCGTGTCAAGGATCTTCTGGCTGGTGGTTGTCACGAGTCATGTCGAAGTACCCCGCCTCAAGCTTCCCTCGAGCTACCCCACTCACTTCACCTCACTTCTCTCTACTAAGAGCAAACGATTCAATCATTGCTTGTCAGCTGAATCTAAGCTTTTCGATATTGCACCTAACACGGTGGTAATTTGAACTTCACTTGGCCTCGTCAGCTTCAATTCTTGATCTAACCGAGGCAATTTCTATCCAGAGACAGCTATTTTGTGACTAGGGTGAGGCCATTTGCTTTCAAATCCAATTTCATTTCTAATACACATGAAAAACCGAAAGCAAAACAAGATCATCCCTCCGCGGCCATTCCTAATTCAAATCCTTCCTCATTCCACCCATCTCCACCGCTATGTCCGGTCAAAAAACTCGCCAATGGATTCTCGCGAACCCACCTGAGATGGACCCTGTCCTTAGCGGTGACAACGCCACATTTACCCTCGAAACCAAGACTCTTTCCCCCCCTAAACCCAGACAGGTTCTCGTTAAATCCCTGTATCTCTCAAACGATCCTGCACAAAGGGCCTGGATCCAGAAAGACCAGGATCCCGAGCGCCTGTATACCACACCAGTCGTCAAGGGCGATGTCATGCGCGCATTTGGCGTTTGCGAGGTTGTTGAATCGAATTCGGATCTGAAAAAAGGTCAGCTTGTCGTAGCTACCACGGGATGGAGCGAGTATGAGGTAGTAGACGCGAAGGATTGCCGTGCTATTCAGCCTGATGAGAGCGTCGGAATCCGTCCGACACACTTCATCGGTGCGTTAGGGGGTCCGGGTCTGACAGCGTATTATGGCCTCATCGATGTTGTGGGTACAAAGGCAGAAGACGCCGTGGTTGTCTCAGGAGCAGCTGGCGCAACAGGAAGCATGGTTGTGCAAATCGCAAAGCACATCGTTGGCTGCAAGAAGGTCATTGGCATTGCGGGTGGAACGAAAAAGTGCAAGTGGGTAGAGAGCCTCGGCGCGGACGTCTGCGTAGACTACAAGAGCCCGGATTTCAAGGAGCAGCTATGTAAAGCTACTGAGGGGTTCGTGGAGGTGTATTTTGATAATGTTGGTGGCGAGATTCTGGATCTCATGCTCACGAGGATGAAGCGATATGGACGAATCAGTGCTTGTGGTGCCATTTCAAACTACAACAAGATAGGAGATCCGGTTGGAGTGAAGAATTGGATGCAAATTGTTATGAACAGGCTTGAAGTGAAGGGATTCATCGTCACCGACGCGGTTGTTGCGGGGAAGACGGGAGCCATGCTGCAGAGGATGGTACAGGCCATCAAAGAGGGCAAGCTCAAGATTGGGTCAGAGACGGAGACAGTGGTACCAACGAAGTTTGAGGATATTCCTAAGACATGGATGATGCTATTCGAGGGAGGAAATCAAGGCAAGCTCGTTACCGCCATCAAAGGGTGACGAGTTTGAGGTCAGTTGACGTTGAATTAAGGCTGTACTACATCAAGACTGATATCAAACTCAAATGAATATTACCAAGAAAGGGCCAATAATAAAATAGGAACTATGATAAATCCTCTCATATTGCGAGGAGACGGTGTGCTTGTCCCTGCCGCTTTCCCCCCTCTGGCTAACGTCATCAAGACTTGACAGGCGTTCCTTGCGCGCCAGGCCAGACTTCACTTCATCAATCCTCTCCTCAGCTCGGTCTTCAACCCAATTTGTACCTATATGTGATAAACTATTATGGCCCCGTCAAGGCGTTCTCTTATCGCATTGATTACACCCAAGAGGATTTCAGATTGGCTTGCAGGTCACATTGTCTTTTGGCGATCACCACGTGCCAGCAAATTCACATTCGGATGCAGAGTCGACGGAATCCGGTGCAGCAGCCACATCATTTGGAAGCGAATCACAAATCTCACCCGAAGTAATCCCACGGCCACAGGGCCACCGGTCCAATATGGGAAACTAAAGGTACTTTATCCGGTGCTTTTAGAGCACTTTATCCGTGCAGTGACATTGGCAATGGAGGGGCACGCTGCAGTAACCCCACTATGATAGCTATGTGTCGCTGTGGTGATTGTTACCTATTCAGATTGCCGCCCCACGCAAAACAATGGATGATGTCCCAGATGGAGAAAATTTTCAACCAGATTCTTCCAAAAAGAAAAGCCGCACCTTTCATCCAGGAACAGGAGAGGTGTGCTGACGGTATCCAACAAATTTCCACTCTCTCCACTATGCAATCACTTCTCGTTGGTGTAACCTCGATTGCGAGACCGGACCATCCCCAAATCACGGTATATGCACAGCAGGAAGCCACAAACCATCATACCGGGCACAGCCTAATCTACACTGCGCTGGTAAAAAAGCAATCGCCAGCGGCCTGGGAAGGAAATTTGGCCAGGGACGCCTGGCGAACCCGCTCCTGCGGTTTAAATGCAGGGTCGTATATGTCGACGACGCGGTTTCTGCGGTTTTTATATGGACCCGCTCGGGTGCCTGCTTCTTGATCGGTTACAGATCTGTGGAACGAGGCTTTGTTCCTTTGCTGTATTAATACCAGCTGGACTGCTCACTAGACCTTCTTTTTCAACCTCAATTCCATTTTCCTCTCTGCAACACTCCCTCATCTTCAATTCTTCAGATTCTCAGACCAACATATCAAGAATGGCGCCTATCGCAGATATCATGCCTCCTCTCATCGAGCTGAGCGACGGCAATAAGATGCCTCAAGTAGGATTGGGCCTGTGGAAAATGGACAACGCAACTTGCGCGGACGTCATATATAGAGCCATTAAGGACGGGTACAGGTTGTTTGATGGTGCCTGCGGTATGTAAACATCATTTTCTGTGAATTCATGAGACCTCAAACGCAATGCGGTGTAGCACGAGAACCAACTCTCTACATCTTGGCCGGATCGATCCGGGTTTCTTCGAAGGGCAAAGGCGCCTAAGATCTTCCTCTAGGGGACGCTGACTGAAACCTTGTCTTCAAGAAGACCGGACCACTTGGCATCTGAGGCTAACGTTCTGTGGTCGTCCGGGTGATTTCTCATGAGTGAGATGTCTTATGAGGTCTTCGATTTTCGGCTGCGGTCCCGACTTTCCGTTTTTGATCCAGATCCCTGCACATCTTCGCGACATCAGAGCACGTTCTCCACAAATGCTGACTTACCTTCAGACTACGGAAACGAAGTCGAGGCAGGCGAAGGTATAGCCCGAGCCATCAAAGATGGCCTCGTCAAGCGAGAAGACCTCTTCATCGTCAGCAAGCTCTGGAACTCATTTCATGATCCTGAACAAGTCGAGCCGATTTGCAGAAAGCAGCTCAAAGACTGGGGTGTAGATTACTTCGACATGTACTACATCCACTTCCCCGTTTCCCTGAAATACGTTGCGCCGGAGACGCGATATCCGCCGGGGTGGTTCTACGATGGCGAGAAGGAGGTTGTGCACGGAAGCGCGACATTGGAGAGCACTTGGAAAGCAATGGAGGAGCTGAAGAAAACTGGCTTGGCTAAGAGCATTGGGGTGTCCAATTACACTGGCGCGCTGCTGTTGGATCTTTTCACATATGCGACCACCAAGCCTGCCGTGCTCCAGATCGAGCACCACCCCTATCTCGTGCAGCAGAACCTGCTGGACCTCTGCAAACTGAACGGCATTAAGATTGTTGGATACTCGTCATTTGGCCCCCAGTCTTTCCGTGACTGCGATATGAAGCTTGCGGAAGACGTCACGCTTCTTTTCGACCATCCTGTCATCACCAAAATCGCCATCAAATACCGCAAGACCGCCGCGCAGGTGCTGCTAAGATGGGCCACACAGCGAGGAATCTCCGTCATTCCGAAAAGTAATACTCAGGATAGGTTGATTGAGAACCTGGACGTGACGAGTTTCGATTTGGAACAGGCGGAGATTGATGAGATTTCAGGGCTGGACAAGGGACTTAGGTTTAACAGCCCACTCAACGTAAGAAATTCCCCCCCCTCACCTCTGAAAACACTTCCTGCTCCCGTCTCTTTCCGCTAAATTTAAAATCTGCTAACAACCATCGTCTTCCCGCAGTACGGCATCCCAGTCTACAACTTCGCCTAGAGAATTCCCCATCCCATCTTCATAGCCTGGCCCGGGCAAGACAGGTACGGAGAACGCGGCGTTTTTACGTCTTTGGGTGTGGATATGATGGCGGTACGGTATGGTACGGTATGGTAATGGGAAGCATGAATCGAATCGAATCGAATCGAATCAAGCAACGCAATTATACGATAAACATCTATTCCACTCATTCCAAGCAACCAAATGTGATATCCCTCGTTCTCGTTCTGGTTCGCAATTCCAAACCCTAGTTCTGTGCATCCTCATATCTCTGATGTCTTGTCATTCTGGCTGTGTCTGTCCGCGACCCCTCCTCACACAGCTTTCGGTTCTTCATCCGTTGACATAGTGACGCCTTCCTTGCCTGCGCTGTTGAAATAAGCATCTTCAAGCATCTAACTCTCAGCAAACCTTAACCCCACAGTTTCATCGAAACCCTTCCTCCAAACGACGGAGGGAGTAGTTTCACACCTGACACACTCTGCCCCGCAAAATGTATCTGCACCTCAGCATCTGCACCTCAGCATTTACACCTCATGCCGGATCACTCTTTCCCCGCCAATAGTCCGGACGTTTTATGTCAGGTCGGTTAGCTGGGGTGAAATTCTCGCTGCAAAGGGGTTGAAGTCATAAGGCTCCAGATGGAGAGTTTTGGCCTAGAAATTTTCCCGGTCGCTCCGCGCTTGGCGCTGTGGAGAGAGAGACACACACAGGCTTGCCAAACCCGCAATCACGCCGCTCTTCTATTTCCGTAACTGCAAACTTGGATCGGATTTCTATGTATAAACCAATCACCCCATCCCTCTTCCATCTTCCAATCTTCTTCCGATGCTCACACGAGCACAGCTCGGAGCTCCCTCACAAAACGGATACACGGCACTTTGCAAATCTCCCTCTGCACTAACCCAATTATAGTCGTCCGCTAACCTAAAATGGTTAGAAGAACAAGTTGAGCTCGAGGAAGATCAACGGAAGTTATCTCAGCTAGCTCAGACGTGAGGAGAGAACCGAGGACGCACAAACCACCATGCATATTGCTACTCCAAATAGAGTATGGCCTGGGGGTTAGCGGTTTCTGACCCCTGTCGGTAGCGTTTCTCTCCTCAGCCGTCTGAGGGACTTTTGTGATTTTTTCTATGAATAGGCCTATTTCAAAAGCATCACAATAGAATTAGATTTACGATATCTCTACTACTATATGTCTGAATAGGCTTAGAATTTGATAGAATGTAGAGACAAGCTGTAGCTATAAAATAGTATATTT